TCTGATGTGTTAGAGAAAATGAATATATTTCTACTTACATTTCCAAGTTGCTATGGGATAAGCTGCATCTTGATGCTCATCAACGAGTACTTGAGTTGATGGTTCTTCCATTGGATCATGTAAATGTTCAAAATAACTATCAGCTAAATAAGGAATAAACGAAATGAAAAATTTGTAAAAGAAAAAAAAAGAAGAAATTACATAAAGCTTCTTCTGCTGTTGGTCGAGAACGATGATCAAATGATAAAAGACGATCAAGTAATGCAATACCATGAGCTGATATACCAGATACTGGTGTTGCATTTCCTTGTTCATATTTATAACCAAATAAGCGTTTATAATCTTGTTTAGGTTTTGTGGGTAATTTATGTATATAATCACGAGCATCTATAATATATATTTATATTAAATAAATAAATAAATGTAAAACAATGATATACATACATGGTTCACAAACTTCATCTAATGTTCCTAAATCAGGTGTACCAACAATATCAAAAATTTTTGTTAATTGATCAATATGATCTGTTCCAGCGAAAAGAGGTTTAAGAAGGATTAACTCAGCCATTATACAACCAACTGACCATATGTCAACTTTTTCATCATAACGTTCCCAATTAATAAAAACTTCTGGTGCACGCCACCATCTTTAAAATAAACCAAAATAGAAATTATATTAAACAATAAAATGAAATTTTTACTGACCGTGTAGCAACATAACCAGTTTGAAGACCGCTAGTTGCAACACGAGCAAGACCAAAATCAAGAATCTATATAAAAATTAATTTGTTGAAATGAAATATTCAATTCTTTATATATTTCAGACTATGCCGACGATAATCAAATTAAAATTAATGATTACAGCATTTCTCTTAGCACATCTACTTTTAAATCTTTGTATCTCTCCGCTAATCGTTAGTCTTCTAACAATGCATAGACCCTTAATACCTGTGGTATGATACAAATGATTTGTTGGATTTTCCCCTATTGACTTTAACTTAATGTTTGTTGTTTTTCTCTTTTTTTTCTATATGCGTATATCCCACATATATATATAGATGCATCCTTTCCTGTCATGAATATATGTATGACGACATTCATTATTCAATCGATAATTTTTTTAAGGCTATAATTTGATCATAATTCTTCATCAAAAGCTTTTTAAGAAGGCGATCGTCTTCATACATCACATTCATACTAACATATCTGTGCTCCGATAAACATTATAATACCAAGCACAAAATAGACAAAACAATCAAGTTCTCGTAACTCATCACGTGCGGCTTCTACTGAACCCACAAAATACCGTTCGAGAGTTGATATTGTGCAAATACTTAATGTCATTGTTTATTGTTATTTAATAATTATCTAAAAATTGATATGTAGTATAATCAAGTCCATCTAGTTATCATTATCTTTGATAAGAGATAAACGAATACTATTGCTATCTATTTGTTTTATAATGTTCGTAATTGTCAGTTAAAAAACTAAAATGACGTTTTAATTTTCATTGTTTTTTTCTTAGTAAATTTAATTCAAATAAAAGCTCCATTTTTTTGTTTTCAACAATATTTGCTCTTAATAAACAATGGGTAAGACATATCAATAAATTTCTTGACAGTCAAAATTCCCACTCTAATTTTAAATCGAACTAAATAATGTCAGCTTAAACTTCACGTTCAATTCACTATAAATATTTATTATTTAAACTCCATTTCTATTATACACAATCTGCTTAAAGCATGACAAATACTTATATTATATATGAGGGGGTGCGTCATAGTCGATATATTATTTATACATCGAAGAATATTTACCGTCGCTTTTCTTTTACTAATTACGGCAAGAGAACATATGCGAATGAATTTAATACTATTTCTAACATCTTTCTATATTCACTTCAATTGCAATGATTCAGCTAATCACTGAAGTACGTCTGAATATACTTGATTTTGTAAACGTAGCCTATTTTTCAGGTATCTATATTCTCTCTTTTAATCTAAACAATTGAATGCCCATTTCTTCTTCTAAAATGCTAAGTGCAAAACACTATTCATCATCATATCCTTCGGCCATTTCTAATCATTATTTTAAAGTATAATCATTCAAACTTACCGTAAGATCTGAATTTTTACTAATTCCGATATTTGTTGGTTTCAAATCCTATATTATCAAAAAAAACAAGAATTTAATTGAATTGAATCATATTTTGACTTACTCGGTGAATAACACCAGCAGAATGAATAAATTTTAATCCGCGTAAAAGTGAATAGATAAGTAATTTAATATGATCTTCTGTAAATGGTTTTCCACGTTTAATAACTTTACTTAGATCGTAATCAACAAAATTTAATACAAAATATCTTTAGAAGAAAAACAAACAAACATTGAGATTATCTTAAAAAGTTTTAATAATTCACTTACAATGTTTGAAAATCATTAACATTTTTTTCCGGTGTAAATACATTGTATAATTGTACAATCTATATTTAATTAAATGAAATAAAAAAAAATTTTTTTCTCGAAAAACAAACTTGTGCATCACTATGATTCAAATGCATAAGTAATTTGAGTTCACGATAAGTTCGTTTCGCATGTGTTTCACTTTGAAATGGGCGAAGCATTTTTTTAATTGCTACATCTTTACCGGTTTCCTAATAAATCATATATACACATAATTATATTCATATAAATAAAACATACTTGATCAGTTGCACGACTAAATAAAAGAAAAAAATTACAAAAAAATATTATGTATATTTATTTGAACGTACATTACAGCTCCAAATGCCCCTTGTCCAATAGGACTTAAGTCTTGATAACGTTTAGGTAATGTATATTGTGATGTTCCACATTCAGCTGTATGCCAATCACCTGAATCACCAGTCTCAGCAGCCATGAGTTTTACTAATTGAAAGAATAAATATATACAAGATAATAAAAGTTTATGTATATATAGAATAGAAAGGAAAAAAATATCTTCCTAGTGAAAGAGGAAAAATAACAAAAATAAACAACCGTACATAGTAATGACGACAAGATGGAGGAAAACGAAAAAAATAAACATTTATACGAAATGTTTTTAGATAAGAATTTAAAATTTTTTAGGGATTTTAGAAATTTTCGTAGGTTTTATTTTTCTCGAAAAATAAATATTCTACAGATGTCGCTAGAAGTCATTATGGCTAAAAATAGAAGAAAGAAATAATTAGTATAGAAACCTTTTGAATTTGATCTTGATCTTGGGGTTTCTTTGTAGAGTTGTGATGGTGGTGGTGGTGGTGGTGAAGGAGATCGTCGTTGATATATTCCACAAGAAAAACAATTTTTCATACGTTTAGCAAAACTTGATTTTGTCATACGATTATCCAACTGATGCTTCAATGACGTACGACGTGACTAAAATAATATATTTATTTGTAAACATTTTTCAATTTAGCTTGCTTTTACATGTCAAAAAGGAAAACTATTAAAAATAATTATTTTTTAGAGGATCATTACAATTTTAAGTACAGATGGCAGGACATTTTCTCGTTTATTTATTATTGACTTCATCATGTTGATTTCCTTACCTCACCGAGAATATTGATGGAGAAAGAAGAAGAATATATATAACTAACAGTCGAAAGAACGAATACATAGCGGCATTTTGATATGACTGCCTTTTTTAATAGCTAAACTTTACAAATGATTTATGTAGACACTTACACACACACAATATCAATAACAATTTGATATGCTTTTAAGGATTGAAAAAGAAAAAAAAACATGTATTTTGTCCAACTCACATGTAACGGTGTCGTATTCGTTGAAATAACTTGATTTATATTCATTTTCAAAGAATATGCGGTTTTCTTTGATATTACCAAGTTTAATTTACTTTTCGCAGTAAATGAAAATAATGTTGTTACTTTGACTATTAACACTCGTTGCACGCACACTTATTTACTTTATTTTTCTTTTTTTTCTGTCTTACTCTTCCTTTTCTTTTGTTCTCCTTCTTGTTTCGTGAACATGATGACGAAAGACTTAGCAAGAAAATTTGATAATGACGATACTAATGAATACTTACTAAAATATAATGATTCACTTTTTGTAATATTTTACTATGTCAAACAATATTAGTTATATGTTTACATTCGATATTTTTCAAAAGATTCCTATCGTAAGAGAATGAACATGAATAATAAAACATTTTTTTGATTTATGCAAGATAAAAATATATTTCCTTTGAGTAATTATTGCAACATACCAATATTTGACGTCATAGTAAAGTCAAGTATGAATCATCATCGGTTAATAATTATTGTTATCAGTAGATTTTCTCTGTACTAAGAAATATTAGTCATCGATTTCTTTTTGAAGGAAATGAAAAAAATTTCATTTCATTAAAAAATGTGGTATTCAATGACATAGAAAATAGGTTTTGTTTTTCTTCGTTCTTCTTCTTTTTGATTCTGTGTGCCATATGTGTTCTAAGTAGTGAATAAGCAATTATCCATGATTGATGTACTCTTATTTCCTTTCCTGCTTACTAAAGAGACAGCAAACAAAATTTCTTGTTTCTGACAAACGTGTCTTCTATGTCAGTATTCCCTCTATTAACAATCTGGAATACAAGTTATACACCACAAATTACTAAAGCAAAAACTCAACAATGGATATTTGGAATACTAATTGGTTCAGCACCTATTATATCGATTGTTATTTGTTGGATGTTTGTTTCATGCTGTGTAAATAGCTTTACTAAATATTCTCAGTATGTCAAAAACCGTCACCGACAGATTCAAAGAAAACTTATTAATAAATGTCCTGTCCAGACAGATAGTGTTTAATGATTTCTATGTATTTTTAAAAAAACATAAAAACAAATGATTTTCTTCTTATCTGTAAGTTTTATTTTTTTTTAAAGTGTTAATTTACAAATAAAATATGACTAGCATTGTAAGACAGTATCACGATTCGTATAATTATGTTTACTTCAATGAGAAAATCTTATGATCGATTGGATAAATTATTTAAAAAAAAACTAAATAGAATTTATATGATTTAAGTAAAGGAATCAATTTTGTATAGTTTAATGAATATTCTATAGTAGATAAATTTTTATGTTCGTGAGAATGATATTGATCTAATATGAAACGTATAATTAAAGTATTATCTGATTAATATGAACAATAGATTTTCTTTTGAAACAATGTTCTTTAACTTAGATAATGAATATATGTGATATTTAGTCCTTATAAAGGTCAGAACATCTGCATATAATCTTGTCTGCCGATAATGTGATAATCATTGATTCTATGTCTAGCATAAAATATCGGATTCTCTAAACTTTGTACGAAGCACTTATGTTTGAAATTCTATCAGAAGTATGTGAGTTATTGTAAATTTCACTTTTTATTATATACTATTTCAATTGACGATAATCGATATTTATTGCAATCTTTTTCTCATTAGTAAAACCTCTACTAAGTTACTTTTATCTATGATATTATGAATCATTATATTTATTTATTCATTATAATTACTAAAGCTAAAAGAGATTTCTAATCAAGGCATATATATATATATATACATCAGAAATATGAGAATATGTCCCAACATTGATTTTGACAGCGAGAAGAGAAGAGATAATTGTTTCTAAACATACATGCAAAAACAAAAAAACAGCTTCGTTGATCACAAAGTCATCTATTAAAAAGTTGTTGACATACCTGAGGCTATTTCCCTTGAAATACAGTTAACTATAGAATTAATAAAATATTATCAACAATCATGTCTCAAATATACATATTTTAACCTCATAAAGATAATCAAAAGGTCGATGATTGCCATCTAAAACCATTACAACATGATGGAATCATTATACATATAGTATGGCTTTTATTTTCATGATTATTAGTTTTTATCCTATACATATTCAATTAGAAGCCTTAAATCAAAGTAATAAAAAGATCGTATGATAAGTATCTTATTATTTTCTTTCGATCCTATTTGAAGACAAAAACAACAAATCTCTTCATGACATGATTAATATGATTATAAATAAACAAAGATTACTTTTTTAGTTTTCTCCGAAACATCTCCATAGATAGGGTAATCCAAAAGTTTCCGGAACTTCGTCATATCTATTTTTTACACGATATACTCGAAGTAATTGTTGTGATATCACATGAAAGTTTTTATCGTAAGCAATAGGTATCAAATTGATCTCCGTGTTTATTACTACCTGCTACATTACTGTATCTACCGACTATATAACTTAGCCTGTATATATTCCAGAAACGAAGAGTCTGATTAACGAGCTTTACCTTCATTTCTTTGACTATGAAATCAATAATAATGCTCCAAAACTGATCATTATTGAAAGTGATAAGACTAGACCATACCGATACTGTTTTTATTCGATGATTTCTTTGTTTACGAATTCTAACATTTATCACTAGTATAAATAGTATTTATAGTCGCTATAGAGATCACTACGGGATAAATGATGACTTGAATTTCAGCAATACGGGTATATGTTATTCTTTTTGATACGGTTACATCAATAAATGTCGCTTAGACTAATAGTTTCTCTTGTTGATCTAAGGCCCCAAACAGACAGAGAAATGAATTAACGTTAAAGTTGAATTAAGCGATATAATTGGCGCATTATCGTGATAAATCGTCCAAAAAAAGATGATTTATCTCATAATACATCATCGTATTGGTTAATTCATTTTTTCAGTCTGTTTGGGGCCTAATTCTCAATCATGATTTTCATCCACTATTGCTATGGGACATATAAGTCTGGTAAGTACTAATAATATTAGATAAGATTTATTTGCCACCCACGCATCATTGAAATGTTCGTAATAGACAGGGAGGTCAATTGCTTACCTTTTTTTGTTTACTTCGAAGGAATGTCTCATGAGTGAATAAAATAGGTAAAACTTTCCATATATTATTACAACAACTACCTCAAATATATAATATAGAGAAATAGATATACTCAAGTTCCGGGAACCTTTGGATCATCCTACGTATATAAATATTTCGGTTCTATTTATTGAGTATATTATATCGATTATTATTTCAGATGTATTTTGTCTAGGATTTCAATTGAGTTTTTAGAATATCATGCGTATGATCTTATCATGTAAGTAACAGAAGCCTGAAGTCGTCGCTATTTGAAAGAAGATATCGGCAGTGACGAACCCGGAAAGTTAGTGAGAGGGTGGCAGTCACCGAATCGCCAACTTCTGCATCCACCACTGGACTTCGATAATAATGTGAAATAAAAACTTGCGTATGACAAGATCGTTATTAGAATTCTTTAAAAGAATATATGTGCTGAACGAGGAACAAATTAAAACAAGAATCTTATATTTTTGAAATAAGTAATAGAATTGAATTTTAAATGCAGTTCCGAATGGGCTTAAAAAATATTGGACTCTACAAACAAATCATATACTTGAAAAATTTATTCGAATCATTCATATGATTAATAAAAATTCAATCATAAATGTTAAAAATAATCGAATATCAAATCTTATTGATTCACAATATTGAGCAGCAAAAATTAAACTTCCCATAATATTTGTAAATACTTCATAAATTTATGTATACTCTATCGATATTTGTGTGAATAATGAATAAAAATTTGTTATTTTTATTGATGTTAACGGTTGATTATTTTCTTTTTTTATTATATATCAATACAAAACACACACACATTAAAAAACCATCGTAACATGTACGAATGTTGATGTTGTGTAAGTTGTTTGCTGTTTGATGTTTCTAATCGAATAAACCAAATCCCTAATAAGAAGAAACAAAAAAAAATTCTTAAAAATTAAATTCTTTTTTTTTATTCTACAAACCATATCTCCATCTTCTTCTTCGGATTCTTCTTTTTTCTTTTCTTCTTTCTTTGGTGCTTCTTTGGCAGCTCCTTTCTTATCAGCTGCTGCTGCTGGGGCTGCACTAGCTGCTGCAGCACCACCACCAACTGGTAAATTGGTTAATTTTTTGGTACCTTCTTCGATAATTTTATCAAGACTTTTTCCTTTCAATGCATCGACTACTTTTTGTGCTTTTGCATTGTCACAATCGATACCGACACTAGCAAGAATTTTTGAGATTGATGAAACATCGGGATTGGTATTTCCAGCAAGTGCTGCAAGAACGTATGCCGCTGCGTAACGCATTTCGATAGATTAATCGGAGCGAAACTTTTTAAAGCGTCTAAAAACAGAAAAAAAACAAAATTTTGTTCATATTAAGTTAAAAAGTAAATGTAAAATGAAGTATAAAAATGTTGCTGTTGATGATGCCGATGATCATTGAAATAAACATAAAACCTCGACGAAAGATGATATATTATTGCATGATTGCATTAAAATGTTACATGAAATAATAATTTATTGGTTAATAATATAAACCAATAGGATGAAATTAAGCTTAAGAACAAGGAAAGATTTTGTTTATTTTTTTTCCTTCTTACTGTTTTATCGTCTATATCTTCTTCTTTTGGACTATATTCGATGTCATACGTTATCTTTATTTCTACCTATGCATTCCAATGATTATATTGATTAATATTAAAAAACTTTTGTGAATTATTATTATTATTTATTATTATATACTTTTCTTTTAATTCTTATTCATTGTTATTATCAAGCTGGATTATCCACCTGATGTTGATATGCAGAGTATGTTTAATATTAAAAAATATCTTTTTTTAACTGAAAACAAATATTGACTTTCTTCTTAGGTAGTAGCAGTGATGGCGATCTACTCGATTGGTATCCATCACAAGTTAAAGGACCAGTTGATGATGAAGTACAAGAAGGTAAAAATCATCTTGAAAGCAATGAATCACAAATTTTTTTTTGTTTTTTTCTTCTTTCAGCTGATTTAATATCAACAATTGAATTTAATGAAGATGGTGAATTACTTGCCGTCGGTGATAAAGGTGGCAGAATTGTTGTATTTCAACGTGAGCAACAAGTAATTATAATAAGATTTTATTAAATCGCTCTTGATTTTGAACTATATCTGTCAGTATAAACTAGATCGATCGAAATTTTCTATCGTAGCATATGCTTAAATGTATCTACTTATATTTACTCATGTAATGGGACTTTCCATCTGAACTAGAAGGTGTTATAACATACAAATAGGTCATCTCTATTTAAAAGTAGTTAGCTATACTATTAATCGGTTTTGAGTTTCAATAGCAACGAGTGAAATTCCCCGATTTTGATTTGAAGTAACGAATAGAGATTAGAATTCTAGTTTTTCCCTGATGTATGTCGTATATGCTATCGCCCTACTATGAAAATATAAATATCGAGTTGTGTCAAATTCCATACTTTCATTTCGATTACATTCTTTTTTTCTAGACAAAAACATCACCACGTCGTCATGAATACAATGTTTATATAACATTTCATTCCCATGAACCTGAATTTGATTATTTAAAAAGTTTGGAAATTGAAGAAAAAATAAATCAGATACGTTGGCTTAAACGAAAAAATGCTGCACATTTTCTTCTATCAACAAATGGTAAATAAATAATTTATTTATTTTCCTATTTAATTCTATGAATTTTTGCTTAGATAAAACTGTTAAATTATGGAAAATTTCCGAAAAGACAAAACGAGCTGAAGGATATAATTTACGTGATGATAATGGAATTACTCGTTCAGCTGATACTCTAACTAATTTACGTATACCAGTGATTAGGTTAGAATATTTTTATATATTACATAAAAAGAAAAAAAACAACATTCTCTTTCTCTAATAGACCTATGGAATTAATGGTTGAAGCAACACCTAAACGTGTTTTTGGTAATGCACATACATACCATATCAATTCAATATCACTAAATAGTGATCAAGAAACATTCTTATCTGCTGATGATCTACGTATTAATTTATGGCATACAGAAGTGACAGATCAAAGTTTTAGTATGTTTAATTTTTATTATTTTCATATATATATACGTCATTAAATGAAGAGAAATGCTTTTTATATCTGATTAGTCATGCATATAATTAAAAAGAATGAATTTTTCTCTTGACAGACTATTGAAGTTTATAGAAATTCTATGGATAGTGTCATTAATTTCATATAAATAATAATAACTCTATAAAGTTCTTGGAGATTAATCACATGTCGTTAACAGTATTGTGATATAGATTGATAAAAGAAGTAGCTTCGTTATTAGAAGATCAGATAAAAATGAATTTGACTTGTGCAAAGCGATTATATCTTCAATGATGAGAGCCTATTGACTGATGATCATTTACTATTTCTGTTAGTAGATTTTGTAAACTTTTTTTATTTAGTTAATGAAGTTTGAGAACATTGTTCTAATATCAATTCACAGATTAACATTCTTAACATTAATCTGTTAGTATATGCACTAGAACATTACTTTTTTTTATTAACATCTATGATGCTAATAAACGCCTGAAAAAACCTTCTATACTAATCAATTGATATTACAAATTTATCATAACATGCTTTTGAATATATATATATATTGTTTCATTTAGATATTGTTGATATAAAACCACCTAATATGGAAGATCTTACTGAAGTGATTACTGGTGCGGAATTCCATCCACGTGAATGTAATCTTTTTGTATACAGTAGTTCCCGCGGTATAATACGTCTTTGCGATATGCGACAATCAGCACTTTGTGATCGACACTGCAAAGGTATAAATTCAAAAAAAAAATGAATAGTAGACCTATTCATATTATGTTGTTTTTTTTAGTTTTTGAAGAACCTGAAGATCCAACAACTCGCAGTTTCTTTTCAGAAATTATTTCATCAATAAGTGATATTAAATTTAGTCATTCAGGCAGATATATGCTTACACGAGATTTTCTCAATCTTAAAGTATGGGATTTACAAATGGATAATAAACCTGTTGAAACATATCCTATACATGAATATCTTCGCACTAAATTATGTGTCTTATATGAAAATGATTGTATTTTTGATAAATTTGAATGTTGTTGGTCACCACGTGATGAGTATGTGTATTGCAAAAATAATTATTCGATATAATGATGTTTTTTTCGTTCTAGTCATTTACTCACCGGTTCTTATCATAATTTATTTAAAGTCACATCACGTTTATCAAAAAAAGATGCAATATTTGAATCATCACGTGAACAAGCTATACGTCCACGACAATTATTAAAATCTAAAAAGGTGCTTCAATCAGCTCGTCGTAATCGTCGGGATGAAATAAATCCTGATAGTTTAGAATTTTCAAAAAAAATTCTCCATTGTGCATATCATCCAACAGACGATATTATTGCTATTGCAACAGCACATAATCTTTTTACATATACTGCTAAAGATTCATCATCATCATTATCATCTTAGACAAATTATTAAACATATATATATATATATTGGTGGAGGAACATATTTGTATTTGTATTTTGTTGTAATATCATTCTCATCATGGAACCTCGGTGATTGTTTGTATCCCATTTCTTTAAAAAAAAAAAGCGTAATTTTTTTTTTGTTCATTCGTTCGTTCGTTTATTCTTTATCTTAGTTTCTAAGAACATCCTCTAACTGGACCAGTGAGATTTTCCAGTATCATCCTAGTTTTTTTTTTCTTCTCTTTCTTTCAATATATACACACATACCATTCCAACTTTTGGCGGCGTTTATTTTGTTCCCTGTACTTCTTCTTTTTTTTTTTCTTCGTGTAGTTATTCTCAAAGAAAAGCGTAAATATATCTGTATGTGTATGTGTGTGCGTGTGTGTGTGTGTGTATTTTTTTTTATTGCTCCATTTTTTCCCCATCATCGAATCAAAACACAAACAAAGATTGTATCTGTTTCATGTTTCTAACTCTCTCTCTTTCTCTCTCTTTTTTCTTTCATCTGTCACAAACTTTAAGCAAAAAAGATATTAACAAAACAATACTATGTTTTGAAAAAAAAATCAAACAAAAGACTTTTTTATGCAAACAAAGTGAGAAGATCAATCTTTGACTTTTGGCATTGAATAGTTTTCGGAATATTCAGATGATTCATTGTGTGATATTTCGTGGTTCATTTCTTTAATTAACAGGATATTCTTTTGACAAAACCTTATTCAGCTCATTATGGATATAGGTCAATCTAATTATTACAAGATAAGTTCATCTAATCTTTATAAGAGTCTGATAATGACTTTAAAAATACGAGATTCTTTAACTCAATGATGACTTTTACTAATGTTTGTTATTATCAACAAGTAGAAATCAAAGAATGTTTCCCAGTGTATGTTGTTTACTACTCGAAGTCGAATAAATGATGCATGAGAGAAAAATTTCTCTCATATTGCTTAATGTCTGTTAAAATCGTAAAGAAAATTGAAAAAGCAACATGACATCAACGTTAAAAATCAGATTCATTCATGCATTTATTTGAAAATCAAGTATATTATTTTGAAATAAGCAGCGGTCTTAGATGAAAAGTAGAACAATATTTTATGCTTCAGTTTGAATTAATTTAATAAGCATTGTAATAAAAATAGAGTTGAACGGAATGATAAAAAAAGGATAAGAAATAACATAAAGATACGAAAAATATATATGTATATTACTTATAATGACTTGACGACAGGTCCAAGATGAAAAGTTGCTATTTTTTCTTCAGTTTTCGTATTTATTACTCTCTAACACACTTTCTAAGTATTAAAACATATTTATCATCATGTAGAACCCGCTACTAGCTATTGCCTACTATCAATAACTATTCAACTTTTGCATAACTAATCATCACTTAATTGTCAATAGTGTGTTGTTCGAACTCTCTTATTCACTTATTTATGCAAAAAATGGATATTGATTCAAACATCGATAGTAAAAATTGTGATCATGATAATTTTCACTAAGTGCCGATTGAATTCTAAAGAGTTTTTACTTTTGAGTAGTAATTACATTAGTTTTGTTATTTTATTGATCCAAGAGCTTTCATTCTTTCTCGCTAGTTTAGTTTTGACTAATTTTGTATTCATTTATTATTAATTATTGTTATTACTTCTTGAAATTATTACTTTGTTACTGTAATAAAGTAATAACACAATAATAGATGCGATATTAAGATAAGAATACTATTTTCTGGTCAATTGTAATATTCCAGAACTTCTCACGCATGCTAAATTGATAGAAAAAGTAGAGTATAACACGGTTATACTAAATTCTAACTTCTCATCTTTTTTATAGATATTCCTTAGCCAACACAACGTCCGTTTTCCGCGTTGCCTATCGTGGCACTGATAAAATCGTCTCGCTTGTATATTTCTTTACCCTATCGGATCTTGAGTGTGGGTGTGGGCGGTACCGATATTCTACTTCACCTACATCCATAATCTGCCCACCTACACCCGCAACCACACTCATTGAATTTTAACTTTTCATCTTTTTTTTCTATTTGCGAATACGACTCTTTATCTTTTTCTTTTTTCTTATTTACTAATAGTAGAATGGAAAATAAAATCATAGAAGTTTAATCGTTTAGTATTACCGTCTTGTCTTTCCGTTTTATTATAAGTAAATAAGAAAAAAGAGAAAAAGATAAATAGTCGTATTTGCAAATAGAAAAAACAAAGATGAAAAGTTAAGACTTATATGTTAACTGATGAAAGAAATAAAAACTGTCTCCGAAACGTTTTAAATAAATATTTCAACATATAATATAAAGATATTAAATTCAATTCAATTATTAATAGAAACAGATAATGATTACAATTGCAAAATTATTTCTCACTATCTAAGGAAAGTCTTGATACAATACTAGAAAATATTGTTCTATATACTGGTTACTTTAGTAACATTACTAGTTTATTGAGATGTTTTTGTTATGAATATTTTGTTAAATTGACAGCCTAGGCAATCTATAAAATTGTTCACTCTAATTGATGAATTTTTATATACAATTAATAAATCATTGACAATCTAATTTAAGTAAAAGTCATTTTAATATATTATGAAGTTTCCGTTTATTAAAAGAGAGAGAGAAAAAAAATATTTATTAGTTAAATATGTACCAAAAAATAAAGCGCTAGGCGAACACGAATCACAACTTGCAGAAAGATCACAAAAAGCATAAAATATCGCGAATATGTTTTAGCAACTAACTATGTATATATACATCTACTACGATCGTGTAGATGTATCTCTATTATGAATTGAATCATATGGTGGTGGAGGCATATCATCATCAGTAAAATCTAAGGCAACCATATTCATTGTATCCACAGTAGTTGATCTTGTATTATGATTTGAATTTTCTGTTGTACCAATTATAACAGGAACTTGTAAATCAAAATCTGTAAAAAGTCCTTTAGCTTTTATTTCTAATTTTAAATCATAATGTAAATCAACATGAACAATTGATCGTATACCATTACTTCGATAACTAAATGATGGTGGTATACCTAATGGAATTACTAATGGACATGTTACTTCAATATGTTGATCTTGATTATTAGATAATTCTGCAACAGGTAAACGAATAAGTTCTAAACGACGTCGACATTGTTCAATATCATAACGTTGGATAAAACATGCATCAACACGTTTAATTGTTACACGATTTGGATTTTGTATATCAAGTGTTAAAATTGTTTGTTCACCTGGTATAAGACCAGCATGTTGTAAAACACCTTTTACAGTAACATCTTTACGTTTTGTACCAAATTTAACTGCACTTTGAGAATTACTTATATTGTAAAGATTAACTCGTGGAAATATACGAATTGGATAACGATGACGATCATTCGAATGATACCATTTTTTTTCCAATAAAACCTATTTTTTTGTTTTAATAGAGAGAAAAAAATAAGATAATTTGAATTTTTTGTTTTCTGAAACATACCTGTAATTGATAACGAACAAATGGATAATCTTCAGGATGTAATGTTGGTGGTAAATCATCAGGTAAACGAATAGAAAATGGATATGTATATTGACCAGGTTCAAGTGTTGATGCATCATGATTATCATGATGATGAAATAGTTCATGATGTGTTTGTTTAACTACTGTTGGATTACCTAATAAAAATTTTTGTCCTAATATTCTTACATTATGACAATCTGTTTTTCTTTCCATTTGTCCATTTTGCATTCGAACGGTACGTGTTGTTGTGTAACCAATATCACCAGTTAATGATAAATATATTTCATCAGTTTTTTTTGTTCGTTCAGTTATATTAAAATGTACTTGACCTGATATAACATCACCAGCTATATAAATTGCTGGTTGAGCTTGATCCAATGTTACATTGATTGAACTATTATTATTACCCATCGGGAAGCGTTGTAATGTTGTTTTTTATTCAAATAAAACAATGGGAATTATAAAATATGTTTCTTTTTCTTTTTACTTGTTTGGTCTTACTTCTATATTGGAGAAGAAATGCCGATCGTAGTGCGGAAATAAAAAGTAGAAAAAGAAAAAAGAAGTGTAAAAAACACCGTTAAAAAAAATTTTCAGTAATTCTATAGAAAAAATAACGCAAATAAATAAATCGAGTCTTTTTTTACTGACGACATGTCTTTCTTTTTATTTTTCTTGACAATAATGTCGTTCTATAGGAGAAACGCTATATACCAATTCTATTTTAACATATTGTTATAAGTAAACGAGAGAGAAGAAAAAAAAAGAGGAAACTATTAAACAAAAAAAACTTTATTCAGTTGAGTTTTTTTAATTTTCAAAGAAGCATAATAAAGAAATTTCTATTTGTAATATTTTTTGACACTTCGACATATCTAAAGAAAAACAACTTATTCATAATATTCAGGAATCTCATATATGTTCAATTTATTTTTGAACATTACTTGTTAGGATAATAATACTAAATAGAAATTATTTTCAAGTATTATTATTGAGTTCAATGAATAAATATTAGTGAAATGGCCTGTAAATATCTTTTTATTTTTGAAGACCTTTGGGGCAGTATTTAAAATATTGCAATTAGTAATTTTTGTATCTTGTTTCCATATAATAAAAGTGTCTTTGATCTATTTATATATCTATCTTATTGTCTATTAATTATATTACAAAAAATATCGTAGTTTATTTGGTTTATTGAAATATCAGAGAAGAAATATTGTTCGGATCAATTGAAATCACCGTAATTGATAGTCATTTATTCAGCAGAATCATTTCAAAGATTAGGTTCGATTAAAATTTCTGTAAGATCGACAAAATCCTACTGTTTGAATCCAAAAGACTAACTCTAATGATCTTCTATACTGATTCGAAGTAAATTAGTTTAATAAGATTCATTGAATTCGATATCGGATATATTCCCGTATACATTACAAATAGTAGACATATACATTAGTATGTTGATAATAATGAATATCATTAATAATATGTTATATAGATTTTATTTTTAATATAAAATATAAATACATGAATAGACTCTTAGTAATTTCAATAAAATTTCTCTTATCTGAATTGAATTGGTGTATTACAAATCTAAAACTTTCCGGTTCCTGATTACCGATACCACTGACACTCAAATGCACTGATAATGGCAGTGCACTGATGTCCTCAGTGCATTTCAGTGTCAATGACTTCAGTGTCCATTTTTTCAGTATTTTGCACCGACATCGCCCATTTCTAGTTTTATAATTCTTGAGTCAACAATGTTGTTTGATCTTTGAAATAATTAATGTATACATATTTAAAGCAAGCTATACCATTCAGTGATTGAGTTATTTACATATTTTCATTACTTACCTGATTAGAAAAAAAATAAGAGCGATTACATTCGAAAAGAGAGGCAGATATTGATGAAATTTTCTACACAATTCGATCTCATCAAGATCTCGGTCGAGCCTAATTGGACGAACCATTCCGGAGTTATTGCAAAAATACTGATATTTCCATATACATTTTTTTGCAGTATACATAACTCTCGGATAAAATCCGAAGTTTCTGCATTTATTTGTATATCATTTAAGAAATTCATATTGCTTTAAAAGATAATCTATATTATTTTATTTTGATAATAAAATAAAAAATATATGTGCGTATATTTATATATATATATTTATGAAAAGATTGGTGAATATTTAATGTTCGCATACTAATTTGAAAACCCGTATTATTGTGTTTCTGTAAATGAAAATGATTAATCAATATTTTAAGAAAGAGAAAGAAAACTAATACTACGAAAACAAAACTAACAGAGAAATTATGTTATTTATTTTAACGATAATGTTGATGAGAATAGGATGTTGTCGAAGCTGGTCCAACAAATGGAACATTATTCATGGGCTATAAAATATAAAGATTTTCAAATTAATTAATTAATTAAGATTATAAAAATTTTACTCTGGCTGATGGGACATGTTTTGTTTCTTCAGTTTCACTTTCTTCAGTCGATGATGATGATGATGATGATGACGGCCCTGATGATCCTGATGATGATGATGATGTTGTTGTTCCAGATGAAGATACTTCAGTACTACTTTCAGAATCATTTGATGAAGCAGGTCGAGATTGTTGAACTTGTTCATGAGGTTGTGCAGCATGATGCATTATAGTTTGCGTTGGAGCATTTAATGATGAAACTGTTGATTGAGTTCGATCTGAAAATTGATCACTTTGTTCACGTCGAATAGTTGCTTCTAATGCAGCTGTTAAAGCTGGATTATTGCTAAGTTTTATATGTTGAATAACATTATTTGGTAATTTATCGATAACAACTGGTTCAGGATATGCAGCACCAGCTGAAGGTATATTCATTGGAATTGGATAACCTTCAGGTGCACTCGGTGGTGCATATTCAATATTAAAATGACGACCCTGTAAATCAGGAATTTGACTAGAATACAAAAGATATAAGTTAATGAAATGTCTTCATCTTTTTTTTTTGGTGTATTATATTTACTTAAGCATATTAAGAAGACTTTCTTTGCTTAATTCAGGAACATCTGAGATGGGTGCTGGACGAAACATTTCACTTGAAGCAGAACCTGCTTGTAATCGATTAGGTATAGTCGGTTGATCACTGACAGTTGAGGGTGTTTGTTCTGTTGCCATTCTAAAACCAGTTGCTTTTAATGCGTTAATACCTAAAATAATAAAAATATAAAATATTATATTATTCTTTTTTTTGTCTTAAATTTTTGAATAGAGATAAGAGAAAAAAAATTATGGATAAATGAAAAAAACCTGTTGGATAGAATGTATTAGGCTGTAATGGTCTACTATTTTGATAAGGTAATCGGAATGCTTCTCTTGGTTGAGAATATTGTTGTTTAAATAAAGGCGCTGAAGGTTTGCCCATATGAATATTTCCATTTTGTAGATTAAAAAGAGATGGTCCCCGTACAGGAGGTGCAGAAGGAAAGGAAGGAGGGGTTTGTGAAGGTTTTGGCGAAGGTTTTGGTGAAGGTAAAGGATTTGGTTGATATAGTGATTGTTGTTGTTGTGGCTGAGGCTGTGCCTGCGGTTGAGGCTGTGCCTGAGGCTGATACTGTGGATGTATCTGTGCCTGAGGTTGTGCCTGTGGTCGAGGCTGTGACTGTGGCCGAGATTGTGTCTGTGGTGAAGGCTGTGTCTGTGGTCGAGGCTGTGACTGTGGCCGAGGCTGTGTCTGTGGTGAAGGCTGTGCCTGTGGTCGAGGCTGTGACTGTGGCCGAGGTTGTGCCTGTGGTGGAGGCTGTGCCTGTGGTCGAGGCTGTGACTGTGGTTGTAGCTGTTGTTGTAAATGAGGAGGAATTTGAACAGGTGGACGTTGTTGAAAAGAGAAAATAGGTCGATTAATAGGTGCTTGTAGTTGTCGAATTGGAAATTGTGATTGAATATTTTGTCGAGAAAAATTAACAACAATTGGTTCTTTTTTGCCATGCGTATGAGATCGTTGCACTAGTTGATTATTGATAGCTTCTCGAACAGCTTCCTCAGAAGGTGGAGCACCACTGGACGGATCATAACGAACTTTAACAATAACTGTTGAATCATCATCAGTTATGTCAACTTCAGATCTTTGAGAAGAGATAGTTGTTGTTGTTTTTGATACTTTTCGCATTAAATCACTTATCTTTATTGCTTGAGCATCAACAGGTGCAACAATACTAGCAAATAGTTTTGCTTTTGGACTAGTACTTGGTCCTACTATTCGAGGTAATGGAGGCATTGTATGCGCTTTTCGTTCCTTTTGAATACGATCATTTATATGACCAGCTGAATATGAACTAGGTATTTGTACTGGAACAGAACGTTCTGATGGAATATTTATGAAACTTAATGGTCGAGTCAATGATCGTTCTTTATCATTAGTCTTTGATCTTATTGACTGTAGTGAATCTAAAAAAATAGAAAATAAATATTATTAGTGAAGTTTATAAATATTTCAATACATACGATGATTTGAAAGTACTTCAGGTCGAGGTGGTTTTGGTGAATTCTTTATTTTGTTATTGTTTTTTAAAAATGATGTCATCTGTTTTTCTTTATTATATTGATATTTTGGAATTGAAGGTGGTAATCCATACTGCATTTGTGGTATATAATTTTGATTTCGTAAAACGGCATTCGTTTGATTTAAATTAATTATTGGTTGATATTTAAATTTAGGGGCTAATGATGTTTGAGGATGCATTTTTTTTTTTACACAAAAGGACAATTGTCTTTTAGATCAATGTTTTTAACGTTAATAATAAAGAAAGGATAATAATACAAGACTGGCAGACACACTACATTCACAAGGTATATAAGATATGTATATAAAGAAAAGTTGCCTTGAGTTATTACTTTTCCTATCTAGTTACGACTGAATTGGTTTATCTACCTGTAAAAAATTGCTCGATGTCTACAGATTCTTTATCATTAGGGTCAAATAAAAAAATATCGATATTTTTTTATATTCTATCATGGAGAATTTGATAAAAACTAGAAAATATATAATTTACTGAATATATATATATAACAATTCAGTTTAATATTTGCTTATCAAGTAAAAATAATTACATAATATATTCTAACGTCATAAAAGTATTTTTTTTTCGACTAATACAACGATATTCATTTAATAATAAACAAATATAAATATAATTTAATTATTAACAAAATCTATTTATTGAATTTTTTATAATAATACATACCTAGTTATAAATCGATGAAATATACTGATATGTTTCTTCGATAGCGCTTGCTTCAACTTTTGAAATGATTGATGTACACGAACGAACGTATATAGTGAACACAAAAGAGAAAAGAAAAAATGCTATACAGTTTACACCTCAATGCTCTTTACGTATTGTATATGTTTTCGAGTGACAATGGATCGTTGTCATTATCATAAGTATATGAATATGTATACACGCGTCTCACGCTTGACCAATCTGCTCATCAATCATGCGATATGTAAGAAAGAATCGATAGACGATTTGATATGCCTGTTTAAATAAAGTCACATATTTATTTTGTTCATAAGATAACCATCAGTTATATACTTGAAACGAATTTCTTTTTTCTTCTTCTTTTTGATTTGAAAATGAAACTAAAATGATATTTCAAACGATTGATTGATGAGAAAAATCAATAATTTATACATTGACTATTCTATTATTACGTATTCTTAAGAATATATTATAAAATAGACTAAATTGATTCAATGAGAGAGAGAAAAAAAGTCATTTTCTTTGTATATTGATCGAGAGGTTATCTGTCAGTTTGATCTATTTCGACAAGTTTTTCTTTTCATATTCATACAAATCATAATAAACAGTCAAAATAGTGCGCTTGACTCAAGGTAGTCTTCTTTTTTTTTTGCGATTACGAAACAAGATGAAAAATGTGCATTCTAACCAATGTTATTAATCGATATGATTGCATAAATGTCTACGACAATCGATTGTATGATAAAATAGATTTCAGATAATTTCTAAATAAACGATTAATCAGATATATATGTCTACCGCGTATATACAAGGCTTTTTATGCAATAATAATTCAAATATTGTAAGTATTTTATTTATTCATTATCAATAATGGACGCAAAAGAAAAATCATTCAGCTTTACTAGATAAAGAAGACATATGTCAATAAAAAAAACACACAGAAGAAAAAATTTTGTATAATTAAATCAAAACAAAAGATTCGTATTAATTAAGAAAGTAATTTCTTTGATTTATATCTTTTTAAAAAATCAGTACGTAAAACACGATAAAAAAGTATTGGATTCATAATCCATACACCAGGAAGAAGAATATACATAACGTATATGTAATTAATATCTCCAACACGATAACGGTCATGATAAACAAATATAGTTACAAAAAATAACATACAAAGACGACAAAGAAAAAAAGTTAAAATATTTAAAAACATATTTAAACGTACAAAAACATTATCCCGTGGAATATGATATAATTGAAATAATTTTCTAGCATGTAAAAATATCGAATTTATTTCAGCTATTAATGCAAACATTTGATAACCAATATTTAAAACACGAAATATATTAAAACTGAAGAATATTATTGTCTAAATAGGAAATATTATATTATTTAGTTGAAAACTTAAAAATAATCATCCTGTGATCTAATGAGGGAACTTTCCAAGGTATTCAAACAGTTTAAAATTCAGCTTTTAGCCATATGTAGATCCTGATAAAGGCGCGAATCCTTAGCAAGTTTTTCATACCTCATTAGGATCTACTTATGTCTAAACTGTTTGAATATTTCGGAAGGTTATCTCTATTCAATGATTATTGTAATAATTCTAAGACAATATTTTCTTTTAACTAGTTTCGAAATAATTCGAATATTTTAAAAATTCAACTTTTATAAATACAATTGAAAATTATTTTCTATTCGTTATGTTAGTGAGCGATTGATATTATATTTATATTTTCTTGATTATTTTTTTGCACGATATCTAAACAATAGCAACTTCATGTTTGAAAGTTTATATTAGTTATTCTTGTCTTCTCGTTCTTGATAGTGAATATTCCTTCGATGTTTTATCCTTGAAACTTTAATCTGTAATTTCCTTTCTTAATTAGCATATATAATAGTTTTACTGATGTAATTCGAACAGTGAGTAAGAAAAACTATTGTTCCTATTTCAGTTTTACTATACTCGAAAATAAACTTACAAGAATATGATGAAGTAATAATTCCAACATTTCGGATCCTCGCCTGTTTGATATAATATCGAATAAATCATACCAAAAATATCCTAATAAAATTTGAAGTCTATTTATTGATAGAATTATTTTAACTCACCATAGGATAATGCGCATGTTAAATAAGTAACTAAAGTTATATGATTAACAAAATCTTGATATATATCAGGTGAATATGCCCAAAAACTATATATTACTGCTACACCAGTTATCAAAGAATGTAACCAACTAATTAATAAATTTAAACGTTCCCATTGATGATCATCTGCACAAGTAAAACAAGTTTGAAAATATGGGTTTGATTTAGTTCGATGAGTTTTAGGTGAATGCCGTATAAATGTTAACGGTTGTACTAAATAACGGCAAATAACAAAAAAACCAAATGATAATACTGTCCAACTAATACCAAGTGTTGTATTAATCGTCACCATTTATCTAAATATCTACTAGTTTAAATTAATCAAAAGCGTTTTCTGTATTTTATAAGACAAAATCTTATGCCCTTTTCTTTTATTATTACTTAAGCATATAGAAAAAAAAAGAATAGATGGAACATAAATGCCACTGAAAAGCAAACACAGTAGAAGTGTTGTCAAACATCACTGTTGTCACAGAAAAAAAACATTTAGTGAAAAGATAGCCATAGGGGGAATAAATGATGTCGATTAATAAAACAAACCGTAGTTAAAACTAACAGTTATATAGGTATATAAATTATAAGGAATGAATTTAGAACTATCTGACAGAATTAGTCAAAAATAAGCAAATTATCATTAAGAAAGGATAAAATTAATAATAATAAGAAAAAAAAACCAACAACAACATGATTCATTAGACTATGTTCATTCAAAGGCACATAAATAAATACGAACGAAAACGAGAAATGTAAGAAGTATTCTGTGTTTTGATTTCGGTCTTTCACAGACAAGATAAGGACGGATAAATATGTAAAGAAAAAGAAAAAGGAGAGTCTTTGGCACTTAACAAACAAAAAGAAAAAGAAGTTCTAATAATGACGTAGATAAGAAAAAAGACAATTACATAAGCAAACTCAATAGAGTAAAAGAATTTTATTAATTGAAATAAAATGTGTCACTTCAGATTCATCGAAGTGTTCCAAAAGTAGATGATGGCGGAGTGTCGAAATAAAAATCTCGCTGTTTTAATGTTTCACGCGTACCATTTTCTTCAATTTCCTATAATAGAAAAAAGAAAAGAAAATTTATGATAATTTTATTAAAAAAGAATCAATAGAAAATTGATAAATGTGCAAAATGTCACACCGAAAACACAACAAGATATGCATTTTTTTTGATTCGAGCAGTAGTAGTTGATTAGTATGTATATAAGAGCAGCAATAAAAGTGTATAAACAAAAAAGAATCCCAGTGTATGTGAAAAGATGATGATGATGATGAAGAAAAAAAATAGAACACAGCACTCAAAACTACCTATCCTTCGCTCGCTCTATATATATGACATTAGAATAAAATATTATCGCTAGCATTGCTTATTGACCAAAATTGCTCATCATTATTTAAATCATTATTTGGCCATGTATGCCATGATGGAATTCGATGGCTACCAGTTGAACGAAGTATCACAGGTGCATGTGATGATAATACTGGGGAACGTACGACTGTTGTCGCAAATGGTTTTAGTTGAGTTCGCAGGAATGTTCCATTCGAATATGGAAGAGATATAGATTGCTACAGAAAGATAAAGTATAAAAAAAAGAACCAATATTAATCAATATATAAACCAATCACCAGTCATTAATAAAAAATAGCGATGAGTACTAATTAGTTAAAAATCTATTTATCTATTCGTTTGTCTCAAAGATGAAATACTTATTGTAATGATGATCGAATCATTTTAATAATTAACTTGAGTTTGTTGTTTCATTGAAGAAAAATTTGGATCCAATAATGTATTAGAAAATACTTGATTCGTATCGTAGATATATATCTGACAATGTCTATCATTCAGTATAGTTGGAGAATATAGTTTATCATTCTGCTTAGGTATTATTAATGGTAAACTAAGAGGTGATTTTATATGAAACTGATCAATCTGGATGAATTTATGTAGAAAAGAAAATATTTTTCTTTAATTATACAAAACAAATATATATCTTACTAATTTTCGAGTTTTTTGAGTATTACGAAATTCCATCCAATCACTTTCAAATGTTGATTGAAGTTCTTGTAATTTACGTGTTTCATATTCAATACATTGTTCTAATTTTTGTCGCTAAAGAAAAACAAGAAATTATTATTATTTTAATAAAGAAAAAAAATTTACTTGAACAAATAATAATTCATTTCTTGTTGCTTGATGTTTACTATGAAGATTTTCTATTAATTGATAATGTTTTTCTTTTAAACGTTCTTCATGAATTCGATAACGTTCATATTCATCAGTTTCAAACTAGAATAAAATAATTAATAATTATCGACATGACTTCACAAAATTGAAAATCTGTTCATAAGTATGTCAAGTTCTCTTTTTCGTAGAGAAGAGTCAAGTAAACATAAATTGTCTGATTGCTTGCTTGCTTGTATGTCCGTAGGGTCAAAAAAACATCGAAGACTGATTTTTCGAAAACGACATTTTTAGAGGTATTTCGATGCGGAGACTTCGAATCTGAGAATCGTTGGGTGACTATGTGGAGGAGAGGAGTCAAAGGTAAAAAACATCGAAAATTAATTTTTCACGGTTTTCATTATTTTTTCCAGTGAATGCGAAGAGGATGCATTTCTACGAGAAAGAGCTAAGCGAGTCCTCGGACCAGCGTTACTTGTTACTCAAGGTATAGTCAGAGCCTGCACGAAGGGTCTAAGATAGGGGGAAGGGGGTTAGCGGGTTTTGAAGAAGTATAAAAATTCTTGGGGGAGGGGGTTAGAAGGGTATTTAGAGCAGAATTTGCTAAAAAAACACAAAATCTGTTCCAAATCAGCTCCCATCGCTGTAACAAAGACAGCTATTTGCAATTATTCGGGGTGTACACTTCCCTACCCTCCCTCCGCTCGCACGGGTGCTGGGTATAGTAAATGAACTAAATTTGTTGAGAAGAGTTATTACTAGAAAGACTAGCGTTAGTAACATTACTTAAAAAAGATATCGATTTTTCACTTTTTGCAGTTAAGTTTAAAAAAAATCTTAATTAAGAATGAGATAATGATGTTGTTTTGCGACTTGAAGGAATCCCGTTTTTATAAGGAGAATTTCGTCATAAATATGACTTGGGTCCGAAAGTTTACTCTCAAAGTTTCTCCTCATATAGTTCGATTAATATTCACTAATTAATTTTAACAAAGTAGTAGATGAAAGCGTCAACATATAGGCTCCCTAGAGAAATATCCCTATAAAAATATCAAAGTCAAATGTTCTATTCTGTCGATATGCATATTCTCTTTCTCGTAAGGAAGAGTTCAGTCAGAATAAATTGTTTGCTCGTTTATGTCCGCACTTCATTGATTGGTTTAAAAAATAATTTCAATGGAGAAGTATTCTTTTCTATATTGATTTTTTACACAAAGGATAAGTTTTTTACGAAAATGTTTTTTTTTTTATAAAGTTTAATCAACGCTGATCGAAAAACTCAAATGTAAAGTCGTTTTTTTTAATTATTTGAATAAACAGTTTGTCGGTAGTGAAGACACATCGTTTCTACTTGTGACATTCAGACTGTGTAAATATCATTATATCTATAAATTGTTCAAATATTACCTTTTTAATAAGTTTCTTTTCTTCTTCAGATGATGTTTTATTCATAATTAATTGTTGTCGAAATTGTTTCGTTCGTGTTTTTTGCATTTTTTTCCATAGTTTTGGCCATTCTCTTTTATCATCTGTAAGACGTGCTTCCAGTGTATTACGTTCAAAACGTATTTGTTCATCTAATTGTTGTAATTCTTTTTCTGATTGTTGTGTTAACATTGTACGAAATAATGCGTAAAAAGATTTTGTTTGTTTACGTAAAAGATCATAACGTGAACGTAATTCTAATTCATCAATATCCCATAATTCTTGTTCATTTAGTTTTAATAGACTTTGTTTTTTTATTTGAAATTGTTTTTCAAACATTTCTATACGTTTTGCATAATAATTTTCAATTGTTTTCAATTGATTATCATATATTTGTTGTTGATTATCAAGAAATTCTTTTTCACGTACATATGATTCATCTTCTTTTTCAGTTAAATATCGTTTTAAATGTTCTTTTCGATCTTTCAATGTTTGTGAATCTTAAAAATAGAATTTTTGTAAGAGGAAAAAGAAGTTCTTCAAATTTATTACTGTGATATGTTGATGTTGGTGAATCATATTCACGTTTGATTTGTTTGATTTGTTCTCGAAGTTGTTCACGAAATTGTTTAAATTCTTTTTCTTGATCTAAAAAATATTGAATTAACAAAAGAAGAAAAACCAACAACAACAAAACAAACCAGTTTTGAGTTGTTTGATTTTTTTATTATATTCATTTGTTAATAGAATATTTTCACGTTCAATTTCAATATTATGTTTTTGTTCCATTGCTTGCAATTCACCATCATATTTTCTCATTAATTCTTCACGTTTACGACGAAATTCTTGTCGTTGTTCATCAATTTCAAATTCATGACGAACTAATAATTGTTGACGACGTTTTTCTTCTAAATGATACAAACGACGAAATTCACGATGAGCTTCTTTTCTAAAAAAGAAAGAAAAAGATGAATGTGAGTTTTACAAATCTTATTAAAAATAAATCAATAACTTCAAGATAATGTATTCATAATTAGTTTTCGATGTCATTTTATTCTATTGCAATTTGTACAAGTAACGTTCGTCCGCGGACTCACTTAGCTCTTTCTCGTAGAAATGCATCCTTTTCACATTTAATGGAAAAACAATTGAAAATCGTAAAAAATAGGTTTTCGATGTTTTTTTGACCTTTGACCACTCTTCACCCCCCCCCCTCCTCTCACTATGGTCAACCAACAGACCTCAGATTCGAACTTCCCGCATCAAAATACCTCTAGAAATATCTTTTTTGAAAAATTGATTTTCGATGTTTTTTTGACCCTGCGGACATACAAGCAAGCAGACAGTTTATTCTTACTGGACTTTTCTCTATGAGAAAGAGAATAACAAGTATAGGAAATAGTGAACTGAGATTTCAATAGTAAATTCTATGTCTTTTCTTTCATTCGATAAACTTAGTATATTACTTCTGAATATCTTATGGAAGCAAAAACTTTACCTTTCAATTAATCTTGATTGATAATCATCATGTGGTTCAACAATTTTTGTTGTAATAGTTTCTTTTTCTTTACCATCAGGTCCAACAAATCTTCGTGTTGTTCGTATTGTTCGACGACGTGTTTCTCGAGTCTAAAGATATTTTTTTAAATAAAATAATAATATTGTAAATATAAATATATACTTGTAAAGAATTTGATGTTGGATCAGTATTTGATATGATAGGAATAATTTGATCTGAATTATTTATACTTCGCATTGTATCATGATCATTTCCATTTTCTACGGCTTGACGTACGCATGTATAATAATAATCAATATCATTACTTGTATTGAGCATAGATGATGAATTTAAACGTGGCTTATCTTGTTTAAAATAATATATTGAATCGATATTGTCAGTTTCAAATTCAATTTCTTCTTCACACGTTTGTTCAATATCATCATCATCAACATCATCAGCTGTTAGATCAGTTATAACAGAAAGTATAACTTCTGGAATCGATGGTTTCTCAAAATCTGATTGAATAATTTCTTCGAGTAAATCTTGATAATATAACTCGCATCTATTATCTAATTCTCTTCGAGCTAAATCTTCGATTTCAAGACGACCTATTTCAATATTAGCACCTTTACGAGTAGGAAATATTTCATTTGGTCTTTCTGAAAACGAAGGTATTCGTTCAATAGTAATTGTTGGTTGTTTATTTTTTTCATTTATTATTGAAGAAGTTGGAGATACTCGTTGAATAGACATTGGTGGTGAAGATTCATTTGATTCAGATAACGTACGAGATTGAAATTGAGTAGTAAGTACTACTGGAATCTTAGAAGTCGTGTTCGTCGTAGTAGTAGGAGTAGTATTCGAAACAAAAGAGGGTAAGGGTGGTGGTTTCGGTACACTGTTTGATGACGTTAGTATAGGCACTAGAGGTGGTTTAGTTGTTACACTAAAAATATAAAACATTTTTTTTTCTTGTTTCTTTAGTTGCATATCGAACAAATTTGTGTAAATATACACTTATTTTATCATCGAAAATCTTTCAAAGTTCTTCTGTAGATGGGTTAACTTACTTATTAGATGTTTCAATCTTTTTGTGATCGTCTTCCTTGATCGTTGATAGATCTGGTGACATGTTTTCACCATTTGATAGACGATGTTTTTGTTCTGGTGTACTATCCGATTGTATCTGTTTATTATTATTGTGATTATCAATCGTTGTTGGAATGTCATTATTACCATTTACTAAGGAATTATTTTCTATAAGATCTACTTCAATAATTGGATTTTTTGAAAGACTAGTTTCATTATTAATAGTATCTTTCGGCTAAAAACAAATTTTTTCATAAGAAAAAAAATATTTTTTGTATAATTTACTTGAGATTCAGGTGGTATAATTTCTTCCTCAACTTCTTCAACAACAGGTGTTGCTTTATATTCTTCAAGTAGAAAAAGTATCGATGAATGAAATTCTTGTGTATTTAACATAAATGGATGTTGTTTTAATTCTTGACATGTTTTACGTTCATTTGGATCACGTTTTAAACAACATGTTAATATATCAAAAAAATCCGTACTCCATTGACGAATATTTTTTAATGTTGGTGGTGTTGCTTGACGAATTTTTGCACCAACACGTTCAGCTCTCATTTCATGATATGGTGGATCCATTTCAGCCATTTCAATCAACGTTATACCAAATGACCATATATCAACACGAAAATCATAACTCATATCGGTATTAGCTTCACAAAAAAAGACTTCAGGTGCCATCCTAAGAAGAAGAAAGTCTGTTAATGTTAAGATAAGAGTATTCTAAACAATGTCAGTCATTGAAACCGTTCCGTAATGATGAAAGTGAAACAGTATAAGGAAACAAATGCACTATCCTCGATTTTTTTTATTTATTATGATAACTCTTTGATACTAATACAAATCTCAATGTGTGTTTGTTGCACCTTGTATTCGAAATTCCCTATGTTAAATTTATGTAAATTGAATACAATCTCAAATTCATGCAGTTCTCGAATATGTCCGAAGGTTAATATTTCGATTTAAATATATTCCCTACCAATAAACCGTTCCAATATAATCATTTCTTTTTTGATTTGCATATGAATTCTTTGCCGACACACCAAAATCAGCTAATTTAACTTGTCCTGTTTGTGTTAGTAGTATATTACTTGCTTTAATATCTCTATGTATAACAAATTGTTGTGTATGTAAATAATCTAATGCTTCAAGTACTTGATAACCAATAAAACGTATTTGTTTTTCATCTAAACCATGTTCAAGTGTTGTCATTATATAATCAACAGCACCATATGTACAATATTCAAGAAAAATGTATAATTTTGTTTCATAAAGATAAGTATCATATAATTTAATAATATTTTTATGATTACAATCAGTTAATATATCAACTTCAACTAAATGTTCAGGTAATTCATCATCTGTACAATCATCAATGATTTTAACTGCAGCATATTGTTTATTTTGTTCATTATATGCTTGATACACTTTACCAAACGCACCATCGCCTAATTCTTTGATTAATTTCCATTCATTTAATGGTGTTTGTTCTTTATAAAGACGTGATGATTTTGTTAAAAGATTATCTTTTAAATTTTTTGACGCGATTGTATCATCGCTAATTGATGTATTGAAAATATTCTTTAAACGTTTTAACATTGAAAAATTTCAATGACTTCAGTTCTGTTAAATAACATCTAAAAGTAAGAAAAAAAAATTTTTTGCTTTATTTCTTTTTAAAACATATATATGATCGTTATTCATGTCATAAAAAACCTAAAGACAAACTTAATAGTCGATTGAGGAAGAAAAGAGAATTCTTTTTTGTCTTGTTATTTTATTTGCTTTCGATTTTTCTATTTTGTACATTTTATTTTATTTCGTTCTCATTTTCGAAACAGATCAAAATCTATAGGGAGCGACTAACAATCAATAATTTCACATTGATGGTAGCGATTTAAATATTTTATAGATGTTAGTTTTTTTTAAAATCAAATCTTCAACTATGTTTTCTATTGAATAACTTAATAGCTTGAGTAAAAATAATAAACATCTGTGTAATTATTTTACAATTTGTTTGAAAGAGGTCACTGTATACATGATTTGAACGATTGCATTAGGTATTAACGTTCATTTTTATTTTTTGATTGATCATAACTTTTTTGTCTAATTTATATGAATGAGTTTGACTAGTCGATTTGAAATTCAGATATACTCAATCAACATGTCACTCAAAGAGATTTCCTATCATATAATACATCTGATTTTCGTATTTATTTTTATATTGTTAGTAGATATCAGTTTGAGGTTTTGAATATAGACAAGTAGAGTAATAAAACAGAAGCATCAATAAACGAGATAGATAAAGAAACGCTATTCAGTCTATTTTATATGTTTTTATTCAAAAATCGAAGATATAGAATAAAACTTGAATTTTTATAGACAAAATAATCCTTTAGATATATGATCTATAATTTCTAATACAAATTCAAGAAATCAATTGAAGACTAAAATTCAATGAAAAAACAAGATTGAAATCATCATTATAATGATAAATAAATTTTTTATAACAAAAAATAATATTCGATTTCTATTAGACATACTTATATCGAAAATCTAATGTTTAAAAAATATTCTATTATGATAATAATGTGAATACAAAAATATATTTGATTGAAATTTTAATAGAAAAAACTGGTTCGAATCAGCTTGATGAAAGGCTTCATATATACCGGAACTACTTCAAAGTCCTGTGGACTGTACATAATTGACACACTAGAATGCTAATCATTCATATGTGCTTCAAATTACTTCATTAAAAAGCAGAAATTTAGAATAAAAAATCGAACGTATCATTTGTATACAAATTATATTTTAATTCTAAGATTAACCTTTAATTTTTATTCTTATATAAAAGTGATAATATTTCTTCTATTCAACATAATAATAAATAAAAATTACAAATCATTTCCGACGGATATTTTATTATGTAATCGATTACTTAATGAAATTCTTTCAATCGAAAATATTACATTTTATAATTGAAAGCAGATCTTCTGATGAATTGAAATATATTTATTTACATATCGTCATTTATTCTAACTAATCAATTCGGTTTTTTTGTCATATAACGAGATATATTAAGCGGCTTATATTATCAAGTTCTATCTATATATATATATGTAACCTTGAATTGTTTAGAAGAGCTAATTTTCGCACTAATAGTATACAACACAGTATGTGAAACGCATAGAATGTCAGATTAATCAAAGAAGATTTTGTTCTAGAATCATTAAATTCATTTTGCATTTAAATAAAAGATACTATAATTGTTGTCTTTTACAAAAAGAACACAATATCTAGGTAGATACTATCAATTTCAAAATAACAGTTAAATGGAATAAATATAAGTTGTAAGTAAATAATTTTAATTAATATAAATATTGAATCTACAGTAATTAACAAAAAAAGAATTTTTCTATTAAGTTTTAGGTACATATATGAAGTAAAATTTGAATATCGAAATAAAATAGTTAATTTAAAGAATAAATAAAATCAAATATAGAATTTATTATTCGAAGAAAAACACGTCTCGTCACGCTATAGATATATCAAATTCAGACACGCAAAAAAAGATAGGTACTTTTCAAATACATTCATAATTATAAGGTTTATATATTAGGCTGAATGAAATCTTTGATGAAAATATTGATTTACTAAAAAAGGGCTTTTTGTTCACAGATTAATTCTATCCTTGTATGAACTGCGATATATTCATATTTGATTTAAATATAAGAATATATTCTGTTTTTACATCTATTTAATTATTGAAAATATTTGAGTAGCTCATTTTACATTTGATGAAAAGAAAAGAATATTATATTAAATAGAATTTATTTTCATACGATATTTTAGAATGATTAGTTATTTGTTTGAGTTTTATATTCTATTTAATAGACAAATGTAATAATAAGCAATGATAGAAAAATGATGATCCGTTGATTAGACAAGAATGCATAAGTGGTCTGACTATGATAATTGTATCAAGATAGACGACTTCTTTCAAGTGCCTATTCTTATTTCTTTATAGTGGAAACAATCGAATTGCTATAATTTTTCTTTGTTTGTTATTTTATTCAGTCAGTCAGTCATATAGATACATCAAATAAGAAGATCAATCATATGGAATCATCTCACATTATATTTATATGTATATGACACGCATATAAATAAAATAGTTGATCTTTTTTGTTTGTTTTATATAATTACATAGAGACTAGATGAACAAAAGAAAAATCAATCTTAAATTATTTTAAATACGGTAAAGAAGAAAAGTAATTCGATATTATCTGTTTTTTTCTCTTTAAATTAGTAACATATTACGAAAAGAAATTGAAGTTTATCAATATTGAATGATAGTAGTTCACATTTGTATTTTTCAAATAATATGTATGAAATAATTATATAAGTGGTTACATGAACGATAAGAATATATGATTTTCTAATAGAAACAAAGTCTATTATTTTTTCATTTATTTTCAAAAGTAGGCGTAAGATCATAAATACTAAGTAGAAAAGAAAGAAAGAAAGAAACAAAAAAGGTTTTCTCATTTTTTTTAATATATATATATATTTCGTAGTGCATGTGTCGGAAACAGTGACTTTTTACAGATGAAACCTTCAACATACACGACTGAAATCACATAAGGTGTAGTTACATTTAATCTCTTCATTGTTAGTTTCCTTTCTTTGTATGTTAAAAAGGCATAAAGTAATTGAAGAAAGAGAGTCAGTGCAAAGTGGAAAAAAAGAAAAGAAAAAGGTGAAAATAGACATAAAGATGTACGACGTCATTATTTTACTTTTCTTTTCTCTTGTTATTACTACAATATATAGTTTTCTTCCGTCAATAAGTTTAGTACAATCTACATCACCTAATATAGATAATATTGAATATTTTCATATAAGAAAAAATAATGATAAAATAAAACGAAATTATTTTGATATTTTATAGTATCTTATTATTTTTTTTTTATTTAAATAAGTCAAAAGAGATGTGTTATTTTTGTTTATTGATAAGAATCATAAATAAAAACAATGAAAGGATAAAATCAAATCGTCAAAAGACGTCATCGATCCTCATTAGACAATTTTTCTGAAAGTGTTCGTGTCATTTTCTGTTTATCTGTTATACTGAACACCCACATACACGCAAACACAAAAGAAAATATATGAAAAACAGACGGTCTCGTATATGTCAGGTCGTATTATGCTGTCAACATTAACCAAGCATATCTGAACACTTTTCTTCTTTTTTAATGCATCTTTAGTCATTCTTTATTCTTTTTAAAAAGAGAAAAAGAATAAGACGAAGAAGACGAAGACGAACTAAGACGGTATATAAGATTTATCTATTTGCAAGTATGAGAATAGTAATTAAAATAAAGATGGTCTGTATATATTCTACTAGTGATAAGAAAAAAATAAAAGAGAAACGATAAACAATTTTATTAATAATAAATTATTGTGCGCAATATCTAGGAGTTATTTAACGAATGGTTTTTATCAACTATGAAACTGACAATAACAATAAATGATGACTATTATCCATAGATCAATTCTATTGAGATAAGTTAGTTAGAGAAAGATGTAACGTCTCAATTCACTTAGTTTTTTTTTCTCGCTCTTTTCCATCCACTTCTATACATGTCCAGAGGCGAACTAGACTTATCTCAAGGTAATATTCATTTTCGAACTACATCATCATTATAATCACAAGTAGCTAGACACATGTGCTTAAGATCGATTGAGAGAACGTATGTTACATTTCTATATTTTCTAAGAATTGAAAGAAGTAGAAGTAAGCTAAACAAATTTGTCTTTATTTTATTTATATTTGTAAAAAAAAAGAAGGAAACAATCACGCTAATTATTTTTTTGTTTTAGAAATATAAATTCAAAGCATTGTATTTTTATACCAATACTAACGTAAGTTCGATAAAAATTTATTCAAGCAATGATTTTGTTTATCTCGATATATAAGTCAATATTGATTTTCTTAGGTAACACAATCGTATTCTAGTCGGTTTTATTAATTCATAGAAAATAAGATGAATTCTATCAAAATTAATTATTTATTCAATAGATTATTCGAAAGAGAAAAAAAAACTAGTAAATATCATTAGAATTCTATCATTTACGCAAATGATGATCGATCGAGTCGAATAGATTTTTTTGTTTTCAATTTCATATAATAAATTTTCCACATCAAAATAAGAAGATTAGCCTTAAGTTTGACTTTTTTTATATTAAAAAATATAATGTTAAATTTGAATATAGAAAAACTTCAATCAATTTATTAGTTAGCTATAGGGTTAATAAAGATATCAATCTTCCGTTTGTTTTTCTTCGTAATCAGCATGATATTTACTGATGAACATTACCCTAAAGTATTGATCGAATAATGATTATATATCTATATACGTCAACTTTAGAGAGAACTATGTATATTTTTAAGAAAAAATATAAATGATATATTAACAGATGAGGTACGAAGACATTAGTTATCTAAAAAAAAACAGTCTCTTCGAGCACATCAAACATACATTAATAATTCTATATAAGAAAGAACAAGGATAACGGTGTATTTAGTCTACAGGAAGGAATCTTAAACCCTGAAGATAGATATATTGAATATAGACAGAGGCATTTGGTAGATAGATAAAAATGAGAAAAAGAAGTTTGCCAGAATATTATTTGACATTGAGTTTTGTTTGACCTTGTTCGATAGGTCGATTATGATTATGACTATATTTATTAGCAAATTTTTGTTATATACCGTTCATTTCAAAAAAAAATATATATGTAATCTGTATTCTTTTTTCTTTCTTTCACATGTGAGTGTAAATATGATAAAAATAATGAATAAAATGTGCGTTGTAAATGAACAAAATTTTATGTTTGATTCTATTAAGATGAGTAGCTCTTAAATAGATCAAAAAAAACATTCTTTTTTTTATTTATTAGTTAGTAACGTATAAATAACGATGAAAGGAAATTATAGTACGCGATAGACCATTATTATTTTTCAAAGATATTTCATTTGTCAACACTCATAAATTAATAAAACATTATGTTAACAAGTAGGTGGTTTATTATATTTGAGATCAGTAAATATATCATATTTTCCGACATATATGTGTTAATTTATTTAATATATACAAATTATATTATAATACGAGCATATATTTGTTGTTATCTTGTTCATCTTATTATTAATCTAATTACTAAATTGAAAACAGATACAGAACTGTTTTTATACTATTTTTATCACTATATTTTTGCACCCATTCTTTTCCTTACGACTAAGTCTTATGGAAGAATAGGAATTGAATGATCATTTTTCTTTCTTTTGTTTACTACATATGTATGGAAATTATTATTTACATATATTTTTTTTGTATCTAGATGATGCTTGATAATCGAAATTGTTGGAATGAGTCATGTGAACAGTTCTATAAATTTTATATTTAAAATTCGTATTTAATAATAGCAAATATGTCCCAAATGTTATCAGTACCATTAAGTCGTGTACGTTCACCGAAACTTAAACGACAAACACCGGTGGAAGATGAAATTGATGGTAGTCATCAACTTCAATCATTAAGATCAATTGGATCTGAAGAATCAAATTCATCACGTTCACTTTCGCCATATTGGCGTTATGTTGCAGATCCTGATTCATCATCAAGTTATTTAGATGTACCAGAAACAACAGGAACTAGTCGTCGTTCATCGAATAATAGTGCTGTACGTTTTAGTTCACATGATACATCAGATTTATGTTCAATTCTTGATATGACTGTAATAAAACAAAAACACAAAAAAATTCTTCTTCTTTTTTTGTTTATTTTTCATTTATATTTCTTTAGTGTGAATCAGAAAATTTAGAAAAAGCAATTATAAGTAATGATAAATATACAGTTCGTCGTATTATTGATATTCATCAAAATAAATTTAATTTAATCAAAGATCGTTCAAGTATTTCACGTGCACAATCAGATTATCCTATTCATCCATTACCACCAACACAACCAACTGCACATACAAATACATCATTTGGTTCACCATCAATTACAAGCAATACTGATCTATTAGAAGTTTATAGTAAACAAGCATTATTTAGTAATGATACTGATGAACACCCATCTATTTCATCACCTGAACATACAACTTCAATGTTTGATGCGGCAAGTAGTATATTAACATATACAACAGGACCACTTGCAGCAGCATTAATTAATTGTCATCATCATACACATTCAAATAATCATTTAACATCAAATCCATCTTCAATTAATATTGGATCATCTATACATGATCGTTGTGATACTGAACATGAATCAATGTTTACGGCAGCAACAAGTTTTAATAAAGAAACGAAATATCCAACAAGTGATTCACCAAATGATGCACCTCCAATATTTCGAAATGTTTTACATGTTGCTATTACATATGGTAAGAATAATAATGAGTTCTGTCTATTTTTTAAAGACATATCTATTTCTATCTTGTATTTATGTAGATGCTCGCGATGTAATGCGTATTTGTTTAAAATATGGTATTGATCCGAATGCTCCTGGTGTTCATCCAAATAATCAAAATACGATATTAAATTCTGCATTATGTTCATCAAATACTTATTCACAACTAAATACTCGTTTAACATCTGATTTACCTCGTGCATCTCCATGTCGTAATGGTACATTAGATTATACTGGTTATTATACAGATGAACGTTTATATACATTACCGCCCTTATTTCTAGCTGCACAACGGAATAATCATTATGCTTGCGTACTTTTACTTAAATACGGTGCAAATGTAAATGTACGAGATGAATTACATTGTAGTCCATTACATTTAGCTGCACGTTTAAAACATAATGCATGTAATATTCTTATATCTCATCATGCATCCATAACAATACCGAATAAATATGGTGATACACCATTATCATTATGGCCTTATGTTAAAGTTTTACAAACAGAATTTGTTGAATTTGAATTTCGTAAATTATGTCGTAAACATTCATCAAATTCTAAACGTCATCGATTTTTAACACGAGATGCTGAACATTATCAAACAACAACATCATTACTTAATTATAATAATAGTTCGATGAATAGTGGTTTAATACCAAGTAATGGTTTAAGAAATTTAAAACGTGTTTTTCGTTATAGTGGAAGTGATTCATATGATTCGAAATCATTTAAAAAAAGTTTTTCATCACAAAGTTCAATGGGAAAATCTCGAAGACTATTTGGAACTAATGCACAAAATAGTATTCAAGGTGCATCAGCTGTTCCAAGTGAATCAAGACAAATATCTGAAGATCGTGATGATATAGAAAATTCTCATGGAGGACGAATATCACATTCAAAACGGAAAGTATGTTTTTCTTCAATCTCAAGGAGAGAAAAATAAATCGAGTTATTAATTAGAATAAATTTTTCTATTAAGTATCGTATATATATAGAAAACAAAAATGTTTCGTTTTATCTTTTATTATTCTTTGATCGTGAATGAAATAACTCCTTCATTAAATTCTATTGACGTCATAAAAGAAAAGAATTCTTTAGAATAGATAAGTAGTCGGATTTGTGGTTTATTTGTCGGAAGAAGAAAACTGTTGAAGTTATAAAAGAAAATAAGTTTAATAGAAAAAATTTTCATTAGTGAATTTCTTTTTTGATCTAGGCTCAGTTTGAAACAGGATGTAAGTCTTCAAGTGCATGTTATATGAACTTGAAATCTTAACAGAACATTTAAGTGTAATAAAGAGTATGATCTTGTTTTCCTTCCGATAGAAGAATCTAAAACTAGATCACTTAATGAAAAAATAATTATTGATATATTTTTAATCAAAATTAAAGTGCAAATAGTAATCTAGAAATAACTAGTTGTGTCTACTGATCTTTTCTTTTTATAGTGCAATTATTGTTAATATAATTTCCGTTTGTAAGAGACCATGCATGTTATTTTGACATAATGTTTTATTCTTCAAAGATTTTCTGAATACAATGAGGAAATTATATTTAGATGTTCGAAGAGTTTAATCATAGATGAATTTTAGTTGCCATAGAAAAAGTAAAACTATATGAATTTGAAAAAAAAACTTTCTTCTTATATTTATGGATGAATAAAAGTGTCATCTCTTATTTTTGCTCTTTATAAACTTAAAGCGTATTTTTTTGTTTCTATTGTCAATAATAATTAATATCAGTTGAACGATGAGAACAAAAAAAAATATGACTGTCAATAATCAGTTATTCCGTGTGTCGCATCTTTTTTTCTTTACTTATGTATATATATATATATTGATTTAGGCGGGCACCTCGTCGTTGGCAGCTAGCATATTACATGCACATAAATCATCACGTCAACAACAGCATTCTACGGCGACAGCAGCTCAGACATCAGCAGAAAGTGAGTTATAGAATGTCAACTGTATTGATCTCATGTTTCTTTGCTTGTCTGTTCCGAACATGTTTATATTATGGAGATTAGTCTTCTCTTTTATCTCGAGGCGGAAGATGGATTTTTTTGTTCTTTTATTCTATTTATATATAAACGATCATTAAATACCTAGATAATTGATCTGAATAAAATGTTTGAAATTCTTGTCATACAACAATATGTAAAAAATATTTTCGTCTAAATCTAGTCATATATTAAAAATCATATTTTGTAACGCGCACACATATTGTATTGTTAATTGAACTTCTAAATAATAAATAAGTAGTTTATTAGTAATAACCTTATTTTGAATGTACGTGACCATTAATAATACCTTGACAAAAATCATCAAGAAGAAAAAGAGGAGAAAAGAAAAATTTCCGATAGCAACTGATACACCCATAGTCATTTCGGATATGATATGATTTTCTTTTCTTTATTTATTCTCAATCTCATTAAATTTCCAAACTTCAATTTAAATATTCTTATGAATCATTTCCATCATAAAATATCCTATCTATTGCCCGTTATTATTTCAGTATAGTTATGATAGCAGTTGAAAATTACATAATATTATATGAGCGTTTATATCTTCAATTACTATCTCTTGTATAGGTCAATTAGTATATAAGCAAACTCAATACTTTATTACCGATGAATGAATGACGTTTTTCTTAAACTTGAAATTTATATATATATAAACATGGGAACCATCCATAGAAGACGTCCAAGTAAAAATGGCATTCTTGAACACTCAGACTGCAAAAACTTTTTAAAAAATCTGATGATTAAAAAGACCTAAATTAGCGTTGGGGCGTCCATATGTGCCTGACCCCCTTCCCCTTTGCCTAGACGTTCATGTGCCTTTAACCCATGGAAGGAAAAGCGTTGCTTTCGTAGGCACGCCCACAGACATTTTTTTTCGGAGGGGAAGGGATTGACCACTTTGCAGAAAAGTCCATCGTAGAAAACGCTTATTTGAAATTTCTGAAAATTGTTCGACCTGTACTCCCCTCCAGGTATTTCAATTTTTTCTTTTGGGAAGGGCGATCAATCCCACCTCTGCAGACTTCCCTGTACTTTCGTACTTCAAAAAAAATTCTGAAATAGGCGAAATCTCGCTTTTTCTCCCTTGACCTGACCCCTTCGCCTCTGTCTGAACGTCCTTTTATGGATGATTCCTTGTCTTTAAATTATCAACCACACAGGGGCTTAATTAATGTATTTTTTTTCCTTTTTTTGCACTGAATATAATTTTCTATTTCTATTATCATTTATAATAAAATGAACTTAAAGCACGTAGATATATTTACTTCACTGTCACTTATTATATTATGTTTAGTTCACTAACAAAACGTATGTTATAGTAAAAAAATGCATCTAATTAGATGAGTCTATTAAATAAATGATCTAATTTGCAGACTATTTCATCATATTCTTTACAATACAATGCACTTAAACACGATATGTTTCTATTTCTCATTACAAATGAATTTATTAAAAATATAATAAACGAGACATGTTTTTCTGGACATTTTCATATTATTCAGTTAGATTTATAGCGTAGTTTTTTTTTGTCGGTTATTAATTAGTTGGATTTCTTTTTAATTTTTTAAATATTACAAAGTCATTGATACTGGTTCGTTGAATATATTAAATAATTCACATAGAAAATTAGCGACAAATGTCATTTTGTTTTTAATGAATTGATTATGACCTGTTTCTCTAATCTATATCATTAAAAAAATATAGATCTTTTTGTAAACATGCAATTTACTATTATAATTGAAATAGATTTTCCTGTTGAGTACAAAACAAAAGTAAGAGAATGTAGATTTTGTTATTTTCTTTTACACATTTACTTGATAGTTTAATACAGAAAATGATTATTAGAATAATTCTTCATTTCAGAAAAATCTTATTAATATATATTTTTCTTCTTCTGAACTAATTGAAATTCATAGTTTTTTTTTCTTTCTTTACATATACTATCGTTATTGTTCACCATATAGTTTTTGATAGATTTATATTCTCTAGTGACTTTTTGTTGTGCTATAGAAAAGGAAGAAAACATCATGTTACTAAAATAGTTAATCGATATTTCTGAACGCTTAATAATAATCAAACATTTGGCTTTTCTTTCGAGTATGAAGATATAATTTTTTTTGTTTTAAAGAAATCTTTGCATTTAATACGAGAGATACTAAGTTCAATATATTTTGATACAGAAAGATGATAGTTAATGAGTCTCGAACATATTTTTTTTCTTCTTTCTAGCCAATGCGTTAAATGATCGTCTAACTAAACGATTTGCTGAATTAAGTCGATTGGCGACTAATATCGAATGTATCGATCAATTGATGGATTTATTGCGTGTGCAAAATTCCATGGACGAAATATTAGCTTTGATAAGTCAAGTAACATCACCACAAGTCCATGCAAAAATTGCTGAACTTCTTCATACATTGCTTAATGTAAGTTTCATTTAATAATCGAAGAATTATATTAAATTGAGCATAAGTAAATGCTTTTTCCTGTATACATTTTATATTATAAGTGACGTTTATATTGATTAATTAAATTAAAATCTCTTTGTTATTTCAAAAAGATAAATATATATTGAACATTCTATTCTACTATCGAAAGAAACAGAAAACTATGCTCTTATGTTGTATAAATATGATAAATACAAAAATCATATTTTTACATAAAAAAAAACTTCAAAATATATAGTATTTATGTTACTATATTACTGCCCAATTCAAAATAAAAGGCAGATGGATATTTTTTGAATAATTTTTGATAGGAACGAGGCGGAGAGCTACGGATTTCACCACTGAAAAGAGGCAATAAAGACGCATTGAAACATATATGGGTACATTCCTCTAACTGTTTTTCTATGAGTTCTAGTCAGACATTTTCAAAAGCCTTGGGTAATCAATTGTATTTTGATGAGCAAAATACCGTATTCGTATTAATCAAAGATGAAATATTTTAATATTATTGTAGCTCTTTCTCCGACGGCTCTAAAATCTTTATAGGACAGTCTTAGAAATGTTTCAACAGTGAAAACCGCAGCTCTCCATCTCGTTTCTATCGACGTTTATTCAAAACAGTCTATCTGCCTCTTACTTTGAAATGAGTCATAGTTAGAAATAAAATATATGAATTCACATATTTGCTTATTTTTTGTATTCTTATTTAGACATCTTATCAAGAATTTCAACGTAATCATGATAAACGTGATCATATAGAAACTTTTCAAAATCATACGAAAAAATTATTAGATATATCATTAGAATTATTATCAAGTGATATGTCAAATGTACAATATTTAGCATTGTTAACAATAAATCGTTTATATGATATATATGTTTATCATAATTTAATTAATCCCGGTCGATATAATGCATGTTATATACCAACATCACGTCGACAATTAAATCAAAATTTAATAAATAATTATAATTCGAATATCTATGATGATTCAACAATTAAAAATACAAATAGTCGTTCAAGAAAATCATCAACTTTATCGAATATTTTTCGTCGAATATCACGCGAAAATGATGATAAACGACCAGTAACATCAACTAATTCAAAATCATCAGGAAATACTACACAACAAACATCAGGAACAGGAGTTAATAATGGACCGACAACAGATATTCCACGTCAAATACCAAAACGATGGATTTCATTATATAGTAATGATACTATAGCACCTTCATCATCTACATCAACATTAGTACAATCACCAAAAGGATCAACATCTGATTTAACAAATAGTCAATCATCTAAAGCACAACATTTACTTAATTTAGAAAATTTTCCTATGAATTCAAATGAAAATTCTAATACAATATATACATTTGAACCATTTTCACTTCTTTATCAAATTGAACCCATACATCTCTTACGTTTAATGCGTACACATTTAGATGCACATAGAAAAGAATTTAATAATCGACCAAAATGTGTACCATCAACACGTTCACCATTATGTACACATCATTGTGTAGTTATTTTAGCTGCAAGATTATTAACAATACTTTGTCAAGATCATACATTTCAATTAAGATTTATTGGAACAAAAGAAAATTTAGTAATTATTATTGATATGTTAAATATTAATAATGATCCAGTAAATATTTCCTTTTTTTTAAGATTTAATTCATAAATATCTCTTTTTCTATAGCATTTAATATGTCTAATTTTACAAACATTGGGTGTTGTTGCATTAAATCCTGATTCTCATGATGTTTTAACACAAGCAGATATTCCTGATACTGTCTTACATTTAATTTTACCAGCTGATGAAATGTTCTATACAAATCAAACAACAAAATTTGCTCGCTATGTTAAACATCTTGGAGCACGAATACTTGTTTATATGGGTTTATTGACTAAAGTCAGTAATAAAGTTAATTTATTCGATATACTTGGTAAGCATTTTAATTTATTCTCATGGAAAGAGCCTTGGAAACATAAATTGCTTGCTTGTGTGTCCGCACTTCACTGATTCCTTGAAGACTAATCGGAGTCGAGGAACACGAATCTGAAGTCGGTTTTTGAAGTTGTTTGAATAAATAGTTTACTGATATAGTTAAGACACATGGTTTCTACGAGAAAGAGCTGAGTGAGTCTCGAGACGAGCGTTATTTGTAAAATACAATGAAGAACTTATTAAAGCTCATTCTTTCTCTAGTAAAATGCAAAATGATTAGCTTAATATTAAAAGACACGATCTAATTCTTTAAAAAATTTATCAAAAGTATTGTCATGTTTAATGACTTCTATATTTCACTGTTTGAACCTTGATTTTAGTTTAATGTATATTTAAGTACCTTGAAATATGATGCAGTAGTCTCAGTCTAAAATAGACTCAACTTTGCATTCGATTCTTTGATTGACATTTACAGAAAAATTAGATTTCTCGATGCTATACAGACATGATTACAAAAACAAATATTTTTTTAATCTATCTTTCTTTTAAACATAATTTCGTATTCTAGACGTTGAACCAGAACCAGTTGATTGTGATAAACCTCAATCATTTGAAAATAATTTTGTTCATCATATGGCTATTGGTGAAACTATAGTTGGGACATTATGGGCATCATTTACTGGTATTTGTATTGAAAAATTACTTGATGAATTACTTAAAGTGAATATTATTATTATTTTTTAATTATTCATAATATATAATAAAATTGTTTTCTTTTTCGAAAAATTTAGAATGGTATTAATCAAAAAAAATCGACATCAAAAGAATCACAAGATATGCCACTACCTCCAACAAGTCCAACATCAGCTACAGGATTAATCAATTCTAATGATAATCTTCTCTATAATCTTTCATATTTATCAGCTGTGATACATCCTGTTATTATTCTTCGTTTACTTGAACATCGAATATTTACACCATTATTTAAGAAAAAATCTATTACTATTAATCAACCAATTATATCAAATGATAATAAAAATAATAATAATAATATAGTTATTCCCCCTACTGTTGGTACGTCTGCTCTAATTTCAGTTCCAACATTACCACGACCAGATACACTTTTACAACAAGGAAATTCGATAATAAAACATTCATTATCAAATACCGATAATAATAATCGTAAAACACTTCGAGGTATACCTAGTGCATCAATATCATTCGTATCAACAACTAGTTCACAATCAACAACAAATAATGATTTAACATCGAATGTAATCAATTCAACGGATCTTTCATCACGTTTAGCACCAGCTACAACAACAACAACAACATCATCATCAACAAATAATTCAAATCCACTAACAGGAACAACACGTAAATGGTTTTGGAGAAATCCTGAAAAAAATCTTCAAACAAATATTGCAAGTGATCGTAATCCATTATTACAATCGATCGTCGAAAATGATCCAACATCATCATCAATATCAGTCCCACCATCCACAACGAATACTGCTGGTGTTGGAGAAATAAAATTACTTGAAAAAGAATTATTAAATTTACCATCGTTTCAATTGAGCGATTCACAAAATCCACTCTTACCAAGTCCAACATCTTTAAATTATGATTTTTCAACACCATACGATCAAACAAGTCCAACAGTAAATGTTATTGTTAATCGCCAATATGTAAATACTTTTTCAAATGAATTACAAAAATCGAAATTGAATAATGATGATTGTAAGTAAAAGAAGATAAATGACTTTCAACAATTTCTGAAACTCATTGGTCCGAAGAACTAGAGTATCGTAATATGTAATAATAAATAGAGCTGAGAGGAAAAGATTGACTGACTTACCCGGCTTAGGAAAATGAGGGTGAGGGTGTGGGTGTTTGTGTGAGCGTGAGCCTTCCTCATATTTCACACCCACCCTCAAAAAAAATCGACAAAAAAAATTTTGATTCTGAACACTCGGTCATGTTGTCAGGTGTTCGCAATAAGTAGTACGAAACGTCATACACACCCCCCCCCCCTTCGACTTTCTTCAGTTAGTGAAATTCAGGAATTTCGATTTATTTTCTAGTTACATCATCTTTAACAAATAATGCTACTACTGGTTTATTAACAACACATACGATTCCATTTGTTGCTGTTCGTACTCCATCTGATGATAGTAATCATTCGTCAAGTATTAACACTAGTCTCTTACGACGTATGTCATCATCTGAAATGTGTAATCAACAATCATCATTAAATACTCGTACATTTGTTCGAAAAACAGTTGAAAATTTTTTTCGTTCATCAAAAACAACTGATAATATGTCAACGATATTAGTAAATAAAAATAATCTCCTAACAAATATTTCCAAATGTAATCGAAATATTTTTAAATTAAAATCATCATCTCATCTATCACATTCTCAACCAACTGTTAATGAAACTTTACATTGTGAATCTCCATTAATTAATCATAATGAACATTCACCATTAATTGAACGTCATGTAAATGATAAATTGAAAATTTCAGTTGATAATAAAAAAAAACCATCTTTAAATCGTCAAGGACTTCATTTACAACTTGATACTGATTGTTTACAACGTAGTCGTTCATATGCTGATGGTATTATTATACCAACAAATAATCAAGAAATTGATTTAATTAATACACCACCTATAGCAAGTTTACAACCAAATAATAGTGATGCAATATCAATGCGTTCATCTGATAGTACAGTTTCTTCACTTTCTGCTTATCTTTCAACACAACGACAATCGAATCAACAACTTAATGCAAAATCAATAAATGATTTAAATAAATCACAAGAATCAATTTTTAGTTTTTCATCACCTACACATAAACAACGTTCAATTAAATCATTAATTATGGCTGCAACAACAAGAGATAAATCGACGAAACAAGAAAATGATGTTCTTGTTTTAATTGCTAGTTGGGTATTAAGATCACCGGAAGATTTTCAAGGTATAAACCAAAAAAATATTAACATTAATTAATTTTTATTTTGTAGATTATCTTGTACAAAAAGAATTAAAAAGTTTTTTTACTTTACTTGAATCATTACGTAGTTCATTTCGTATATGGACAAGTCAAATTAAAGAAATACTTGCACTTCAAGTAAATAGATTCATTTTTAAATGAAATTAATTAATTAATTTATTTATAGGATACGGATGTACCATTAAATACAGAAATAGATGATGTTACGACAGATGATATTTATCGTGAATATGTTCGAATGCAACGAGATATTGTTTCAGGAAGATTAATTTGTTCAAAAGAAGAAGCAGCTGCATTAGCTGCAGTACAATTACGTCTTGAAACATGGCCAGAAGAAAATCTTGATCTTGCCGAAGGTAAATAATCATTAATTATCTTTTTTTTCTATTGTAAGTTGTTCTTTAGAAGATGAATTACAAGCATTAAATATAGCATTAAATGATCGAACATCAGCAGCTGGTACTCATAATAGTTTACCAACAATATCACGATCATGGCGTTATCGACATCGATATAATTTAGTTAAATTTCGTTTAGCTGATATATCTTGTTGTAAACATGTTGATTCGAATATACATAAATCAAAAAAACCATTTCTTCCACCAAATTTTCGTCATAGTAATGAAATTCTTAAATTGATTAAAGTAAGCTATGAAATCTTGAGGGTTAAACTCATTCAAATATTTCTCATTTTTTTACTCAGGATAAACAACGTAAATTATTTCATATCAATGATTACGATAATCCAACACGGTTAAAAGAATGTTATGTTCGTTTATGTCGAAATTTACCTAGTTATAGTGCGGAAATATATATTGTAAAAGAAATTCATGGCAAACGATCAAAACGAAAAGTTTGTTCTTTTTTCGAATTTCTTATTTTATCTTTCTCTTTTTGTTTAGGGCAATCGACTTCTTTGTATTCGTTCAGATAAAATCTGTTTATTAAATATGAAAACACGTATTATATATAAAGAACAACGTATTGTTGATCTTGAACATTGGATAACAAGTGGACATCATTTAAGTGCAGGAATTAATGAACTTGTTTTAGAATTTCGTAATAAAACAAAATGGCGTTTACAATTAAATAATACAGCTGATTTACGTGCAATAACTGTTTATTTATGGAAAATAGTTAATGTTGAAGGATTTGCATTACTTGATAAACATATTCCATTAAATTCTTCCATGCGTCGAACATCTCAACCACAACATCAAATAGGACGTCGTATGACACTACTTCCGACATCATTATCAACAAATTCAAATAAAAATCCGTATCAAACAATAACTGATTTATATAAAAATTTATCAAATAACCAAACAAATCAACATATGACAACATCGGCAACAACAAAAACAACAGATCATATACAAAATTTAACACGTTTAATGCAAAATACACGTACAACAGTATTACCAAGTTTAATGATAAATTCCTCGTATCTTCATCCATCGGATCATACACAACCATTTTGTTTTTCATCGGATCTTGAAGAATTAAAACATTTATTTGATTTTCCTGAAGAAGTTGCAATACGTTTAACAGAAATTGAACATGAAATATTTCTTAGTGTACCACCTTTACAATATTTAAGACATTTAACACTTGATATGTCACTTTTATCACCACATGATACATCAATTCAAGGAAAAAGTATTCGAATTCTTGTTCAACGTTTTCAAGCTGTATGAAAATAAATATTTAACGAATAAAAACATATTTTCTATGGTGATTTATTTTTAGGTCGGATCATTTATTCAACAATTGATTGTTTCACAAACAAGTTTTCAAGAACGCAAAGCGATTGTTACATCAATAGTTCGATGTGCTATTACTTGTTGGTATATGGGAAATTTTAATAGTGCTATGCAAATATTAGCAGGACTAAAGTATGTCAAATAAGATTTTACCCAGAAATCAGGAAAAATTTTATTTGAACGGTGTCGGTGGGGTGTGCGTGGGATGTGGATGTGGGTGTCTATCATCTCATAACTCGTTTGTACTATCACTCACACCTACACCCACCCACACCCACGCTTGAATTTAATCAAAATTATCTTCAATTGATGATTAATATGAAATTCTTTGATAAACTGTTTTTTTTCGTTTTATTTAGAATTGAAGCATTTCGTCCACTATGGTTAACAATAACTGATGAAATTCCAGGTTTTAAATTTCTTACAGATGCATTTAATTCAAATGAGAAAACTCCACAATATTGTGATGCTGTTAGTCGAGCGTTAGATATTCCAACTTGTAAAGTAGTACCATTTTTTGGTACATTTCTTAAAGATCTTCGAACAATATTAAGTGGTGTACCAAGTATAGTTGTTCTATGTAATCGAAATACACAAAAACCATTTGAAGTATGTATTATTCAAAAAGAAGTTTATTTATTTTATTTTTTGATATTTAATTTATTTTAGACGGTTTCGGATTTTCAAAATCAAGAACATTTTTTAACACGTAATATAAATCAATATTGAGTAATAAATAAATAAATAAATAAAAGAATTTTTTTGTAGGCATTGGTGTTGGCGGTTTAATTAATACTCGAAAAATTGAACTTGTTCATATGGTATTAAAAGATATAGCAATGTTTCATAATCGTCATCGCCGTTTACCATTATTCAAATGTTGTTTTGATCTAAATCGTATTAAATTACCAAGACAATCTATAATACCAGAAATGAAAGAAAAACATTCAGCTACAGTTTGTGTACCATTTGGTGATAATGTATTAGATCAGTATGAGTTTTTTGCTTTGTTTATTAATATATCATCTATTGAATTATTTATTTAGATTTCCTAAACCAAAATGCCATCGTAATCGATCATTTTCAAATACGGCAATATCAGATAATGAATTTGATCATCATCATCGTATGCCAAATATAGCTATACAAGTTATTGGTGATAATGATGTAACAAATATAAATAATAATGAAGGAACAACAACAACAAATTCTAAATTATCACATCATTCAACATATGATATTGATGAACCTGAAACATATTATTGTTTAAATGTATCATTTTATCAACCAATAATACAACCAAAACATAATCATGAAGTTTCTTTATTATCAATGCATCATATTATTGATTTTAATAATTTACAAATACTTCGGTTAGTTAAAAGAAATTATACAAAATAAATATTTTTTCGTATTATTTTCATTTAGAAATGGTACAACAATGATTCTTTATGATGAAGATACAATGCATTCATGTTTAATTACTGTACGACTTGAACTTGATAATTGTACATTGACTTGGTAAGAAATTTTTTGTATTATAAATATATATATGAATTGAATTTTTATATTTAGGACAAAACCTTCTTGGGACACACATCGAAATATTGAAAATGTTAATGCAACTAATCAAATTTCAAGTGAAGCAGCACATTATTCAATATTAATGAAACGTTATATATTACGTGATGTTGCATTTGTGGATATGGATGAAGGTTTTCTTCAATTAAAATATGTTAAACATATTCGAAGTGGTATACTTCATTGTGATTTACTTCCAATAATAAAACGTTATAAATTAAATGATATAACAAATCCAGAAAATTGTTTTACTATTATTTATGGTTCATCGATCAGTGAAAATAAGTAATGCAATAACATTTTTTTTATTAAAAATATTTGTTTTCTTTTTTTTGAAGATCACTTTGTTTTATCAGTCCAAAATATTGTTCACAAATATGGTATTCAAGTATAGATAAATTAATAATACAATATCGTAAACATCGTTTATGTTCTGATCGACGTATTGTTTGGCTTAAAAATCAATATCTTTCATTATTTCATGAAAATGAACGTTTCGAAGGACCAACACCAATGACAGCTATACTTATATTTGGTGGAAGACAATGGAATTCTAGTTCATTATTTTCTTATGAACGTGATCATGTTTTATCAAAAAAGTCAAATAGTGTTATGAAATCATGGTCAAATTTAGGATTAAGACGACGAAATAAATTCGAACAGGTTTGTAAGAGATGAATTACAAAAGAGTACATGTACTTCTATTGTGGGTGTGGATATAATGCCGGTCAAGGGAGAAAGAGCGGAATCTGAAATCCTGGGGAATTCCCGAGACGTGTTTTCAGAATCCGCTCTTTCCCCCTTGATGCTGACACCTACCCACACCCACTTTTAATTTATGTCCATCAGAATACAAGATCTATTTCAATGCTTTTTAGGATCGTAAAGCCAGTTTTTCTACAGAATCAGAACCTTCAACAGGATTAAAATGGCAACAACAGAGTGCTGTTTCTATTATACGTAATAAATCTAAGACTCTTGATTATAAAGTTAAATCAAATCTTGCTTCTCAAATGGTTAAACCAGCACGTTCATTAATACAACATCAAACAAATACTAAACAACGTTCTGGTTTAGTAAATCAATCATCATCAAATATTTTAAATAATCCATTAAATAATAAACGTAATCGTGTTTTAACAACAAATACGAATACACAACTTCAAGATTCATCATCACCATGGATTATTAATGAAAGTCATATGGATTTTCCTGAATTTGTTGAATTATTTAAATCATTTTATTTTCATTGTCGACGAGATTTAAAAGATTTATTTGATAAATTTGCATCAGAAATTAATACTGAACAAGATTATACTATAAAAGAACAATATAAAAATGATTCATTTGATATTTCAAGACATTTAACAGGTTTAATAACAAGAAATATGATTGACGATATTACTGATGCAAGTATACGTCGAATTTATGATATGATTGCTATATCATCGATACCATGTTATGCAATTAGTACACATACTCGTGGAAATTTTCTTATTACAAAAGAACAATTTAGAGAATTCTTACTTGAACATCAAAAAGAAGATAAAACTTCGTATGAAATCGAACAAATCATATATGTAAGTTGACTTCTTTTTTGATTGATCTAATTCTATTTTGTCTATGTTCTAGCGTCATGAACCTAATCGGCAAAATCGTGTGAATAAAGTTTTGTCATTAGAAGGTTTTTCACGTTTTTTATTGGATAAAGAAAATTATGCTTTTGTTAATGAACATACTAAAGTCAATGAACAAGTAAGAGATAATATAGTTTTATTATTTCTAATTAATATATTTCTTTAACTTCTAGGAAATGGATAGTCCATTGTCATATTATTTTGTTGCTTCCTCTCATAATACTTATTTAACTGGACATCAATTACGTGGTGAATCATCTGTTGAAATGTATCGTGAAGTAAATATTTCTAAAAATGAAATTTATTCTTTTATAGTATAAAAAAATTCTTTTAGGTACTTTTATCTGGTTGTCGTTGTGTTGAACTTGATTGTTGGGATGGTGATGATGGTTATCCAGTTATTTATCATGGACGAACATTTGTTAGTAAAATATCATTTAAACTTGTTGTCGAAGTTATTAATGAAAGTGCATTTATAACATCTCCATATCCAGTTATATTATCAATTGAAAATCGTTGTTCATTAATACAACAAGCACGAATGGCACAAACATTTGTTAAAGTATTTGGTGATAAATTAATAACAAAATATATGTTTGATACTGATTTTCATGAAGATCCATTATTACCATCACCAAATCAATTAAAACATAAAATATTAATAAAAAATAAAAAAATAAATAAAATGCATTCAGCAACACAATTAAGTCGACAAAAAGTACAATTAAGTGTTAATTATAGAAATTCAGTTTATTCATCACCGGATGAAAATGAAGAAGATGATGATTCTGATGATGATGAACTTTTAGATGATTATAGTTATGATCCATTTGGTAGAAGAGAATCACAACGATCAAATTCAATAACTGATTCGCCATTGTATCAATTAAAAAAGACTTGTGCATCAATAGCTGTTGAGCAAGACGGTGATGATGATTTGTAAGTTAAAGAAAAATGAAACTTTTTTCCTCGTATCATTAAGTAAAATATTTATAACTTGTCTTTTTTTAAGACGAGGATATCGACAACGTCGTTATAGTATTATGGTTAATGGACCAAGACAACGTTTAAAAAGTAGTAGTTCAATTGATGCTACTCATATAGTAAAAGTACCTAAATCAACTGTTGCTCCTGTAAAAATACCAGCCATGTTGGTAGCAAAAGAATTATCGGATATTGTTATTTATACACAAGCAATCAAATTTCGAGGTTAGAACATATTGAATTATGTGAAATATAACAGTGTTCTCGAAATTTTTATTTATCAAAACAAAAGAACAACATTGTAGACTCGAATACATTTAGAGTTTATAAATAATAACTGTTAGGATAAATACTTTAACCTAATCGAACTAGAACAAGACATTCAATAATTTCTTAAACTAAAGAAAAATACTCATGATTTGTATAACTTGAATTTCTTGATATCTTTTAAAATTTCGTAGGCAACAATTGCCGTTAATAAGTTCGAAAGCTTATCTGTTACAAAAGTTTCGTTATTTTAAATTTTGAATTCTTTATAGGATTAACTTGTGCATCGACTACGCCAAGTTTTATTGGTGGTAAAGGTGTTCGAAAAGTTCCCAGACGTACTATTCAACAACTTGTTGCTCAACCAAGTACAACGAGTAAGTTTTGAAGCTTGTATTGAATGAAAACAAAATCATATATATCTTTCTTTGCTTTTTAAAACTACTAATAGGTACTGAAAGTTCACGATCGATTGATCAAGTTTCACCTTGTCATCAAATAGTATCATTAATTGAAAATAAAGCAAAAAAATTATCTAAAAATCAAGGTGCTGATATGGTTGTGTAAGTTCTTATATTTCTATTATTACATATATATGTATATATATTATTCATATTTAGACATACTGAAAATCAACTGGTTCGATGTTATCCAAGTGGATTTCGTGTTGATTCAACTAATTTCAATCCATTACAATTATGGATATATGGAATTCAGTATGTTTGATGTTTTTTATTTTATCTATGATATTCAATTTTTATTTACTTATTTTTAGATTAGCTGCCACTAATTATCAAACACTTGGTAAATAAAATAATTTTCTTCTATGATAGAAGACAATTCATTTATTTTTTGTTTTTAAGATCCTGGACAGATTCTTAATTTGTCTATGTTTGAACAAAATGGTAATTGTGGTTATGTAATAAAACCAAGTATTTTTTGGGATAAAGAACATCCACAATATGGTCGATTTAATCCATCAGTTATCGAACGTGAAGGTTTTTGTTTTGAATTAACCATTACTGTAAGTTAGATCATAAAAACAATAAAGATCAATATGAATGATGTTGAAATATAATTTAGGTTATTTCGGGTCAATATTTAACACAAAATCTTGGTTCAACAACAAGTATTTATATTGAAGTTGAACTTCTTGGAATTCCAATTGATTGTATGTCAAGAAAAACAAAACCATCCATTAAAAATTCATTGAATCCTATTTGGCAAGAAACATTTGTTTTTCAGGTATGAGATTTTCAATGAGAGTATTCTTATTTTTCTCAAGTAGCCAACTAATGATTAAAACTACCGTCTAATAATGCTTCATTGATTGATAATGATGAATACAAAAAAATACGTATATATTTGAAAATCTGAAGAGACTTTTATATAGATCAAAGAGATAGCTTAGAGAAAAATGGAGTTTCTTATATGGAAACATTTTCTTTTATATTTTTAGCTTTTCTTCATTGAATTAGCCTTTGTACGTTTCCATGTATACGATGCAGGTAGTAATCATTTATTATCTCAACGTGTCATGCCTCTTAAATGTCTTCGACCTGGCTATCGACATGTTCGTTTAAGAGATATTGCAAATGTACCATTAGAATTAGCAACATTATTTATTTATTCTAAAACATCTGAAACTATATTACTTCGTACTCCTGAACAAGATTTATCATCATCAAATACACCACATCTATTTCGTAATCGAATATTTGGACGAACAACTGATACATCAGATGTTATTCACGTATGCTATTATAATTTATGTTTCATTTTATATATTAATAGTTTGTCCTTTACAAATAGAGTAATCGTGATTCTATACGACCTAAACATAAAACATTTGAAGTAAAAGTCTATGGTAAAGAAGGACGTGATGAAGAATTTCGACCATTTGCTGTAACACAATATACAACAGTTGAAGAACTTATAGAAATGGTAAAATACAAATCTATCGATATATATATATATATATTAGTATAATCAATTATTAATTTTAGATTGCTAAAACAAATGATTTTCTTCAAGTTGGTGAAACAATTAATGATATTATATTAACTGAATCGTCTAAAACATGGAAAAAGAAAGCATCATCATCGAAACAACCTGATATTCCACCACGAATACTTGAAAAACATGAACGAGTTCTTGTAGTTATGGATCGTGTTGGTCGAGAAACAGTTATTTTATGTAAGAAAAAAGCTCAAACACCAGTAAGTTAAAAAAAAATAAATTTTCATCTTTCAATAATTAAATATAAATATATTATTCTTTAAGCAACATGTAATACTATCAACATTAGCTGATAAAAATATTCAAAATTGGGAAAATTGTGATCGTACATTTCTTGTTACTATTTATAATATATCATCTATACAAAAACATACTACTTTTCGAACACCAATTAATTCTACTGCTATTCATGTTATTACACAAGTAATTATTCTTTAATAAACCTTAAAATTATATTAATTTTTGGTTTGTTTTTTTATATTTAGTTAATGAAAAAAATGCGTATGGCTGGTATACCAAATGATTATGGACTTGTTGAAGAAATCGATGTCAATGGAACAAATCGTCGAATACCAATAAAACGTCGTTTATTAGCAGACGATGAAAAAATTTATGGTATACAACGTTTATGGACATCGACAAATTCAAAATTTGTTTTAGTTAAAAAAACTGAATATAATGAAACTAATAATAATAAAGCATTTACTGACAAATTTCTATTTCGATCATTAACTAGACAAAAATCAATTGAACGAGAGTTACATGAAGGTAAATTTGAGAAGATACAATAACTAAATACATTAATTTATTTATAGAATCTCAATCAAAATCACGAACAACTACTACTTCAACATCAAATGGTACTTTTAATAATAATAATCGAAATTCACTTGCAGCAACACCACCAATTCCAAAAACTAATCAATCAAAACGTTCATTAAAAACATTATTTTCCGCAAACAAATCATAAAATCAAATAGAAAACAAAAGAATCAATTTTCAAATAATACAATCTTGTCAAATATATATTTATATATTTTTTTTCCTTTTTTGTGTCTATATGCCTCAGTTTGATTTCTCTTTTGTTGTTTACTGCTATAACTGTTCTCTCATCAAGTGAACAGTATTGTTATGTTTCTCGTTTTTTTTCTTTGTTTTCGCTTTTTTTAAATTAATTCGCGATTATTATTGCTAGGTTTTGCAATACACACTGGAAAAGAAAAGAAAAATATTTTATAACAATCAAGTATCTATTTTATATTAACAAGAATCGACGAGTACCTATTAACATATAAAATTTTCTTTGTAATATAAGAAAGATTTTATGTCAGTTATTTAAGAAGCCCGATGCAGTATATTCACGAGCACTTGTAATCTAGTTGCATAACTACACAAGGCTTAAAAATGATTCAAACAATCTTCAAACGCATTGTTGAGTCTTGTCAGAAAAGATGAATATGCACGATCATGATCATAATAAAAAATATTAGTCATTAGTAGGTGTGCATGAATCTCATACGTTGGGATTCAATCATTACATAAAAAAAGTATTAGTAAGTTAATTGATAAATTCTCATCCTTACTTGAACTGTTATCATCAAATCTTCGTCAGCTATTTAAAAAAATGAATGATTTCTTTCTAACTTGTTTCTCTGCGTGTAGAGATATACGCTGAAGCAATAATAATAATACCAATGAATTCACAGTTCTTCCAGTTGAAATACACTGATATTTCCATATCTCAAAAAAACGCATCTTTACTAATGTTAGATATTCGTTAAAACAATGCGGATTCAAAAGAGATATATTTTTAATTGCCACTTTTCCAAAAAATAGTTAAAAAGAATTTATTTATTAGTTTTTCTGTATACACATGAAGAAGCCACCGCATATAACGTGAGAGAGACATCAAGCAGAAGCATATCAAGAATTTAATAAATAAAACGGCACTAAACATAACAAGCACCTTGCATATATATATATATATATAGTTGTAGTGTTTATTTTCGTCCATTAAAACCCATTGGTACATGTTGTTGACGATTCGATGTTCCATTATGAGGACCTGATATACCTCGTGATTGATCAAGTTTTTCTGCTAAATCTTCGACTCGAACATCTTTTAAATGAAGTAAATGTTCAAGACGACGAATTTTTGCTTGTAAAATCTTTTTTTTTGTTAATAAAAAAGAAAATAATAATAAAAGAAATTCGATTTAAAATTTACTTGAATTTGTTCGTCTTTCGCAAGACATTCTTGTTCTTTTTCATCATATTCAATACGGCTAACCATATCTGTACTTAAATTATGCGTAGATGCTGATTTTTTTTGAATACTATAATTATTATATTTTTAAAAAAATATTTCGAATAAAAATTGTTTTTTTACTTTTGAGGTTTCGATCCTTGATCTAAAATAGAATACTAATATAATTATCTATAGCATAAACAGATGTAACAGAAGAAGGACATAACAATATTTAATCTATTTTTTCCCACCTTGTTCATAACAGAATTTTTGAATAGGAGAATATTATTAGTAATAAACTTACTAGCATATGTGAATTGTTCATCTCCATGATTATTGTGCTCAAATGTAGCTGGATAATCTTGAATTTGACGAGGTGTTGCTGCATTAGCTTCAGTTATTTTAGCTTTTTGATGAAGAAGTCTAAATCAAAAAATTTTGAAAAAATCATTTATCAATTTAATTCAATTCTATTTTCAATCTATCAAAACAAAACCCACTACTTGCATTATATTTTGATTAGTAATAAATTAGGAGAGCGAAAAAAAACGTTACTTCACATTCACAAACAAATTATTATTAACACCCTCAAGAGAAAAAAACAAACCGATATTGTGGATCACTAGGATTTGTTTCCATTCCATAGAGATAACTGAAAGAGTACATAGATCATTTATAAGAAATTAGATTTATTCTATAGGATTATTATTATTAAAATGCAGCAAAAACTAATCGATATAATATATTACATACTCATCAATTTTTGTTCGTAAATTGTAAAGAAATACTTCAATAAGTCCATTTCGACCAAGACATATACCACGCATAACAGCTTCAGGAACATTAAGACCAAATCGACAGAAGATTTTTCTAAATAATATAGAGTACGGATTAAAACCTTCAACAAATAACTGTTATTCGTTATCTATATATCATTTTTACTGTTGCAGAGATGAGAAAAAAAATATTTGCTTATTGAAATTAGAACATCTTTCGTCCCTTGCTCTTATGGAAAGTACACTAGAAAATAATCTTTAACAAGTCTGTGATAGTTGAAACGTAGATCTAAACTATGATGGTCACGTATTCTATTCTGTATTTCGCCCATGTTCGATTATCACTCCGATCTAAATTCAAAGCCAATTGACATCTGCATTCTTTATAGACTAGACGAGTCATTTTATTTCCATAACAAAGCAATACTTTCAAATAGTAAGTCTAATCAACTCTGTCCATATGTAATTTCGAAATAGTCTTATTACGCATTAAATCATCACAATCTCTTTAAAGTTCATTAAAACATCATAGATTTATATCAAATAAGATATGACATGACATTAAATTACCTATTTAAAAGTCCCCAATTAATCATTTTTTGTTGTGTACTATTGGCTGCTGCATAATTATGTAAATCTACCTATGTAAATAAATAATTTTTTTATTGTAATAAATTTCTTTGTTTTCTATTTACCCAACTAGGAAAATAATATTTAACCATTTCTGCTATCATAACTAAAAATAAACAATATAAATCAAAACCAACAACCCTCTTACTATTCAAATATTCACAAAACAAAGAAATCACACACACACGTGAAATAAAGCAAATCAATTATCAAAAAAAAAGTTTCTTACCGCCATCAGCAAAATCTTTTTCAATACGTTTTTTAGGTCGACTTAATGGTATTTGATCAATCCATGCATAAAGATCTTGTAATAATTGATCATCCAGTTCAATATCCCAAGACATTATTCAGAACAAAACGAGAGAGAGAGAGAGAAAAAAACAAAAGTGATTATATCAAGATCTGAAAGAAGGTACATTCCATTGCAAAAAAAAACATATCACAAATAAGAGAGAACATGCTTTTAAAACATAATTTATAATTAAATACCTCCATCAGCAAAATCTCTTTCAATTTTTGTCTTCTTTCTCGTAAATGGTATACTATCAAGCCAAAGATATAAATTAGCAATTTGTTCCCTATCAAATATATATGACCAATCGAGTATAAACATAATTTATTTTGTTGTCATTCTTTCATTATTTTTTTTCTTCTACCATAGCTCATATTGGTAACCATAGTAATTGCCACACATTTAAACAGAACAAATTCTATTCGTTGAAATATCTAACCAATTCTCGTTGTGATTACAACTAGCGTCCTATCATCATTTTTTGATTCCATAAGAAGAAGAAAAAAAAATATATTCTATTCTATTCAAGGATTTTGTTTTTTAGATTTTAATCTTCTTTTTTGTTCCTTCTTTTTCTGTGTATATAATTTATCAATGTTCGTTGGATAAAAATATTAATTATAATTGTATTATGCCATCATCATCGTCGTCATCATCATCAACATCATCATCATCAACAACAACAACAACGAATAGAGTAATGAATAATGGTCATCGTAAACGAAATGGATCATCATTATCAAATATTAAAAAAATACGTCGATCTGAATTAGTAAAGAATTCGAAAGATGAACGACCAAGTCGACCATCATTATCGAATTCGAATTCATTAAATAATATTACAGAAGAATATTCATTAACAACAGAAAATAATCGATCTTCAACATTAAGACCATTTGGTGATTCATATGATAATAATAATAGCGATATTAGACGAGATTTAAATTCAAATAAACGAGAAATTGGTATGTTTTTATCAGATTTCGAATTAAAAAAAATTTATTAAAAAGTCAAAAATATTAATTTCGTATGAATTTGAAGTATAAATAACGATTTTATTTTTATCTCAAATAAAAAATTCATATACGAAAATTGACAAGGAATTCTATATATAAGATAATCTCTCTGCATCCAATTAATAATATTAAATCGGCAATAGAAAAAAATTCATCCTAAGTTCTTAGACTGAATATTGAAATTTTATTTTTTCTCACAAAAACAATCATATAGCATTCGTCATGGATCACTAGTTTCATGACCTAATGTATAACGTGTGTCACAGAAGTCGCTAGTTTTGTAAATAAATTTTAACATATTTATTAATTGAAAAAATTTAGGTTCAACTGAAAATACATCTAATTCAATAAATAAAAAAGCAACAGCATTATCATTAATTGTTAAATCAACAATACTTAATAAACAAGATGGATTACAAACTAATCTCGTACCATCTTATGATAGTGATGAAGAATTAGATAAAACAAAACAAAATTCGAATAAAATTTTAGTAAGAATAAAAATTTGTTCATATTTCTATGTAAATATTTATTTTTCCTTAGCCAATGGTTGTCACACCTATTATTACATCATCGAATTTAGCAAAACAAACATTACGTTCGGATAATAATAGTGTTATTATTCAACAAGCAAATGGTAAATCGAATTTATCAGCAAAAATATTCAAAGTAGTTGTACCACAAGCAATTAAAATGCTTACAAATGGTGATGGACTTTCATCAGCTTTACGTATTCCAACAAAAATTCAACTAACAAAAACATCATCACCAATTTTTGCAATTAATCAAGAACAATTAAATGATCAACATCAAATATTATCAGCAACAACAATTGATATAAGAGAAAAACAGCAATCAGTTGTTGATTATCCATTAACACCACCACCACCACCATCATCTATAATTGATATTGGAAATACAAATCCTCATTTATTAAAACAAGATTCAATAAAAGAATCTACTATGGTTAATAATAAAGGTATATTCAGCTTTTTCAAAATTTCATTGGGTTCAGATAAAAGAGATGCTTGTTCAGCGCAGCCTAGGTTTAACTTCTTGGTCACTGGAACCCGTTCACAGCAGCGTTGGAACCGGTCCGGCCAAAACCGAATTTTTACCGGTTCATGAAATTATATTTGTATTTCAAATTTTTTTCTTACAAAACTAATCTTTATTTGTTTTTTTTTGAAATACCATGTTAAGAATTGTTGTACGTATATGTTTTAGTTGAAAAAGAGCATGTGACAAAAATATTCATATAAATTCATAGTTTTGCCGGAGTTTTGCAAGTTTGACGTCAAAAGTAGTCCGGCCGGACCGGATGGAAAAAATCCGTCCGGTTCCAACTCTGGTTCACATATGCTATAGAGAATTTGCTATGCAATAGCGTTTGAGAGATGTGTCAACTAACAAACTCTATAGTCACGAGTTTTTCTGAAGGGTCAGTGAGTAATATATTAACCCATCTCTCACACTCATCTCCAGTAATTTTTAGATAGTCTGAGCTATGTGTGGTCTTTTTTTCATATTTTCAGCTATCAGAATGAACAACAGCCTTGATTTATAGCCAATAATTTTTGGCGCCAGTCGCTAAGATCTATAGCAGAGAATGCGAGCTGCAAAATCTCGGTTTATAGTCTATACTCACCTTTTGCCTTTGTAAGACATACGTGAGTGATTTATGCTAATGAATAATCGGGGGCGTGAAATCTGAGTACATCAAGTTCTAAAAGCAGGGAGGCGTAACACCCCACGCGCCCCCTGTGAGTAATAGGCCTCTTTTATCTCTCATATCAAGTAAAAATTGTTAAGAATAACATAGATTATTATGTATATAATTTTTAGGTATGAAAGAAATCGATTCAACTATATCTAAACGTCATTCATCATTATTATCCGATTGGACTGTTCCACCAACGAGTGAATTATCACCAACATCTTTAACATCATCATCACCTGATTTATCTCAAAATAATATCATATCTGATGATTCGATTGTTGAACTTGATTTAAAAAATAATCGATCATCAATAAATCGTCGTTATCGTTCATTATCGTTTTCTTCTCCTGTATTAGTCAATGTTGTTGAACAAATTAAACCAATAACACCACCATATAAATCCAAATCATTACCACGTATTACTAATGTAACAAATAAAAAACTTCGATCAATAACACCTATTGTGACATATTCTTCGATTCAACGTTTAAAAAAACGACGAAAAGATGGTCAATTTTATTTGAAAAATCAATTTTATGCGAAAAGATCAAAATTAAAAAGTAAAAATGATGATGAAAATAATATAGTTATTATTCGAGATATTTTAAATAATATGATCGAGTAAATATACAATTTATAAATATTTTTTTTTCTTTATTTATTTTTTGAATTTATTAGACAAGTTCAATTAATAAATATTCATAAAGATAATAGATTGAAAATATTAGCCAATAAACCTACAATACCAATCAATGTAACAACGAATACAATCGAAGGTAAAAAAAACAAGTATAATTAAATCATATTTAATAATTATTCTATAGAATCTCGTTCGATAATAACAACATCAAATGAAGTAAAACAAAATAAAGTTAAAGAACGTAAGTCTTCGTTAGGAGTTCAATGAATTCAAACTTCCTTTTAAATACGAATAAAAAGTGTGATGAGTAGAAGATATTGAGAAGTGATGGTTATTAATGATCAGTAGGGTTGCCAAATATTTTTATAATGTTTGTGTTAATCATCAATAGAAATAACTGTTACATTCAGATATAAAACATTTTCATGATAAATGTTAAGAATGTAACTTTGACCTAAATGGAACAAAAACTAGGTATATGTGCGATATTTGGGTTTTTCGTTTGCTATAAGTGTAATAGTTAATTAAGTTCGTTTTATTTTACAATATTCAGATCTATAAAAACCATGGAACAGCTTCCCTACCGCTTCCCTACTACCGAAAAAACATACACAATGATAGACTTATTGTCGAATATTTTCCTTTATGTATTCGAATTTAAAAAGCATGATTATAAGTAACATCAGCTGTTTATATTCATCTTGAGTATTCTATATCTTGAGGAGGTCAAAGAGGATTTGTTAGGAACACGCAGGGGCGTTGCGACTAGGGGGTGCGTGGGGTGTCACGCCCCCCTACTTTGGAAATTTTTGTTTTTTTTCGTCAATAAAATCAAAAGCAAGGGTTTTTACGTGTTAGATTTTATCAAAAAGGGCGTTGCACCCCTCTAGCTTTTAGAACTTGAAGTACTGAACTTTTGTGCCCCCCCTGCCTTGGAGACCTCGCTACGCCCTTGAGGAACACGTAAGATTGATTCCGGAATCTACTTTTCCGGTTACACATTTAGTTGGTATGTCCAGAGTAAAAAATCATAGATTCAAATACTTGAAAATAATAAAGGACATTAAACTATCTACATGTTAATCTTAGGTATGAATGAAATAAATCATCAAGAGGAGACTAATAATTACAAAACCATGCCTCAACAACCTCAAGTACCAATTCAACAAGGTAATATTTTATCCGTTGATTATTAATCTTTTCGTATTAATTCAATAATCTTATTTTTAGAAAATTATTCTTCATTATTATCATATGATCCAAATAATAATAATTCATCAATTGAATTAAACCGTCAAACATCAACACCATTATCATTTCATTCAATACCGCCATCATCATCTTCGTCAGCAATCGATGACCAATCATTAACATCTCCTCACAGTCAATCAATAGTTTCAAAAACACATATATTTACTGATATAGTTAATGAATTAATAAAAGGTGCCAAAGGTTTAGATAAATTATCATGTTCATTAGTAACATTTACAAATTCTATACATGATTTTATTCGATTAACAGTAGAAAAACAAAATGAAAAAATTGAAAATTTTCAAAAAGAATTAGAAAAGTATACAATAAACAAAATAAAGGTCTTTTTCATATATATATCTTTATATTTACTTATTTAGAAAATGTTCATCACAATTAAATCGTGCAAATATTTTTTGTTTAAAAAAAATTCAATATTTTACTAATAAACATTCTCTTATATCAACTAATGAATATATTGAAGAAATAACATTACTTGTAAAATATTTTTATCTCTATGTATTAAGTAAGTTTATATAGACTAATAATAATAATATTGAATTATTTTTAAAAATAGTACTTAATTGTCGAAAACAAGAACATGAAATTGAATTAATATTAAATGATTTACTTAATGGAAAATTAACATTTATTAATGAATCATTTGATTCACCAGTAATAACAACAACTATTGAAGATATTATGTCATCAAAATTAGCAAATGATTATCTTCTTTCACAACCATTGATTATTAATCAAACTGAACATTCATTACCATTTATATGTAATACAGAATTGGAAAATGAGTTATTGTTCAAAAATGAAACATCGTCAACAATGAATCCATTTTCTGATTTAAATGATTTAGAAGATTATTTAAATCGTTGTGAACGTAAGTTATTAATTAATATCTCGATCAATTGAGAACTTATACTTTTTTCCGTATGACTAATATTTACTCGCGAAATAATCTTATCTGAAACAAAAGAGATTTTATCTTTAAAGGTTTAGTTGACCTTCTGATATTTTGAATCGTACATGTTATCAACGGGAATATTTTAGGAATTCGCCGGTTGTTACCGATTGGTGACAACTTTGGAATATGCTTTAAGGATAGATTTATTGTATTCAGTTGTAAGCGCGTATTTTTCTATTATCGAAAACTAGTAACAGGATCATATTACGTAAATAATCTAGTGTTTTTATTTATTCATAATAGTTATTTTATAGATTAGTTGCAAAAAAAACAAATATTAGAGAAATATTGACATTCATCAAGAAATCTATAATAAAATGCATCACTATGTAATCAAAGCTGTATAAATAGAGATGAAAGTCAGTGGTATCTGGGATATTTTTATCATGAATAAAGTTCTAGAGAGAAATATAATGCTCAATGTTTAACATGATGTAAAAACGATGTGACTAACACTTACAATAGTTATTGACGGAAGCAGTAATGATCGATCGATTAAGGTGCACTTCCGCGTGTATGCGAAAATTTATAGGATTATTTCAAAACTAAGACTTTACAAAAAAGAGAATTTGTTTGAATCATGACTAAAAATTATTATTAATTATATACAAATTAATTTTAATCTATCATAGATATGTCAACAACCATTCCACACTATCCTGTTCAACAGCAACCTCCTCCTCCTCCTGTTACCTATCATCCACGTTACTCTCATCCTTCAGCTTCGGCTCAATATTATTATCCTTCACCACAACCACAAGACATGACTCCTTATTACTATCATCCTAATACATCTGCTTATCCAAATTCCCAACAACAACAACCATATCCATATAATCATCCATCATGTTATTATAATCCATTAAATTCATATGGAACAACATATAATACAAATGAACAGTATAATTTTTATTACAATCAACAAACATCATATTCACATTCACATCCGAACAGTACAAATGACATTCCATCATTAAATAATCATCAATCATATCGACGAATGAATTCAAATATACGAAGGTAACTTTTTATCATATGAATAATCATATAATTCCTTTTAATCTATTCTCTAGACAATATAGCAATCCACCACAAGAAAATCAAATAACACCAACTGGATTTGATACTTGCAATAATATTTCACCACAGGTAGATATTCTACTTCAGGATGTTTTTCAGAGAATAGCATTCTATGAAATCTAAAAGTGTTCAGTAGTTAATTGATAGTCGCATAAACTATGTTAGATTATTATATTTCATACAGTGGATAAGTGATTTATCTAGAGAAAGGGCAGAGATGGCGGCGCCCTCCCGAAGAACGATTCTACCTTCCTGAAAATCGCAATTTTTGTGCTTATACCATGTATTTGCCCTCCCGGAAATCGCGATCGCACTCTCGAAAGGAAAAACCTAGATAAAACACTGCAGTGGATGCTGCATCTGTATAGTTTCTTGTATTGAAATTATTACTATGAAGTTTTTGAAGCATGCTTGTCGTTCTTGACAAGAGCGGACAGTTCTTTATAGATACTGTAGAGAACTTTGCAAGTATAAGTTAGTCAATTAATCATCATAAATCATTTTATATTTTAGTCGAAATCAACAGTAGTCCCAAGTAATATGTATGCACCATAATTCGAAGCAAGAAAGAAAAAACAATGTCCGTACGATCTATTTATTGTTGTATACTGTATCAGAATACAACATATTTTTTCTTTTTTTTTCTTCATATATATATATATATACAGGTGCTTGTTTCGTTATTGTCATTTAATGTTTTATGTACTCGCACGCTGTACATCTGCTTCACGTTATTTGTCTCTCTCTTTTTCTTTCTCGCGCTATTTATTTAAATATTTTCTTCTATGCATGAGATGATTTTTCTGTTATTATTATTATGCTGCTTCTTTCAGTTTTTTTCTTCATAAAAACCAAGTATCATTTTTGTGTTTTTTCTCTCTCTCTCTCTTTCTCATAGATTAGTAAGAACAGCAATGAGATTGTTTCATGTATGGTGTACATATCTATTCTATAAATAACACATCGAAAAAAGAAAGGAAACTATTCATATTAATTGTTATTTCTATTTGTTTTTCTTTTCTGTTCTTATATTCAATAATTGATTTTGTCGAAAAAAACAAACAAACATATAAGAACATATTATTGATATATATGTATACTTCCAATTCTTTTTTTCTGTTTATTACCGGTGATAAATCCACCTTGCATTGCTTTTTTGTTTTTTTGTTCAATTGATTTCGTCCGTCCTTATGCCTTTCTTTCCGTGTGCTTATATATATATATATATACATATATATATTAATTATATGAATAAAAAACGAAACTATAAATAAAAAAATTATTCTTTATTAAGATATTGGAACACAACACTAAAATCTTTTTTATTCAATCCATTCGAACATATTTCTTGATAAAATTTTGTAGCATGTTCAGTTAAAGGAGTCATCGCTTGAACATCTTTTGCTGCATCTAGAAAAAGATAATCAAAATGATTCATATAAGAAGAAATAAAAAAATACCAAGAGCAATTAAAAGATCTTTTGTCATTAGTTCACTTGCAAAACCACCCTGATAATTATTATTTGATGGAATATTTGGAATAATACCAGGACATGGATTATAACTTTGACTTGACCAACATTGACCAGTTGATGAATTAATTAATTCATTTAAAACTTTTTTCTCAAGACCAAGTCTGCATAAGTATCAATTAAGAAATGAAATGATAACTATCATCCTTACTTTATACCGAGATTCATTGCTTCTGAAGTACCTATCATACTTTTAAAGAAAAAAACGTTTAAATAAATCGAAGTTCTAAAGATTACCTAGGCGCTAGGACAGAACGTCGCGTGGACAAAACGTCGCAGCTCATTTCAGGGTTCAAAACGAATTGCTAGTAAACCTTTGATGTTGGACAGTATATGTACGTGAGATGTGGATATTCGATGCACCCTCGCATACACTTTCGCCCTTACCCACACTGAGCCCTACGCTTGAGACGTATTGTTTATGCAAATTTCTGTCCGGTCGCCATTATCCAGTGGCGAATTTAGAGGGGGTGATCGTCCCCCATTCCAAATCTTTTTTTGATTTTTCACAGCAAAAACGAACGAAAAAATAGGTTCACACTACTTCGATTGTACTCAAAAACTAGCTTTTAGCCAAAATCGCCCCCCCTCCAAAACCTTAGATCCACCACTGTCATTACCTAATAGCTGCAAGTAGGTTATTACAAATCTTAGCTGCAAGTCCACTACCATTAGTACCAGCACGTACAATATTCTTTCCCATTTTAGCGAGAATTGGTTTAATAGATTTAAAATCATCTAATTCACAACCGACCATAAATGTTAGAGTACCTTGTTGTGCACCAATGACTCCTAGCGAAAAATATAAATGAAAAATTGAACAGAAGAAAAAACCTATAATACGAACCACCGGAAACAGGTGCATCAATAAAATGAAGTTTTTCATTTTGAGCTATTTTAGCTAATTCTTTGGATGTTCGTAAATCAATTGTACTACAATCAATAATAAATGTACCTTTTCTTGCTAATCTAATTAAAAAAGTCAAATAAATTTCTTTGAAAATATATATTCGAAATGTTTTACGGAAAAATATTTGATTGACAAACATTACGTACAATGTCTCCATTTGGCAACATTAAAATAATAAAATCTGATTGTTGTATAACATATTCTGGTTTATTTGCTATGTTAACATGTTCTTAAATACACAGAAAAATTAAATTTTATGTGAATTTTTAAATATAAGAATTTACTATATTCTTTAAAATAATCAAATGTTTTTGAATCTGTATCAAATATTGTAACATTATGATTAACTTTAAGAAGATTTATCACCATATGTTTACCCATATTACCAAGACCAAAAAACCCAATCGATGCCTTTTTTTATTATAGAAATTAATCATCAAGCTATATTTAAATTTTCTTATACGTACATATCGAGTTAATGATAAATACACCATGATACTTCAAAAAATAATCGTAAATGAAAATACCAATACTTTATAGTATCTGTCGAAATGTCAAGAATGTTTGTAAAATGATTATTAAACGAGCTGAAATGCATCTACTTCATAAAAGTGATGAATATTTTTTTTTTACTCAAGGAAAAATATAAAGGTTCACATAGATTTTTATCACCTTGAATAAGTTGCATAGTGATCATGAATTGTTTTATTTAAATATAAGAATGATTGAAATCTAGCGCTATCTATTGTCATGCATTCTAACATGTTCTTATCATTTAACCAAACATTTATAGAATAATTAAATAAATGAGTAAACCCATAGAAACTATGTAATATTATTATTTTATAGATCAATATCTAAAGGGAAATTTTATAGTTCATATTTATATTAATAATTATAGAAATCGATAAAATATTGAATTAAAAATGTATTTATTTTTAGAAAATAAAAATGACTTCTTTTGCTAGTGCATTTGGTTCGTCAAGTCCTGATGCAAATAGTTTAAATAATGGAGAAACTAATTTAAATAATTCAGCTGAAAGTCATCAAGAAGAATCAAAGAATTTTTCAAGTATAGATCTCGATCAACAATCAACACCACCATCATCATCATCACAGCTTCAAAAGCAACATTCATCTTATGTTAGTCTAACTGATGCAGCTACATTTCATACTGATTCAAATGTTACAACTAACAATACTGCACGTATTCCAATATCATCATCATCTCAAGATTTTCCTTCGAATTATTCAACAAATACAACAATTGATACATCTTCAATATTATCTGATAAACGTATTTCTATTCCTGATATGTCGAAAATATCAGCATCATCTGCTGCAGCTGTTGCTGCTGTTGGACCAACTATTGATAAATTAAAACAATGGGGTCTTTCAACATATAAATGTACAAAACAAACACTTTATGAAAAATTAGGTAAAACAATACGTACAGTTGATGTTGAACTTGAAAGTCAAATTGAGGTTTGAAAAGAAAATATTATAAAAATTCAAGATTAAATTTTTTTTCTTTTAGCAACTACGAGAAACTAAACGTCGATATGAAAATGTACTTGCTTTAGCACGAAGTTATGCCAATCATTTTTCAAATTTATTAAATACACAAAGAGCTTTAAGTAAATACAAAAATTCGGATTTATTTTTTGTTTCTAATATCATTTCTTCTATTTTGTAATTAAGGTGATACATTTCTTGACTTAAAACATAAATCATTTAATTTATGTGATGAATACGGTTATAATGCTGATACTCAAAATTTATTAGTACGACATGGTGAAATTTTAATGGGTGCATTGAATTATTTTATATCAACGCTTGATACACTTTGTAATAAAACAATTGAAGATACAATTACTACTATTCGACTTTATGAAACGTCGAGGTACGATATAAAAAACAACTCTTACTGTATTCTATACATAATAATTATATAAATATCTTTAGATTAGAATATGATGCATGTCGAACAGAAATGGAACTACTTTCACCAGGTTCACAATTAAATGAAAAACAACGAGAATTTGAAAAATATAAAGAAAGATATGAAAAATTGAAATGTGATGTCAGTATTAAACTCAAATTTCTTGATGAAAATCAGGTTTGAATAAATATTGATTTTTTCTATAATAAAAAACAAAATTTATTTTTCTAGACAAAAGTTATGAAAAAGGAATTACTTCTTTTTCATAATGCTATTGCGGCTTATTTTTCAGGCAATCAAGCAGCTCTTGATGCAACAATGAAACAATTCAATTTAAAAATTGTAACAAATGGTGATAATAGTCAAGAAAAAAAATCGTTTTTAGAACAGTTTCATAACTAGTCTCTCATACATTGTTTGTTTTTCGCAAGGTGATTGAACGTTTTCTTTTTATTGTTTTATTATGTTTTTTCTTCCATTGCACGTCTTTTGCTTTTTTCGTTGGACTATCGTGTATTTTTTTTCTTCTTTTGACAAGTCACTTTCTAGATATCATTTTTGATGGTGTTGTTTTTCTTCTGTCCGATCTCGAATACATATATATTATAATTGACTCTTTTTTTGCTATTGTTGTTCTTTAAAGAATAAAAAGGGGATTAAATAAAATCGTATTTATCGTAAAAGAACTTCGAATCGATTAGGAAAAATAAACTCACTGTTTTAAAAATGGATCTAAACAATGAATTGATTAATAATTGAAGAAAAGTATTCAATATGAACGGTTTATAATCGCTATATAATCAGAAAAAGATATTCAGAATTACGGCTCAAGATCGTTATGATAGCTAAAATGATCTTCTAACATACTCCATAATATATAGAACAGTCTTATTTAACACGTTGACTGTCCCATGTGAAAAAAATAATACTTGTTGTATGCCCTTCTTTTATTATTTTTAATATTATAGTATATTATTTATATTTTTCTGATACATTCTATATTTCAAGAATGGTCGATTAATAACGTCTAGCAAATTCTAGCTTAAAATATCCTATGCTACAAGCACGTTATACGTGAAGCGAAGACTTTTTAGTCAAAAGTATCGTGCATCAAATATGATGCATCGGACAGTCAACGTGTTAAAAACATCAGATTTCCGGAAGACTGGATTATTTTTATCAATTCATTACTGTCGATGACGACCTCGAATGTATAATCTACATTTGTCTATTTGTTAGTTATACAAAAGAATCAAAAGTAGTTAACTAGACAGCAGCTACCGGAATTTATTTTTTTAGAATTTTTTAATATTTATTAGAAGAGAAGCCCCATACGTTTTGGAATAAATTCTGCACAATCTCAAGAATGAGGATGACAACGAGAGTGCGCGACGATCTGGATACAATCAATAAATACTAATAAATCTCCATTAAATAAACTAATAAAACAAAATAACCCCCGGTAGCCTCGCCCTATTATCGTACAAGTTTCCATGAAATGGCATTTTCCATAATAACCGTTTCTTTTTGTAGAATTTTGGTTTATAATGATATATAAAAAAGACGGGTATCCCGATGGGAGCGCGATTCTCCCCCTCCCCCCAGTCTTAGAAAAGTTAGATTTTTTTGCTCGCCATTTTATGAACATTTTCGGAAAGTTTTTAGAAATAATCTTCAAATTTATGAAAAAATTTACAAGAAACGTCGCGAGTTTTTTTGAATTTTGAAAAAATTTGAAAATTTTTTTATAAACTTTGAAAAGCTCTTGAGAATTTTGAAAGTTATGGGTAACCTGCAGGCATTTCTTAGAAAAATCTTCCAAAATTTCTGTAAAATCTATAAAAATGATTAGAAACTTTTCAGAGAATATCGCAAAACTCATCGACGTCCTCTCCCCATTTTTTAGATCTCGAGACACCCCTGAGAAAAGAAACAAATTGCTATATAAAACGTTTCTTTATTCATTCGAATTAATACAGTTTTAATCCGATTAGAGAAATGAACTTGATGAAAAATGCTGTGTAAACATCGTTTTTAATTTCCGTCAAAATTTTGTGTGAAGACATTTTACATAAGATTAAACGATATTGATCAATGAAAGTGTAAGTTAAAATAAGTAATTCTCTAGGTATTCGTTTAAGAATATAATTAATATATAAATCTTCTTTCATTTTATGTTTTTGAAATTAATGAAGAGATTTGTCTGATCTTATCATGAATTATTCTATTAAAATTTTTATCTTTATGATAAATTAAACTGCGTAAAACAGAAAAAAAAGTAATTGTTTTATCTTAATACGATTGAAATGAACTTTAATCTTGTTTGGAAAAAGAATATTGTACATGATATATTATTCAAATATTTGCTTTATCATTAGCCAAAAAAAAGATAATAAATGTTTCAAAAATGAATTAATCAAATATAAAATTTATTCTTTTTGTTATATTATCGGACAAATAATCATAACATTGAGATAAAGTCATATTAAGAGAGATTTAATCTTATATTCTATCTGACCTTTTCCTTTTTGTTTCTACCTTAAAAATATGTTTGACCTTCATCTATATCTTGTAAGCTGGTGCTGATATGTCTATGATAAATTGATGTTTATTTTATACAGAAACATATTTGAATTGATTTTAATCTTTTCATCAAACAATCCGGTGCGAAAAGGTTTCCTTCTCCTCCTCCTCTTCTTCTTTTGAATAAGTAAGTGGTTTATGTGTCAATTCTCTCGATGTGAAATTTAATAATGACAATCAATTAATTCTTGTATTTTTTCTTTTTTGAATAAATCAATTGTATAGATATATGAAGATATTTATCATATCAAAAGGCATGAAATTGATCTGTAAAGAATTTTTAAAAAAAAAAAGAGAAGACGAAGAAATTTGATCCTTATATTTTATGAAAAGAAAAAGAAAATCTATTTGCTTGATCATTATTAAAATTGAAAAATGAGAAAAAGACAGAAGCTTCTTTGATTATAAAATTATGTATATGTCGTTTTTCATTATACTAGTCCATCTTATATAGATATAAAGGGAAAAAGAACGAGTGTAATCGATTAATGATTGACTATATTGTCTATGTCAGCAGGTGCTGTTATAGTTTGCTGCTTAATCATGCATTCGTAGCCCTTAAGTCAAGCTTATCAATGTATACAGATTATATCGCCTGATGAGTTTCTTTCATGAAAAAGGAAAGAAGACGTTCTTAACAAACAAGAGTCTTTTCTTTTAGCATTATAATTGACATGAAGATGCTCTTTATGTCGATCATATATCACATCACTAACAATTTCCGCTTTTTTCTTCTTCTTCCTCTTCTTCTATTTTATTTCTCTCATTGGTAGATGAGAAAAAGAAATGTATATATATTTCTTTCGTTTTTTTTTCTCTCTTTCTACATCATCTACCACCAATCAGTATATTCAACCAGTCAAAATAAATGGAAAGAAAGAAACATTTATTATTTCTCGTTTCTTCTTCTTATACTCTTATAATTTGATTCAATTAACACATTTTAATGTAACAATCATTTCTTGGTAATGTACATCATGTCACAAGAACATAGTTCAACAAATGATAGTAATTCATCAATGAATGAATTTTCACCATCATCACCACCACCACCACAATCACAATCACAATCACAACAGCCAAGAAATTCTCTTCAATATGATTATGAACAAGATCAACGATTAAATTCAATGAAATTTGAAAAAATAATTTATGATTCAGCACCTATTGCACGTAATACAATCGAAAATAATCGAGTGAGAATTGTTAATTATCGTGGTATTAAATTAACATCATTTAATGTTGATGGTCGTCAATTATTATGTTTACCACAAGCATTTGATTTTTTTCTTAAAAATTTAGTTGGTGGTTTACATACAGTTTATACAAAATTAAAACGTTTAGAAATTATTCCAATTGTATGTAATGTTGAACAAGTTAGAATTTTACGTAGTCTTGGTGCTATACAACCAGGTGTTAATCGATGTAAACTTCTTGCACCAAATGAATTCGATATTCTATATGATGATTGTACGAATTCAGGGTAAGCAACAAAAAAAAAGAATAAGTCAGAATAAATTATCTCTATTTATAGTTCACGACCAGGTCGACCACCAAAACGTAATTCTTCCTTTCAAACAGATGATTATACCGATGAAAAACGTTTAAAATTTGCATCAAATTTATTACTTCATTCATTTTCGGATTATAATAAATATCCTATTCATTCAAACAATAATAATTATCTATCAAATTCATCTTCAACAAATGGAAATCATTTATTTTTATATAATACATCAGCATTTACTCCAACATTATTACATTCTCATCAGTCAAATAATATTCGATCATCAACAACGACAACAACAACAACACATCAATCGATTTCTTCTAGTAAGTCTAAACGATGACTTTTATTGTTGTCAAAATCTATTTAAGTATCTGTTTTCTGAATCAGACAGACCGAAAGTAATGGTTTCCTCTTTCACATTCATTAATATCGACATGCAAAATAAATTAAATCATGTCACAAAAGAGCTACAATAGATACCCTTTAGCAATGATTACTTTTGGAAATTAATCATGAATAGACACAAAGATCAGATAAAAAAAATTCTTTTTTTTTTTTGTTACAGATCAATCACGCTCTTTTACTATTGATGCAATGCTTAGTAATAATCGAGGTACTTTGTTCTTTATTAATAATATAAGATTGATAACCTTCTTTATTCTTATCTATTAGATCGTTTAACAAAACCTATTGATCTATCAATGACGACTATCGACCAAGCATCATCAATATTATCTGCACCCACACCACCGCCACAACCATCAACAACAGCAGCAGCGTCTGTAAATTTTTTTCATATAAAAAATATGATAGAATTAACAATAGAAAATGCTCGTCTACGTGAAAAACAACTTGAAACTGAAATTAGTAAAGTTGATACAATAAGTTTTTTTCTTAGAAAATTCATTTTTTTTTATTTTAGCTGATCTTAAAACTGAAATAACAAAAGAACAAGATTGTAGACAAAAACTTGAACAAGATTTTCTTCAATTACAACGTGTTCGAAGTAATAACAAAAAGAAGAAGATGGAAATAATTCAAATCTTTTTAATTTATTTTAGATATTCTAATCAAGAAATTAAAACGTCTTAATCGATCAAATGGTTGTTCGAATAGTAAAACTAATCTACTAGATAAATCACCATCGAATAATACAATACAAATTGAATCAATTTAATTATAAACTAAACTAAATTATTATATATATATATAAATCTTCAGCTTTTTCTTCTCTCTTTTTTTTTTGTCATTTTATCTGTCTTTGTTTATTTATCAAATATTCATATTCAAGAAACTATAATCACAAAATTTTGAATTAAAGATCTTCAAACAACAACTATGCTTGTATTGTATTATCAGAAATTGAATCATAGAAAGATTTTAACCTCTCTCCTTCCACTGATTCTTTTAAAGAAACGATTTTTGTTTTATATGCATACTCACTGTCGGAACTAATTATTGTTAATCTAAAATATATGTAGAGATCATTCATAAATGAAAATTCAACCAGTTCTGCAATAACATTACATTCAGTATACGAAGGTCTTGAATAGTTCTTTGAAATTTTACTATTAGTAGTTATTTGGAAGTTTTAAATAGAATGCATAACTAGGGAACTGCAAAGTGGTCCCGGACCGGGACCAAGACTAAAATTGTTAGCTAATTCCTCAATGTTTTTATCAAGTATGAGACCAGACATTGTCTTATTTCTTTTTTTTTCTTTAATTAAAAATTGACAAATGTGTTATTTTATAGTTCAAGAAAAACCGTATAGATTGAATTTACAATTGAAAAAGCGAGAGTTTTCGTGAATTTCATATTTTTTTTGCATAGATGAAGACAACACCAGAACTATTCTTAAGCTTTTATCAAGACCAGGACTACCAGGAGCGGGACCGGGACCAAAAAAAGTGATTTTGCAGTTCCCTATGCATAACTCCCTATATTAGAAGCCCCCATGGGCTTCCAATTTGCCCACCGTTTATAATTTCTGGAGAGGGCTTCTATTAAGTCCCAAAAAATTTCCATAGATCATGATAAGGAAATCGATTCGAAAGATTTCCAAGGTTTTCGCGATTTTTCAGAAGATTTTAGGCAGTTTTTGGAGATTTAAGTGCAGTCGGATAGGAGTGAGTCGAAATTTCACCTTAAAATCGAGAAATTTTAACAGTTTTAGTAGGAAAATTCGAAAAAAATCTGAAAAATGTTAAAATTTATTTTAAAAAAATTAGGGGAGTTAGGGCAATCGTATTTTAATGTACTATAAAATGAAAAGATATTATTTTGATAATGATCATAAATCTGAATGCAATTTGTAAGACTAATCGATCGAATATCAACATATAACTGTAAGTGAACATTTGAATTGTATCTTTCGTTGCTGACATCTATCACAATATATTTACCTATGGTTTAAAATTTCGTTCCAATTGAATATAAATATCAAAAGGTGAACGAAAAAAAAGAAAGCAATATAACTCATTTGATTGAAGAACAATCAAATAAAAATGTCATTGACTTCACTATGTATATTCTTCTTCTTTTTGCCTTGTATTATTATCTCCGCACCTAATATTGGTAGTCGTTATACTGGTACTGGTTTTCATACACGTCTTGAATATACAATTGATCCTGATCCATCAATGCCTGCTCGATGTTTATTTGTATGGCATCGTTTACCACCTTATTTATATATTGAACCAGATGAACTTCATCAATTAAATGCAACTATATTAGGTTCAATTAATATTGAAACATCAGCATCTCAATCACATCCATTTGCATATTGTTTTATATTATATAATTCAACTACAAAACCATTTGATCATACGAAAACATTTTCAATTAATATTCATAGTCGATATTTAGATCCGAGAAGTGATAATACTGATTTAGATCCGAGACGTGATGATACTGATTTATATGAAACTCTTCCTTTACCTGAACCAGTTATACATTTTACAAAAAAACAATGTCCTCATTTAGGCGTGGGATGTCCAGCACCAATAGCAGAAACAGGTATTGAATCACCAAGAGAATTAACTGTTACTATTCCTGTTGGTCAAGAAAAACATTTATGGTTTGTTTTTCCAATCACTTGTTTATTTCCATTTATTAGTTGTTCATTATTATTTATAATAAGTGGACGAATTCAAACAAAAACTGTTAATTAATACATGTTAGATTCAGTTTGTTTGTTTTTTTTGTAAATAAAAAAGTGTCAATATACTTTGATATCTTACTATTCATAGATTGAATTTTATCATTAAAAACTTTTAAAAGATAAAAAATTTTGTTTTATTTTAAGAAAAAAGAATAACTGTAAATATAAAAGAAAGAATATTTCTTTTTCTAGTCTAATATAATTGAAAAGTTTAAGTTGACATATAAATTTCAAACATTTAGAACTAAATGAAAAAAAAAACAAAAGTAATAAATTCAACGTAAATGTTATTGTTTTATAAAACACAATATAAATGAAAACTTTCAATTATGTTATACAAGTCTTGTTAGATTATCATCATTTACTCCTGATATATAGACAGGAAAATCAGTAATACGTAATTGTTCATTATAATTATCTAAATATGAAACAATATATATATATATATATTGACTTATATCAGAAAATATATTTAATTCTTACCAGTAACAAATGCTTCTCCTTCTTCCATAATACTATTTCCATATCGGACAGTAATTTTTGTTTCCAATTGATCCATAACAGCACCATAGTCAAGATATGATTCTTGTGCTTGATGTTGTTGTTGTTGTTGTTCATCTAATTGAATAGAAAAAGAATGATGTAAAACGAAAGAAAATTAAATACAATTATTAACCTTCTACTTGTCTATAAACAATTTTTTTAATCAAAGATTTTCCAGGTACACAGCAACATTTAACACACCATCGGTCTTGTTTTTGGCAAGGTGGTGGTGGTATTATTGGTGGATGTATGTATGGTTGTGGTGGTGGAATGTATGGTTGCGGTGGAGGTATGTACGGTTCAGGTGGAGGAATGTATGGCTCGGGAGTTAGTGGTGGAAATTCTTCCGGAATTATTTCAGGACAAGGTCCAACACAGAGGCCAGGTCTCAAACGTGGTATTTCTGGACACGGCGGACACGGTGGACATGGCGGACATGGATGAAAAGGAGGAGGTCTAAATATCGGTGTTGGACAACGTGGTCCAGGACGTACAACTGGTCTATAAGTTGTTTGTGGTGGAAGTTTAGGCCAATCAAATGATGGTATAGGTAATGGTGTAGGTGCCGGAGTAAAAGTTGATGGTGTTAATGGTGAAGGATAATCAATAGGTTGTATTGGTGTAGGTGGTGGAATATATGGTTGCATTGGTGAATGAATAGATCGTGTTTGTGTTCCTACATCATTGAAGTGTATTTCACCTGTTGGATAATGTGGTTGTGGTTGATCTTGAGGACAACAATTAATAGCTAGAAATGTATTCGATTGTTGAATATATTGTTGATTACAAGGAGGAGTTGATACTGGTATTTCTGGTTCATAATGAGACATTGATAATGGAGTAACAGAAGGAAATGGTGTTGGAAATGGTGGTTGGAAATGAGGCGTTGGTGTTCGTGGATATTGAGGTGTTGGTGGTGGTTGAAAATCAGGAATAAACGGTGGACAAGGAGGACATGGAGGACAAGGTGGGCATGGAGGACACGGCTGCCTAAATGGTGGTCGATATTGAGGCGTTGGTATACGTGGAATATCAGGAATAAACGGTGGTTGATATTGAGGCGTTGGTGGTGGTTGATAATGAGGCGTTGGTGTTCGTGGATATTGAGGTGTTGGCGGTGGTTGATATTGAGGAGTAGGTGGTGGTTGAATATCAGGAATAAACGGTGGACAAGGAGGACAAGGTGGACATGGAGGACATGGTGGACAAGGAGGTTTATATGGTGATTGATACCGAGGAATACTTGGTGGTCGATTTTGAGGCGTTGGTGTTCGTCGATACAGAGGACTAGGTGGTGGTTGATATTGAGGCGTAGGTGGTGGTTCATATTGAGAAGTAAATGGTGGTTGAATATCAGGAATGAATGGTTGTTCAGGGCATGGTGGACATGGCGGGCATGGTGGACATGGAGGACAAGGTTGTCTATATGTTGGTTGAAATTCAGGAATAAAGGGTGGTTGATACTGAGGTGTTGGTGGTGGTTGATAATGAGGCGTTGGTATACGTGGAATATCAGGAATAAACGGTGGTTGATATTGAGGTGTTGGTGGTGGTTGATAATGAGGCGTTGTTATACGTGGAATTTCAGGAATATACGGTGGAACTGGCGGGAATGATGGACAAGGTGGACAAGGAGGTCTATATGATGGTTGTCCAGGGCATGGTGGACATGGCGGACATGGTGGACAAGGAGGCCTATATGATGGTTGTCCAGGACATGGTGGACATGGTGGACAAGGCGGACATGGTGGACAAGGATGTTTATATGGTGGTTGAAAATCAGGTATGGCTGGTGTATGAATATCAGGAATGAATGATGGTTGATATTGAGATGTTGGTGTTTGATGAATTTCAGGAATGAATGATGGCTGATATTGAGATGTTGGTGTTTGATGAATTTCAGGAATAATTGATTGACCAGGGCATGGTGGACAAGGTGGACATGGAGGGCATGGTCCTGATGTTTGTTGTTGTATTTGTTGATATTGTTGGTCATTTATCTGTGTGACTGGTTGTTTAATACCACGAAATTGTTGTTTGTATCTTTCTTGTTCATCCTTAGTCCATGCTTCTCTAAATTTTGTATAACAACGACAAATACATGCACGTAAATCGAATATTTCTTCATCTTCCTTAGCATCCTCGTCACTTCCATTATCACTAGGTGGTTTCGATGGTAAATTAAAACCACTTTGTTGAATACCCTGCTCTTGATTTTGCTCATATGATGGTAATGTCGGTTGTTGAGGAGCCGTCTGTTCATTAGTATAATTGTTCAGATCGTATTTTTGTGTAGAATCCTGATTGTCCGAAGTTTGTATTTGTTGTAAATACGAACTAGTATCCACTGGACTTGAAATATTTTCCTCAGAAAAGTTTTCTACTTTTGTATATTCAACTGTACCAGTTGGTATAGAAGTACCATCTAATCGCTTATTACCAGTGTATGCATCATATACTTGCGTTTCTGGTGCTTGATATGCAGTAGTTTCATTACTATATGCAGTTGTTTCAAATGATTGAGTATAATCACCTTGAGATTCTTTTATATCCGTAGATATTTGTGTTTGTTCACCAATATCTGTAGAAGTTGAAGTAGTCTGTTCCAAAGTACCTTGAGTATCTTTTAAGTGATGATAGGGTTCTGGTGTACTAGTAATGTTTTTAATATAAGGAGGATCAATTGGTACAGTAACTGAATGATCAATCTTTGAATCCTCATATGTACTTTGATGTGAGGTTTCTATCGGTGCTGTTATATTGTTGGAGTCAAGCAGTTGTTGATACTGTTTTGAATCTGATGATTCTGGAAGTAAATTTTGATATTGTGATGATTCTTGATATAGATTGGAATAGTTTGTTGTTGATGCTGTTGATTCTGGAAGTAAATCCGAAAATTGTGTTGATTCTGGAATTGTATTAGGATAATTTGGAAATGATTCCGATGATGGTGGTAATAAATTGTCATAATTTTGTGATTCTTGAAGTAATTTTGAATAATCGTATGAGGAATCTGTTGTTTGAAAATTTTGGTATGGTGATGAATCTAGATATGTGTTTGAATGATCTGTTTGCGATTGTTGATATGTATCTGGATAAAGTGCTGTTGCTCCTGATGATTGTTCTGTTACATTTTGATTTTGTTCTGTATGTAATATTTGTTGATGTTCCGATTGTTTTTTTGCTTTTCGTGCTAATCGATTAGCTCGTCGCTCATGTACTTGACGCCGATGAGCTTCGAAGCATCGATATATGCAGTCCTCTAAATCAGCTGGCATATCAGAATCTGGACAAATAGGTCTTGGTAACATGTTTTATGTCTTCACTAATCGTAAAGGCAATTGTGAATGCAGCCGTCTAGTTACCTTGCTCGTCTTTTTATTGCTAATAGTCTTTCTAATAGTACAAGAAATGAAAGAAAGTAATTTTGAGCAAGCGTAACGATCATTTGACGTGATAGATAAGCCTTGAAAATTATTCGGTTTATGATTGTTATTATCATTTATATTATCGACATTGAGCATGTCTGATAAAGATTGATTATCCAACTGATTTTTTTTGTTTAGCCCGAATGTTCTTGTCCTGTCGATATCGTCTATTATCTATTACTCCGAAAATTAATACGATAGATACAAGGATTTGTTATTTCTACAAGCAAATGCATTGTTTGTTCATGAAGGTTTTTTTATCCATATAATTATGTGTATATAGTCTACTACTTTATTTATTTGTAATGAATAGCGTATGATAACATATGTATCTAGCAATGAAAAGAACCGTTCTTTTTTTTTTTTTACAAAGAAACAAATTAAAGTAGCGCGGTATGTTCGATATGTGTGATGTTGAGTGTACGTCTAGGTATTCACATGCGTTTTATTTTGATAGTCTCCGTAACATTCTGAAAGAAAGGTAACAACAAAAAAAACGGTATTAGAAAATATAATTATTTTTTTTTTTCGATGATAATTACCTGGAGGAATATGTTGTTGCGGAGGAGGTGGAAAACTGGGAACTTGAAATGTATTTTGTTGAAGTTGATTCATACCTCCAGCTGGACGGACTACAGCTAAAGAGAGAAAAAAAGAAGTTTAAAGATTATTTTTTTGTTTTTAAATTTAATATTACTTGGTGGACGAGCGGCAAGTTGAGCACGAAGACGATGAAGATCCGATCGAAGAATTATAGTTGGATTTGGTGCTCGAATATAAATTGGTGAAAGTGTTTCTAATAAATAAATTTTTTATTTAAATAAATTAAAAGATAAATATGTATTAATTTGTTTTATCACCAAGAAAACTTCCATTTGCTGACTCATTATTATATTGTTGTTGAGTTTCATTGATTACTTTTGATTGTAAATCAACGATGACATCATTGACAATAGCTTGAGAAACTGATAATCCTTCTATTTGAGATGAATAACTTGGAATACCTGGCGGAAGTTGAGGTGCAGCTGGTCCTTGTGTTGATCGTTGTTGTGGCATATGAACTGGTGCTCTGATTTGTTGTTGACGTACCGATGGTTGTGCCACTGTAGGAACAGGTAAAGGTGCATACGGACCTGTATTATTATTTAATGTTGAAGATGTAGCTGTTGTTTGTAATTGTTGACTTCCACTCAGTGGATTGTATCTATTTATTTTAAAAAAATCAAAAAAATATATTTACTTGATAAAACTTCTAATTGATTAAAACCTTAATGGTGCTAATGTAGGTGTTTGTGGATCAGGAAAATATCTTGCCATTTCAGCTGATGAATCAATACTTGAAACGGAATGAAATGAACCTGTTGCTTGAACACCACTCGAATTTGGTTGTTCATTTAATCTTGGTACTATAATAGGCGCAGGACCTGGTTGATTAACATATCGTTGTTGTTGTTCATTAGTTTGACTTTGAGCTAAAATTCCAAAAACATCATTTTTTTGTATACATATTTGATTAATTTTGTATTCTTACAATTTAATTCTTGTTGACTCCCACGTCCTTCATTTGTACTGCTTGTATCATGGCCATGATGATGATGATAATGATAACGACCTTCTTCCATTGTTAATATGATACTTTTTTGTTTTATCAATAAGGTTTTGATATTTTTTGTTATTTGATTAAAACCAACTTTACAATATGTTCATTGAGAATGAGAAGAAAAAAAAATTGTTCGTTTGCGATCGTGTTTCGAAATAATATGCGGTGAAGATGGATTATATGTTTTATTCAAAAGTACACGTACGTGCTCACTCGTTACACTTTAGTGATTTTGTTACTTATAGATCAATCCTTCTTATACTATATCATTTATTTATGTCTAACACAAAACGCAAAAAAAAAATATTTATTCTAATTTGATATTATCAAGTTTTATAATGAATATGAAAATCTATTGACTAGAATTTTAGATCAATATTTTCCAATAATAACTCTTTACTCAGGTTTAACTGGTAAATTTTGTTTATAAAATATATTATCACGTTGTTAATTTCATATAAAAATTATAATTCAATTCTAGACCTTGTAATTTAAAATACATAACATTTCATGTCCTAACAAAAAAACAATTTTTAAAGCATTGAAAGAAAGAAAGAAAGAAAGAAAAGATGATGGCTAGCAAATTTTATAGAGCGTGAAATGTTTTATCGAAATACATATCTTTTGTCGTTTATATTTTTTTTTATGTATCGTTTTTCATTGGCAACACTCCGTGACAAACATATTATTATTTTTATGTAGAAGGATAAGTTTACAAATTAATTTGTATACAATTCATACATAACTTATTCAAGTTTTTTATTGTATATGAATTAATTATAAGATAACCTTCAGCGACAATCTTTTTCTCTGATTTTATAATAAAAAAAACATTGTATAAAGTATGACGCAAAACCTCATACTTCAGTTTTTATTATCAACCGTGCTGAAAAACTCATATTTATTATAATATCTTTTCAAAAAAAAGCAACTATTTGCTTAATAAATAAAATAGCAATGACGCATTTTCCTTGTATTGACAAAGCATATATAAAATTATGACATAGAAATATTTTTCATATTGTTCAAATAAAAAAATGTACTCGAGGTATATATTTGGAAATTATTAGATGGTTGATTGAATTTAATAATTACAAGATTTGTCATGTTTTATTAGATAATAAGAAAGAAATAAATTCTAACATGATTTTTAATACTCATTAGAAAATCTTTGTTTTCAATTGTAGAATAAAATAATTAATATTTTAACTCATGGATTTTTCACGAAATAATGACTTGATATATTTATATCAGTATCTTTCTTTTTTATCACGTATAACAAATGAAGAAAAAGAAAAAAAACTAGTAAATATATTTTCCTTCTATTTGCACAATAGAAAAAAGCTCCCATCTGTTATTAGGAATTTCTATATCATTTCATGGAAAATATATTTTATTCTATGATATAAACTATTTTATATCGTTAGAAAATGCAAGACCTAAACGAAGATATACTTAAACGAACATATCGAATGAGATCATTATGTAATAATGCTGAAATGTCAGGTATTAAAGCGAATGTTGTATTAGCTGAACAAGGTGAACAAATAAAAAATATACATTCAAGTCTTATAACAATTGATACAACACTTATTGATACCAAACAAAATATTAATCGTTTAAAAGGACGAACTCAACGAGTTATGAATACAGTTCGTACAAAATTTCATCCAAAATTTTTCTCAAAATTAATTCCACATTCACCTAGTAAAGATAGTTCATTATCATTATTACAAACACCACCATTATTACCAGATCGAGTAAGTTCATAAATTGAAATCTTCATTATATTGTTTTTTTTTGTTTGTAGAGACATTCATCTCCAAAACTAATTCAAACTCCTCCTACTCCTATAAAAAAATCATTTCTTGATGAACAAATCGATGAAACACTTTATGATATTGGACATACAGTACAACGATTAAAATATATAGCTCAAGATATGAATGATAAATTAGTTGGACAGGTCAATACGTTTAATCAGATTCATGAACATATGATGCAATCTACAAATAGTATTGAACAGCAAAATACTGAGATTGCAAAGATATTTACATAAACTTCTATGAAAACTTCTTTTTTTTTAAATTTATTCTAATAAACAGCTTTCTATTTTAATCACTATTGAAAATAAAAGTAAATTAATTTTTTATTCTTATATATTGTTATTACGCTCTTAAAATATTTTCATGACAATAAATCTCGTATTTATTCAACAAAAACATTACATATCATGTTTTATAGAAAAGATAAATGAATGAACTAGTCATTTTTCTAGATGCCGCTTTAGTTTTTGTTTTAAGATAGAGGTAAAAATTTTAAATTTAATATGATTAGTTAAAGTTTATCCATTAATATAGAATAGAATTTCTTCTATAGATTTTCATCTTTTTTTTTTGACAAAGATATTAATTTTATTTACTATTATTTCGTCGGATAAAAATGAAACTTGTTCGGTTTCTTATGAAATTAACTCATGAAAGTGTAACAATTGCATTAAAAAATGGTTCAAATGTATTTGGTACAGTTATTGGTGTTGATATGTCAATGAATACACATTTAAAATCGGCTAAATTAACACCAAAAAATGGTGAACCTATAACACTTGATTTTATTACTATTCGAGGTTTGTTTAAAACAAAAACTAATAAGATCAATATTCTATGAGAAGAATATTTTTCTTTTAGGTAACAATATTCGATATTTCATACTACCGGATAGTCTTCCGTTGGATACATTACTTGTCGATGATACACCAAAAGCTAAACCTAAACGTGAACGATCCGGTTTGTTATAATTGATAAATTTCGAAAATAATCTATATAGAAATTTCTTTTAGGTCCAACTGGTGGTATGGGTGGTGCTCGAGGCGGTGGTCGTGGAAGAGGACGTGGGCGTGGACGAGGTCGAGGAGGACCTGGCGGCGGTGGTGGTGGTGGTCGTGGACGTTAAGTTTTGATAAATGATTAATTGAATGGCAATGTCCGTCTATTAGGCTCAAATAAACTTGTTGTATTTCATTGTTATTAAAAACATATAAAAAAGAAATAGTTTTTTAAAGAAAAAGATTTTCATGATTATATATTGATCATCTATATTTTTATTACATTCGTTGATCTTCTTTTAATTAATGAATAATATATAAATTCAAGACAGAAGTCAATTGCAACTGACCAAGTGTGAAACTAAGATTGATTAAATCGAACATCTTTTATACTATTTGCCATTAATAATACAAGCGATTATATCTAACTCAATATTTTTTTTCTGTCGAAATAATATTTCTATACTAAACGAGGATATCAGATTGATTATATCTAAATTTTATCTTCTTTTGATCGAAAAAAGAAATCTGTAGATTGATCATTTTGAACGTTCGTTCATATAAACTTCTTAACGACTCAAAAGATATGCAATCAAATGTTCAACATGATAAATGCTTGATATTATCAATACTTATATGATAGAAAAGAAATTATCTGATTTAATGCGAAAAGATTTTTAAATAGATGATGACCTTCAAGATATGAGTTAATCTTTACATAGATCAAATAGTTAATTTATGCTTGAAAAAATTTCACACATATATATCAAGGTTAATAAATATGGTTAACTATAACATCAGATAATGTATTACTACGCAAATGAAATAATATTACTGTAGAGAATAATTAAAATAAAAAAATATTTTCGATTGATTTACGTGTATGAAATAACATAGATATGTTTTCTTTTTGTCTATATAGAATGATAATCTAAATCGTAGAATAAGAAAATATATCGAAAGAAAAATAAACAGTTAAACAATATAATTTCTTTTCTCTTTCTGTCGATGTGTATAGAATTGACTTCGATTTACTAACAATGGATCGATCTGATAAGAATGATAATTTCGCAATAGAATATCAACAAAATTCATTATTAGAAATGATGAAACACCATATTAGTAGCGGATTACCATTTCATTACGAAACAAATCGTAAGATATTTTATTAGATTAATTTTAAATAGAATGTTCAAGTTGTTTTTCTAAATAAAGATGTTGATCAAATAATTCAACATCATAGTGATGAAGATACATCATCAAATTTAGAACATGATGAAAATGAACAAATGCATATGCCAATTATGTATAAGAAACGTGTAAGAGTTAAATTTAGTCATGACCAGGTATAAGAAAAAATATTTATTGATTTAAATTATTTTGTGTCCTAATTAAATAGTTAGATGCACTTGAAACAACATTTCAACAACATCGATATCCAACTATTGATATGATTGATGACCTTGTTGAACAACTTAATTTACCTACGCAAAAAATAACAGTAAATTTTAAATTAATAAAATCGAAAATCATTTTTTTTTATTTAGGTTTGGTTTCAAAATCGTCGTGCGCGTTTAAAAAAAAGTCAACAAAAAAACGATAATCATCAATCATTTGAAAGAGATGAACAACAATATGATAGTGGCATCCATCTGGTATGAAATCTTAAATTAAAATTACGAAAAGTTTTGTAGAGATAAGTGCAATCCGATAGTCTTTTACAAAGTATTATAAAGAAAGATTTACAACACGAAAGCGAAGCATTTTACCTATTCATATGTTTAACTACAAAACAAATTTTTTTTTAATATATTTATTATAGGATGAAGATGTATCACGTTCATCATCAACAAGTCCACCATCAAATGTAGTACCCTATGTACCACCCACTGGCTATATTCCTTCACCATCTCCTTATTATTTACCTAATCCTCATCAAACATATTATAATTCGTTTTGGCAAAATTATGGGTAAGAAAAAAACAAGATTTTTTGTTTTCATTAGAAATATATATTATAGTTATCAATTTCAACCAACTCCAAATTCATCTTATGATTATGGTAATTATAATTCTCCATTTGTTTTTCAAGATATTGGTAATTATCAACCTTGAATAGAATCTCATGGTTAATTGTGAAGAATAAATTATTTATTTATTTATTTATTTATTTATTTATTGTTAATTTTCTTATTATTTTTGTTTGTTTTTTCTTCTCGTCTCTGTTATTGAATCATATTAAAATGAAATATAAATTTATTGATATATGAATATGTTAATTTACTAGAATATTTTTGATTAATAGATTTATTCCACATATGTATGATTAATCGAATAAATAAGATATTCGCTGAAGCAAGTGTATGGAAACCTGTTTAACTTTATCTGCGGTTTACTTCTCACCAGAGATTCTAACATATATTTCACATCTATATGAGGTAATCTTAATAAATTCTATCGTTACAAGACAACATAAAAAAAAAGATGCATTCTTTCTAGTTGATTAATAGCCATTACTATACAATTGAGTATTAATTTTGTTGTATTTCTTCATTGTTACTGAGTATTAAATCTATATATATACATTCTTAATCAGGAATCGAGACGGAAATAAACCAATGTAATATTAACTACTATTCATAAACAAACAATATAGTTGTAATGATGAATTGTTTTTTTTTCTTAATAGAATCTACTATTGATTGACATTTCTATGTATGTTCGAGATAATTTAACTATTTCGTATAAGAAGAAAAAAACCATCTTCAAGCTGATAATATAGAAAAAAAAAGAAAAATATTTAATATCTATTAATACATACAATTTTTCGTTTAGTATTAATGTTCTTTTAGGCCATCATCATTCCTATCCTCTTTTTCTTTCTCCAGAAATCGATATAAATAATACAAATGTTTTTTCTGCTAAATAGATTCATAACAATCTATTCAAGTTCTTTTAGTAAGTGCAAAACATATATATATATATATATATTTATAGAAAGAAAAACAAACAACAGAAGTATATAGTTTTATTCATTTTATTTTTTAAAGTTGAGAATCTATACCAAGTTCACGTTGTTGATTACCAGTTTTCAATTGTGTTCTTACAGATGTTAATTTTGATTCTTTATCACTATGTAAAGGATGGCCAGCACGTTTCGATGTTGTTGTTGTTGTTTCAGTTCGGTTACGAAATTTTTTACAACAATTTAATTGTAATGTTCGAACCATAAAACAACCTTAAATAAAAAATAAAAAAAAGGATAGGACAAAAATTCTTCGAAATTAAATCACATTGGAAAGAGAGGACTTATTTTCATTGAAAATTACCATAGATTAATGGATCTAAAACAGAATTTGATACAGCAAGCATCATAACAATTAAAAGTGAACGTTCATTATGTGATGGTTGATCAACTGGTGATGTACTTATTGTTGTTGGTATTTGAGTTTTTTCATGATCAATACGAGCATCAGTTATAAGAAGAAAAAATACAATACAGTAATAGGGTGTCCAACAAAGAATAAAACAAACGACTAAAATAAAAGAATATTTAAATAGTTTTTTTTCTTTGATCAATTTCTTACCGATTAAAGCAGTTAATTTTAATGTTTTTAATTTTGCTCGTGTTATTGTTTTGATATTATGTGAATTGATTTCATCTTGAACTACAGATGGTCCATTAGGTGTTCGTTCATGATTATAATTTTTACTACGTGATGTTAATGGTATATTTGTTTGATTTAAATCACAACTATTTCTACCACCAGTACATTTAGCAAATCGAAAAGTTCGTCGATCTGATCGTTTATGTAAGACATATAAAATGCGAAAATATGAATAAAAAATTGTTAATAATGGTGCTATATAAGCAAATAATGACACAGCTATATTATAAGCTAAACGTTTAGCTGGATCAGATGATAATGTATCACCACACATTTCACGACATAAAGCGTCATCTGTTAATCGTCTAAAAATAATTAACTAAAAAAAATAAAAATAAATAATGAGAATACATATTATTATGAAAAGTCTTACTTGAGGTATACAAGCTATAGCTGAAATTAACCATGAACCAACAACAAATAATTTATTTCTTGTATTTGATTGATATACAGTTAAAGGATGTACAATTGATAAATAACGATCTAATGATATGCCAATAACTGTACATGATGAAACATAAATTCCTAAACCTTTTAATGCCGCAAGTATTTTACATATTTCATCATTATGCCAACGTCCAATTGTATAGGCATAAATTTCGCTTGGAATATAAACAAGTGTAACAAATAAATCAGCAGCACATAAATTTAATAGAAGTATATGATCACGGAAACGACGTCTTGAATAATGAAATAATTTAAACAATACACGTAAATTAGCAGATAATGCAAGAATAAATAAAAATCCATAACCAAGTGCTAACCAACGATAAAAAGCTCCATCGGGTCCACGAGTTCCACGTTCAGAACAAGTTGTATTTGTTGATGATAATAATGATAAATTATATGTCATTGATTACAAGATTTAAGATAATACCATTTAAGATTTATGATCATGTATATATATATATATCTATATATCTATATATCTGAAGTTTAATATATAAAGTCTTCGCTTCTCTAAATAATATTTTTTTCTCTCTTCTCTTTTTCTTTCTCTTTAGTATTTCCTACCGTCACTATCAAGAAGTAATAAGTGGGAGGCACTCCGAAAATATATTGCATAGCATCCATAGAAGAATTTTTCTAAGCAGGAAATAAAATCAGTCATGATTGATAGTGTCTTCTAATAGACTATCAAAATATACTAGACAAATACTATTCATCCGAGAGAAGAAAAAAAATACCTTAGTATTTCAAATAATAATAATACGGAAGAAGAAAACAATTTAGATTAGCCGAGATGAACAATCGATAGCTCGGTTTCTATTAAAAATAATAATTACTTCGAAAAAACATGTAAATAAAAAAATACATTTTGCTTTTTATATTATCATTGATAACGAACTGTTTCATTAATCGACGATATATACAAATATTCTATTATTTCCATAACATACATATATATATATATGTACCTCAGAAATCGGCATAACCTTGGACATCAAAAGATGTTTGAAGGATATATTCATCAAATAATAGCGAAAAGAAACGATAAATAATACAATAAAAGTAATGATGGATGGAAACATAAGAAGTCATGACTTGTTTTTATTCATTCAATACCGATGAATATCATGAAAGAAGAGTTATCTAAGCATAAAAGTATCATGCAATATGACAAAAACTATATTTGATCTGTCAAAATTGAGTACTATATTCAATTAGTCAATATAGAACATTTGATTTTTACTTTAAAAACCTGTATCTTGACTGTCTACTAATTATATATGGACTATCATATTCAACAACATGTTACATGACAGATGACTACCGGGTAATGTAATAGATATACTTTTTTTTTCTACTTGTGTCGAGGCATAAAAAAAACATCAGTAAGATGATACTTATTGACACCTATAGGCGTTTTGTAAACAGTAATGTAATAATCCCAAAGAATGTATTAACAATTTGTCTATGCTGATTTCTCTAAAACTTATCACAAGCCAGATTGACCTTAAAACTTATATTTAGAAAAAATAAATACGAGCATATCTAGTTTCTAGCAATTATCGAATCTATTAGACGAAATGTTTTCGACTACAATTATAATATAGAAACGATTATTTGCATATTCCATTAAAAACTTTCTAAAGACAATTTTTTGGCTTATTTATTATACCACATAAATCCTATATAAGATTGTCTATTGAATGATACGTACTTATACTAAAAGACATAGCCGGAAAAGGTACATTCTAATCTAATTCGAGTTATGAGATATGTCACAATCATGCGTGATATGTTCTTACTAATTTTCTTTCAACAAGCTGTTTCAATTGCGTCGTTTGAATAATACTTCGCTTCAGTAAATAGATAGAATAATCCAAATTTCATCTTGGACAGCTACATTGCAAGAGAATTATACGTTAGATAAAAATTTACGTTATGCGTAACGTAACAATTAAGCCTTCATGTTTTAACCTATAGTTTTTTCGTTAAGAAAAAGTAATAGACATTTCTTATAGTTTCTGACAGTTTTTATTTCCCATTCAAGAAGTTCCGTTTCTGATCAGTCGAATCATTATTAATCGGGCACGACAGAAAGGCGAGGTATAAGTGTACTTTTCCTATACTACCGAACAAACGGTAATGAAAATCCTAATAAAATAAATCAATTGATCTTATATTCAAAAATCTAATAGAAAAAAAACAACACAAGTAGCTTATACTGAAAATCGAATGTCATTATTTTACATAATAGCGAAGAGTAATCAGAAAAATCTCACCTTGAAAATTAGCAATTAAAATAGTTTTTTATGATGTACCTAATAGAACGATATTAAATAGGTGGGTTGTTCTAAAAGTTCTTACTAATGAAATCAGTCAGTGGAAATAAAAACTCATAATTACACTCATTTATTTGGAAATGTACCTTAAATAAACCATACTTAGTATATTTCCGTCGAAAGAGACATCATCTAATGTTATAGAGGGGTAAATGTGATTTGAGAACATTTATCTATGAGAAAAAAAGATAAATTATTATTATGAAAAAGCTCAACTAAAAATATCTCATATTCAATCTTTCTATCTTTAATACATAATTACTTTAAATAAAAGCTTCTTTTTTTCCTTCATTATCAATTCTATTTTGAACAAAATTTTATCTTATATATTAATCATGATTGCATAGTAGTAATTAAGAAAGTATTCAGCATAATCAATGAATTCTTTTATCATTTAAAGTAGTTCGAGAAAATAAAAAAAAATTAATTTATTCACTTCGTTATGTATAACTATTATGTAGATAGAATGAAATAGCTCAATGAATTTGTCTATTATTAATATATATGTCGCATTATATAATTGTTAATGACATTGAATTTATTTTTTGTTTATGATTAAAAATAATTTTTATAAAAACATACAATTGTCTTTAAATTTTCGATTTAATACTATACAGAACTTACTTGAAAGTTGATTACTAAGAGACGCGATGGGGACTTCCTTTTTTTGAATTTATTAACTGTATCTGGGCGTTCGCATACTCTTACTCACATCATTAACTCCGCCCCCATTTCGAAGATTGTGCAGAATTTATTCCAAAACATACAGAGCATGAAATTGTACGAGTTCATCTGATATTCTTGTTTGATATACATGCACATCGATGTCCTCTACTCATTGTAAGACAAGACTCGAATCTAGGTATATTTGATTATCCGTTTTAAATGCAAATTACAAAAAGATAGTTTAAGAAAACTTAAGGATGTTTCTTTTATTAAGCTGTTTCAAGGAAAGTTCGAATTGAACAAAATTTTCCTCTAATGAACTAATGAGTTGATAATTTTAGACGCATTGTTACTGTGAAACCTTTCATTACACTCACGCTGAATTTACATTATTAGAGAACTATAAGTAATCTTCGAAATTATGAATATTCGGTTTTGATAAAAGCCAGAAAACTTACTTTTCGTAAAATTTGTTATTCTATTTATGGAAATGTTTCAGATACACGACAAGTAAGATGAATGATTTTTTCATTTCTGTCTATCGATTTCATAATGAGTTAAATATGAGTTTTTTTATCAATATGGTACCATCATTAGCAAATAATAGATGGTCGCATATGTCTGAGGATAAAATTAGTCTACGAGACAAAAGTCAACGTCATTTTTGATTTTTCTAATGAAAGCTATTCTGTATGTGATTTATTTATATAATCAAGTGACATTTAATATAGACGCTGATGATACTGATCGATCGTATATTACCGAACCTGGGAAGTTCGAACTCGGTGGATCCCTAATTATTATATTACAAATAATCAATTAGAAAATCGATATATTTTTTCTTTATTTAATTCGTAGAATTACAGATTGAACACATTTTTTATAATAATATAGTTTGTTAAATAAGGTCAACGAAATATAATCTATTTTATATAAGAAATAAACTTTAAAAATATAGAATATAATATAATTATTATTTAACCTAAGGCAAAGATTAACATATAGAAAAAAAATCAATTAGAATTTGTATTAGACGGTAAAAGAACAGCTTATTTTGAACATAATTATGAACGAGCATCGGTTTTAGATCACTTCGAAACTAATTGAATTATGTCTATGACATTTCTTCTTTCCATTGCACCATGAGGAGCACTATCTTTTATGAAATATGAATTTATTCTTTTCACATACTGATCACACTGTTAGTTAAATTATATCAATCATTTCTTCACCGTTTAAAATCGATTCCCTTTTTTCTATACAAAAAGTCTTGTTAGAATAATTTATATCAATGTGTGTTAATTGCTACAATTTTCTAATAGAAATTCATTATACGTCGATTTTTCATGCAAAATATAGAGCTTATGGTCGAAAGGAGTTTTCATAGACATATATATCGGGAGTAAAAGTTTAATTTTAAAGTAAAAAACATTGGCATAATGTGTAAGTTTGCTAATACATTCCTTAATAGATCATTTGAGATAATATTGAATGCAATTTTTAAGATCTTGCAACGGTGTACCACCAAATACTATTCAAGCTTGTATTTTAAATTAACAATCATGTTTTTCATTTACTAGATAAATAATTATAGTTGATTTCCATAATGATTCTAACTCAGACTTAAAAAACAACAACGATGTTGTCATAATTTTACTAGTCGTTTCTCAATTATGTCTAAGAAGCAAAATGAATTTGAGCGGATATTTTTTTCTTCTTTTAATATCGAACTAATTAAATATAATTACATAATCATATCTAAAAATACCCCATGTAATTTGCATATGAAGTTCAAGTTCAAATAAAAAAACTAGCTAATAAAAATTACCGAATAATATAATAATTTTATATTAGTATTTATCGATTTATTTACCATTTAGAATATATATTGTTTAGGGAATATTAGAAGAAACGGAAAAATACTTTTCTGTCATTTCCGATTTTAGTACATACTAACAGACTACAATTATATGTATTAATCTACGTTCAAATGGCAACATATGTAATTTAATCTAAATGTTAAATTATTATTTTTTATGTTAGAAATAAAAATGTACGTCATAGTAAATTTATTCAAAAAAAAAGAATTTCTGCATAGGTAATATTTTATTTATGTATGCAGTTCGTGTCAAACAAAAAGAAGATAACAAAATAGTGAAAGTGTTCTTTTTTCCTGTGACTACATAACAAAATTCAACTCTTTGATTTAGCGACGAAGTGAGTGGAATGAATAATGCTACTAAATATATAATAAACAAGCGGCCTGAAAAATGAGGAAAAAAAAAGAACAAAAAAAGTAATATAAAGCTTTGTCATTTATAAACCAACTCATCAGAGATTGTCATATCTTTACTCATTTATGTCTTTCTTTCTATTCTTCTTACTTTCTATTTCCTTTTTATTTTATAGATAATATGATTTTACTTTATTCGCATGCGTGTTTTTAGTCTGACATCATCATTTTCTGTCAGAACCGATTATGACAAGTTTACATGTTTGAGGATTACACGTGTATATAGCTGTCAGTTTGAATATATCAGTCATGCAACATGAAGTTATTAAGTGGTTCACCGTTAGTTGACAGATCACAAACAATTAGTATATCATCACTGGATTGGACTGAATGTTTAGATAAACGGTAAAATAATTTACAATATTTTTAATTACTTTCCATAATTTATTCTATACAGACCTACGGATCGTACAAGTGATGATCTTGATATAATATTTTCTCGATTAAAAGAAGTGAAAGCTTTTGAAAAATTTCATCCATTACTTATTCAACAACTTTGCTATTACAGTTATTTTGAAAATTTAGAAAAGGGTGTTACACGTAAGAAAATCTATTATTTTTTAATAAAACTATTTTATTGATTTTCAAATAGTTTTTCGCACTGGAGATCTTGGTGCTAATTGGTTTGCTATTCTAAGTGGAAATGTTGATGTATGTGTTCCATCAGAAAATGGAAAAGTTCGTTGATATATTGTATATCGAGAGAGAGAGAATGAATTTTATTTTTTTTAAGGGTCATACACTCATTTGTACACTTGGAGCAGGTGCTGCTTTTGGTGAATCAATTTTATATGATACACCTCGAAATGCTACAATAATAACATCATCATCAGTTATGCTTCTACGAGTTGAACAAAAAGATTTTAAAATCTTATGGGAGGTAACTGAAAATAAATTCTTTAACATACCAAAATTCGGTTACATGTATAGCGTAATAAACAATATCTACATGGAGTAATTACAAGTCTAAGTCAATTAACAAGTGCTATAGGTATGAACTTGATTGTTATACTAATAGAAGAAATTTTTTGTTTACATATATTTAGATCCAAAACGACGTGAATCAGAATTTGATCCATCGCTTATACCTCATGTAGCAACTTCAAAACTTTTAAAAGATGATCCAAGTTAATATTTTTTATCTTTATTTTCTTTAATAAAAATAAGCTTTTTTTCAGCTCGAAATCCTGCATTACCAATTGTACCTGTATGAATAAGATTTTTATTTTCAAGAAATATTTTTTTCCTTTTGTCTAGAATACATCTGTTCGAATTCAACATGCAGCTTATGTTTTACGATCATGTATACTTGGTAGAGCTCAACAAATGATTCGTGATCGTAAATATCATTTAAAAATGCATCGAAGTTGTTTAGTTGGCTCAGAAATGGTTGATTGGCTTATACATCAAAGTCCAAGTTAATATCATAATTTGTTTTATTTTTTATTATTAATATATTTCATTTTTAGTTCTTCATTCACGTAGTCAAGCTGTGGGCATGTGGCAAGCTTTACTTGAAGAAGGAGCTATTGCTCATGGTCTGAAAATAATTTATTTTGCCTTGAATTTAAATAATATGACGTTGCTTTTTTTTCTAGTATCACAAGAGCATTATTTTAAAGATAAGTATTTATTTTATCGTTTTTCTGGTGACGAAGAAGGACCATTAATAAGACCTAGTGATATTGAATTGATTGAATGTGAAGAACAATTAACTGATGTTATTCTTACATTAACACAAATTGGACCTGATGCAATGTTACGAATGATTTTAAGAAAATTGTAATGTTTTTAGGTTTATAAAAAAATATATATATTTATTTTAATTGATTTTTCTAGACCACATGAGAGAACAATCGATGATTTAGAAATAATCTATGATGAATTATTACATGTAAAAGCATTATCACATTTATCATCTCTTGTTAAACGTGAATTAGCTGGTGTATTAATATTTGAAGCACATCCATTTAAAGGAGAAGTTTGTAAGAGAATAAAAAGAAAAAAAAATGAAATTTTTATTTTATCGATAAAATTTTAGTATTTACACAAGGAGGTGAAAGTAAATCATGGTATATTATATTAAAAGGTTCAGTTCAATGTGTTGTTTATGGTAAAGGTGTTGTTGAAATATTTCATGAAGGTGATGATTTTGGTAAATTAAATTTAGTTAATAATTCTCCAAGGTTACTTTTTATGAATTAAAAAATTTATATTTATATGAAATTTTCTTTGATAATCTAGAACAACAACAATTATTTTGAACGAAGATAATACACATTTTCTTCGTGTTGATAAAGATGATTTTGATCGTATACTTCGAGATGTTGAAGCTAATACAATTAAAATAAAAGAATTTGGAAAAGATGTTCTTATTCTTGATAAAGTTCCAATTAATGTTAAAACAATCGATGGAACATATCAAGTTTATTATAAGTATGTAGAAGAACGCAAAGTTCTAATAAATAGTTTTATTTTACTAACTATATAATTCTATATTTCTCAACAATCGTTCTTTGTAAAAAAAGTCAATTTAAAATAGAAAATTATTTTCAAGTGACAAGTAATTCATTTCCTTTATAATAATAGAGTTTCCGAAATACAGTAATAGCCAGGTCCTTCTAGAATAAAATATAAATAGCAATAGATTAGTTAATTTACTACTGATGCTACAAAGGTAATTACATTTATATTGCAATGACTATCCTCTATTAGACTTTTGACAGTTGTTAATTTTTTGGGTAATAAAAATATTTAAGGAGAAACAATAATGAGCACTACCTAATCTTCATTTCAGAACAAAAGGTACGTGAATATTTGCTGAATGAATTTTGATAACTAAAATATCTTATTAGTAGCAGTCAGGAATAACGATGCACTAAGCCCAAACTGTTTAGATCAGATACCGAGGATTTCGTCCCGTAAGCTACACAGAAATATAAACCCAAACAGTTTGGGTTTTGAACATGTATACCCGTAGTCCTTCATCTTGCTCTTATCGTAAATCATTCTAGAAGTACTCACCCACTTATTATGTTGAAATGGTGTTGTAGTTGTTTCACTTTTCAAGTCACTAATGGCTTTTTGTCTCGGATCATCCGTACGATAGCACACTGGTTTCGTAGTTGACATACATAAAAAAGTCCTTGTTGTTAGGCAGTGTGTACGGGGAGCTTAAGCAATCAAGCAGGAGAACTCTGAGCCAGAGTAGCCTTCTGTTCAGAACTACAGCTAGAAATATTTGTAGGAAAAAATATCGTGCTAATGAAAATGTCCTCGGACATCATCCTATACTGAAAGGTAGTCGGAAGGCGGGGTATTCTTCTTCTATTTCACTTAGAAACAGTTTTTATACATATACGAAAAGAACTATTTACTAAATAATGTTTTCGTGTCAGTTACATAGTCTGTACGCATATTATCCATTTACAGTCTAAAACTTAAGACACCTATATAAAGAAATTTGCTTGTTAATTATAATAATTGTTAAAATTTTTAATTTATTAGATATTTTGTTATGTCTGGTACAAGTGAAAAAATGCTTGAACATTTTCTTGAAACATATATATGTGTAACTTACGAAGAAGGTGATACAAGTCTTGATGATTTTCTTTCGACCTATGTTATCTTTATGCCAATAAATCAGATATGTGCAAGATTATTATCAATATATAAAGCTAAACCACAATCACGTTTAGGTGAAAATATTGATTTAGTTTTACAACAAAAAGTTAAAGTTATAAGATTTATACTTGAATGGTATGATGTTTCAAGAGAAACATTTTTTGAAGATCCAAAAATAAATGTTTTTCTCGACGTATGTAGTGAAAAGAAACAATTTTCTTTTTTATTAATCTTTTGTTTTCAAGGATTTACATCAATTAATTCGTGTAGATATGAAAATTTTTTCACAATTAAAAGAAGAAATTAAATTAATTGAAGCAATTATTGAAAACGATACGTAAGAATATTTTTATTGAACTTTTCTATTTAATACCTCTTTTTTTTTATATATAATAGAGAACATAAAGAAATACGGAAAAGTAAATTACCATGGAAACAGCGAAATAGTATTGATAAACCAAAAATGATTCGACCATCAAATGATGGTAATAAAAGAAGATTGAATTAAAATTGGTTGATTTCTTTTGTTGTTATAGTTATTTTTAAAGTTTATTGTGCTGATCATACATATACAACAATGAAAATGAGAATTGATACACCAGCATCAAAAATTATAAAAGTAGCGGCTGATAAATTAGGTTTACGCTGTGATCAACCAGATGATTTAAAATTATGTGAAGTTAAATCAACCGGAGGTTTGTGTAATTATAAGAATAAATATAAATAGAAAATATATTTTATTTTTTAGAACGAACTATATATAAAGAAAGTGATTTAAGTATTTCATATGGTTTATCATTAAATGGACGTCTCTTTTTGGCTCCTGCTGATCATCTTGATGCTCTGGTATGTTGAATATATATTTAGTTGGATTTACAATACAGATGAATCATTTAAACTATCGTATACAAAGAAAATCTTATGAGATTTATGACTTAGACGACAGTAAATGAAGTGTATGAGTAGGATTGAATTTCATCGTTTGGCCATAGTAAGACTAAGAGAAATCTAAATGAACTCGTACCCAATGACTATTAATTCAAAATTATGAAATTTTGCCCAAACATAGACTTTCGGAGTATTGAAGTACTTTTTAGATCTATTCTTGAACAAAGGTTCAAACTAAAATCTCGTAATTTGACACTCTGGTAAATATATCTAGATACACCAAAAATTCAGTAAATTAAACTCTTGGAAACAGTTGAAGAATTTCTCTTGTAAGGTTATTAAATATGATTAAACAATTAGGACTATCATCTGTATACAGCGCACTATTCAAAGTTTTATCGATTAACTAAGTTTATGCATATGGTGAAAAACTATATTTTTTCTATCTGTATCAACTTTGATGATAATTTATAATGCTTTAGTTTTTAATTGTAAGCAACAAAACTTCTTTAAAAGACAAGAGCTATTAAATTGACATATCAGTCTACTAAACTAAAATACTGTTTCCTTATTATCGAGAAACAAAATGAATAATTATAAATCAATTTAGGTACCTTTACCTGAACAAGAAGGTTTATCTCGAGGAACATGGCTAAAACTAGAAATGTTTGGTTCAAAAGAATTAGCTTATGCAATAACAATGTATGATTATGAATTATTTATGGCAATTAATCAGGTATAAATTCAATTTTTTGTATTTAATTTCATATATGTATATATTTAGCATGAACTTCTCTATCAAGTTTTTGGTCGATATAAATATGGAAAAATTACTGCTAATTTAGATATATTTATGAGACGGTTTAATGAAATACAATTTTGGGTTGTAACTGAAATATGTTTAACACCAAGTCCTGGTAAACGTGTACAACTTTTAAGAAAATTTATTAAACTTGCATCTTAGTAAAATTATAAAATTTAATAAGATTTTTACTTTTCTATTTTATTATTTAGTTGTAAAGAATTTCGAAATTTAAATGCATTTTTTGCTATTGTTATGGGTTTAAGTAATATTGCTGTTAGTCGATTATCATTAACTTGGGAGGTATGTAAAAAAAAATTTCGAATTGGAAATAATGTTATTTTTCTAATATAGAGATTACCAAGTAAAATCAAACGTATGTTTTCAGAATTCGAAACTTTAATGGATCCATCACGTAATCATCGAGTTTATCGGTCAACATTAACAAAAATGACACCACCAATTATACTTTTTATGCCACTTTTACTAAAAGGTTTAGATTTTCAAAAAAAAGGCAAAAGAATATTTTTATATATCTCACAATATTTTTAGATTTAACTTTTATTCACGAGGGAAATAAAACATATTTAATTGAAGGTTTAGTTAATTTTGAAAAAATGGTAAATTATAATTATACTTTATTTATTCAAATAAGCTTTTTATTTTAGAGAATGTTATCGCATACAATGCGTACAATGAAAATCTGTCGTAGTCAAGCATTACGTAAGTAATTATATATATAAAAAGTTTTCTGAGTGTCTGTGCAAAGATGCTGAAATGAATTCACTTTGATAGTTTTGTAGAGTGAATAATTCTTTACATAATAATGTGTCAAACTAAAATATTTTTGATCAAAAAAAAACATCGATTTTTCAACAATGCGGCTGATAGAAAAATAATAGTTTAGATATTTTATCAGAAAACGAAATTATCTTTTTAGACTTGGTAAACATTTTATTCAAAAACTTTTCCAATAGATCGTTACTTTGACATATAAATAGTATATTCTGAGGGACAAAGACATTTCGCACTAGGTATTCCGAACTATCGGACATATGACCGAGTGTCCGAAAATGATTTTTGTCCTAAATAACTTTCATTATGAACACCCTGTTTTTTTATTTTTTATTAATTTGTCATTCCGAACTCCCGTACATCTAATTCCTGATATCCTATCTTTTTTTTCTTATGTCGAGAGATCGGAACGAACATCTGCTACAGGAAATCGTAATGAAAAGTTGGTGCGAAATGTCTCATTCCCTATGTTGATTAGGTTTATGCATAAGATATTTTCGAATTTTCTTACGTGGAGATGGTTGGTAAAAATATTTGTAAGACTTACTACTTATATTTTATCCTAGTTTAATAGAAGATTGTATTCCGTATTGAATCCTTGATAAAACAATAACAGCTAAAGAGTTAATCAATGCAGAATTCTAATCGTATTTTATTTGGTACATCAGACAGTATTCTCACTAATGTCTTAGGTTGTAGAAACTTATCAAGTTATACTCGTTTTATCAACGGACAAAAGTCCAAAAGTTCTGTCTTCACCAATTAACAGTACTCTTCTCGCTTTCATACTTCGCGTAGAAGACGAATGTATATTAATGAATCGTAATCATTCGATGATGATCGATTCTATTGGAGATCTATATCTCAGTCTATTGAGAATTGATGATCTTTAGAGATAATAGCAACATTTCAATTTTCTTTTTTTTAAAACAATAAATGAATTGTTTGTTTAAATTTTTATAGAATTACAAGCACCTCAAGGCGCAAAAAATATGTCTGAAATTGAAGAATATGTTCGGTTAGTATGATTAACTTGAAATTTCCTTATTAATTTATTATATACTTATAGAGAAATGCATGTTATCGATAATCAACGTATTCTCAATCAATTATCTAATAAATTAGAACCACGGCAAACCTAAATAAGAAATTTTTTTCTTAGATATTGTGATTTGATTCTCTTCTTTCTTGTGATCTTTCTGTCTCTCTCTATATGTGTATGTATTTGTTTATTCAAATATTTGTCTATCTTTCGTTTGATCAACACACAGTATGAATGATGAATGAAAGAGATACTTTCATAATAAAAAAAAAAGAATTCACTATTTCGATGTCATATAGTTTATTTATCTATCTTGATAAATGTTGATTGTCATCTATTTTCATTCTAATATCAAATGATCAGACTATCATATAAACAAAACTATTCTCAATTACAGTAAAACATTTGTTTATTTGTCATTATTTGAAGATATTAACTTTTGATCTATGTAAATTTGTAATGAACTGGAACATAAAACATAAAAATGATATTGTTCTCATCTCAATTGACATATTTTTTTGATCGATTCATTTCTATTTTCATATTAATCAAATAAGAAATTCTTATGTGAAAATGTCTTCTATCAAGAATTAATTTGAATATCTATTTTTTATTTTCATGTGTTTTAAATTAATTTCATTCGATAAGTCAATTAAATTTATGATTAATGAATTATTTTCTTTGTTAGTGTTACCAAACAACGAATCAAGCATCAAATATTACACTAACATGTCAAGAATCATTATCATCATTTTTAATAAAAATCACAATAGGACTTTTCTTAGAGGATAACCTTTATTCAGACATTCCATATATATATATATAAATTTATGAATTGTTCAGTATAAAAACAAGTATGAGAAGTGTAGATAATCTGAGCTGAGTAACAATTTGCACGTCTTCAATTGATGCACATCTGTATATCATTGTTTCTGCTTCTTTACTAGTGATGTCCTATGTTTATATTATTCTTATTCTCTCGACACGCGTATGTCTGTACTCAAATGTCGAATCATCTTGATTTCTCCTTTTGGCTAGATAAACAAGTGCAGTTAGTACTAATTTCCATTCACTTGAATTATTTCAATCTATCAGTCATCTTTTCTTGTAGAATCTGTTCTTCCAATTGAACTATTAATATACATACAAGTGTCCATAGAGACTTTAATTCTATATTAAAATGATGATACTATCAAGGTCTGATAAGAAATAAAACGAATCGATGTTGTCATTATTAAATAGACAACTGAAATTTCAAGAAAAAACACTGAACTATCGAATAACGGATCTTATCATGATAAAAATAAAGTAGCCTATAATTTTCACAAAATTAAATATGTACGTTTTGATTGTAACAGTTCTTTTTTGTCTATCTCTGCAGGATACAAGATAAGCAAAAAACAAAAGTTCTTTAGATCTTCACTTGTAACAATAATATAAGAACAAAAAAAGAACAACAATATGATGAGAGAAAGCTATAATTATTTTTAAAAAACAAAATCAACGCTGAGATTATACATATGTTAGTTGTCTTGATAATCATCAGGAGAAAATGGCATTTGATCTATTGTTGTCTGTTGTTCATTTGTTATATTTCCATTCGCTGACCATGCACCTTCCATACGCCAAACACTAAATGCATAACTTAATGTACGTTCATTTTGTTGTGTTGGTGATGGTTCATTTTGAAATGTTACATTTTGTTGTGGTTGATCATCTCCATGTAAAATTTGATAGAGAAAATCAATATATCGTGTTGCTAATTTTAATGTTTGAATTTTAGATAATTTATCTGATGGTAATGTTGGAATAATAAGACGAAGATGTGCAAATGCATCATTTAATGATTGTGTACGTTGTCTTTCACGAACATTAGCAATAGCACGTTGATTTTGTACATCATCTTGTGACATTATTTGTAGTTGTTGTTGTTGTTGTTGCTGTTGTTCTTGATGATTATGTTCTTGTCGTCGTCGTTGTTTTAATGATGATGATGGATATGGTTGACCATGTAAACGACGTTGTAAACGTGTTAAACGACGTTTATGTTGGTGTTCATCATTTTCATCAATAGGTATTGAAGCAGATGGTGAACTTAAACTTGATTCACTTCCACCACTACTCATGGTTGTTAATGTATATTGAGATTTAATAAATGTATTGAATAAACTTTGATGTGATGATTGTTGAAGAAGAATTGATGATGAATTATGATCCATATAAGATTTCGATAACTAAGAAGCAACAACTAATCAATATTAGATTTAATTATTACGAAAAAAGAATTTTACTTAATCAGATGTAAACGATTAGATTCATCTGTTTAACATCTCAATAATGTTGATCTAAGCCTGGTGTGTACAAATATATAGATATAACTAGTAAATCGTGCTACACACGTCTTTGATATGATAAGAGAGAGAGAAAAAGAAGAAGAAGAATCTATATATCCGACGTTCTTTTTTTTTTGTTGAGTATATTTAATATCTGATTGGTTGTAGGTATTTATCTATGATGGAAGGAAAAAGAAAAGTAAGCCATTCTTGTCTTAGAAAGAGATTATTAGAGCAAAGGAATATTCTATTGGTGTATTTTTTTGATTAGTTAATTTGTCTTGAAGATAGAACAGTTTTATAAAAAACGATTTGTAGAAGACCAATTACACTTACATGAATTTGATAAATTTTTTTTTTTTTAAATAAAATTTCACTAGACATATAGATATATATATAGATGTGATAAGGGTTAATTTTCTTAATAAAGATTGGAATGTGATTGAATTGCTTAATTAATGTAATGATTTGTTGCATACAACAATTGACATGTTTCATTAACATAAATTGTAGTAGCATTAGATTCTTTTATCTATAACATATACACATTTGTCGTCCATGTGTGTATTAATGGAAAGTAAAATGATATTAATATGTGTCTTTTATCTTTTATTTTAAAGGAGAGAAATACTCGGAATGATTGTTAGAAAAAAAAGAAGAATCTTTTTTTTCTTCTTTAGATGGAAAGAAAAAGGAATTTGAGAAGTTGTTTGCGATTAATGGACAATGGAAAACAAGCGTGAAAGATAATACAGTTAAGTACAATTATCTATGATATGAGTCTAATGGATAGGAAGCTTGCTGCGATATAGAAAGGGTGGTACAATTATTTATTGTTTTACTTTCAAATTATGTATATATATATATGGATTGTTCTGTAAAGAACTGGAATCAGTGGCGAATTCAGGGAAGGGAACGATCGCCCATCTTCGCAATTTTTTTTTTGATTTTTCACAGCTAAAATGAACGAAAAAATAGGTTTTAACTACTTCGATCGAACCCAAAAAATAGTTTTCAGCTGACTATTATTGAATTAAGTTTTATCTATTTATTAATAGTCAAAAAAAAGTTTTTTATTTGGCAGCGGCTCAGCGTCTTATACTTATATATATAGTTTATTTTATTTTGAATTTTGATGTTGATTTTATTTTGATATATACAAACATGTGTGTTTTGAAATAATAAGTGGTATAATTGAGAACAAGATTTTGAGAAATTTATTTTAGTCGGTAGAAATTAACCGTTAAAAACCTTTCTGGAATTTTCCAGATTTTCTGACTATGGCAGTTAGCATCACTGAGCTGTAATCACCCCCCCCCTCCTCTACTTAGATATCGCCTCTCCCTTCCAAACTCTTAGATCAGCCACTGTCTGGAATGATTTGACAAATTGATATTGATTGTTTTTTGTTCTAATACTAATATGATGTACATATAAAACTCTATATGTTAAAAATTGAGATTGGAATTTTCATAGTTACTGTTATTTATTTTATCCTATTAATTATAAAATAAGATTTTATTTTTTTTAAACATAAGCATTTGAAAAAAAAGAATATTTAATTTAGTAAAAAAGAAAAAGCACGTTGAGATGAAAACTAATACAAAACATATTGTACAATTTGGTTATTTTTTATCTATTGATAAATTAAATTGTTTTTTAAGACGTTGATTAATAGGTTCAGTTGGATCGAAATAAATCTTATTTTCTTGAAGTATATCTAGAGATCGCTGTTTGAATTTAGATCCTTTTGAATTGAGTGGTTGTTGTAAAAGAGATTTATTTATTCTTTGTGCAAATGTTTTCCGAGTAGTATTATTATTAAGTGATGGCATTTTTGTTGATGAACTTGATGATTCATGTTTGGATATTGAACGATTGGAATTTAATTCAACTGATGTATCAAATGATGTCATATCGTCATCATTAATTGGTGATAAGATACTATTTATTTGTTGAGTTTCAGTTTCATTCGATTGTCGAGAACGATGATGAACTTGTTCTGATTGTTTTTGAGGTGATTTCTTTCGTAATAATCGTGATGGTGGTAATAATGCACTTCTTATTGTTTGATCAGTTGATAGTTTAGGAGCTTCTTTTTCAGGTAATGAAACAAGAGAAGTTGTTCGCTTGACTTTTCTATCTTTATCACGTAAAAGATCATCATCGATTCTTGAGGTATGAGCTTTTGTAAAAAATAATTCTAAAAATAATCAATGATATTATTTATCTTGAAATAAATTTAAAAAATACCTTGTTCAAAATCAGTATCATGTTCATCAGTCTAAAGAAAATAAATATATTTAAACAACATGAATGATGAACTTTCTTAAATATAAGTGTAACTTCTCATAAATATGTTCGAATCCATTCAGATCTATTTTTCTTATTTCAAAATTTTATATTAAAATTAAATCGATGGTGACTTGTGATACTAACGCAAAAATTTATTGCATAACGTCTCTTAATCGATTTTGTTTATTCTCGTAAGAATATCAGACCATCACTAAATATTTAGGAAATATGCATACATCGATCCCGAGCTTTCCGAGTGTGGTGCATGCCTAACATAGATCGAAGTGAATGGATGACTGAGTCGTGTACTCTAGTTTTGGGAATGATCGAATCTGGGTTCGCTGAATCAATATTCTCTATGGTCATATGTACACTCATAAGTTTCGTGATTTAATGAATAATATTAGGTACTATCAATTTATGTGAAAAATTTTAGAAAGGCTCATAGCCATTTCTTATTTCAAATCTCGATAAAATGATTACCATTTGTTGATCAGAATTGATATCTTGTACATTAGAATTCATATTTTTCTAAAAAGTAAAAAAATAGAGGATAATCTTGAAAGATTTTCAACAGACGACAATTAAAAACGATTCCATTTTCTCAAATATTTTGATATCGAATGAATCGTATTGATTAAATAAAATTTAAACTATGGTTTTATAGACCATCGTAGTAACGTTATACTTTTATTTTTGACAAACATTTTCGGTATTTAAATTTTGATGAGATATAATTATTTATTTTCTTTGATTTAGAATCTCATAAAAACGTTATGTACTTAGAGTTATACGAAAGTTATGGGTGAGTTACTTTTTTTATGAATAGACAGATCGTGTATCATTCTATTTTTCCATGCTATTTCACCATACTTCAACTTAGTGGCGTAACCAGAAATTTAAGGACGATGGGACTCAGCCCCAAAACTGTCTAGTCTTTTGGATTTTTTGATTGACGAGTTCAGTAACTAGAAAATCCAGTGATGGGGTTGAGCCACTACTTCAACTAGGTAGCAAGTTCACATTATAGTTTTCAAATCGTTAATACATTTGTATTAACAATCAAAATATGTCATGACTTTTATTCGAAAACAATGATCATACGTATTGTTGTGTGAATTGTAGAGCTTTTCACGCTGCACCTTCTAGTACTTTTTTGTAAAGCATATCCGGTAAGGAAATGTCAAAATAACAAAAAATGAGTTTACTGCCTATGAAAAAATTATTTTTTCCCTCGAATCATAGTTGACTTTCTCAAAATTTTGTCGATATTGAAAGCTATTTAACGGTTTGAAAAATCCAATGTAAACTTGCCACCTAGTTGGAGTATAATAAAATAGCATAGAAAAATAAATTGAAACACGTTCTGTCTATTCATAAAAAAAGAAGATTTTTATAAGAAAAAAACGTATCTCCATTCGGTTATTTTTAAAGCATTCTCTATTAAAAATATTTTACTGAATAGAAAATTGTATCTTATCTATACATATACAACTCGTTTTGTTAAATATTTATTTTAAGATAATTATCTTATAATTTATTAATCTAACCTGATGTTTGCGTTCATACGCTCGTTCAGTTGTAAAAATCGGTAATCCATTTCCATTTCGATTTGCATATTTACTTGTAAATAATGTTCCTCTTTCTGGTAATGTTCGATTTGCTTTATCCATCTAAATGAAAATATTAAAATCAATAGAATAAAAGTAAATCTTCAGATAAAAAGCATAGATATTCATATTTATATATTAGCAGTGTTTATAATACGGGTGAGTTAAAGAATATAGATATATATATGTATGTGAACCTGAGAATGTGTAACTTGAAATTGTGTATTTATATTAATTTCTGATGCAAATGGATATGGTACCCGTATTTGTCCATGATTTTTACGCTCTTTTATTTCCTAATCAAAGAATGATTGGATAGAAATCATTAGCAATAAAATCGAATATATAATTGTACAACAGTAACAAATTCTCACCGATCTATGTGATGATGATATAATAGGATTTGCATGATAAACCTAAGTGTGAGTGCGTTATTTAGTACATTTAGCAATTCAAATGTGTTAGAATTAATGAACAGAAATATTTTGAGATAAATATATACCTGACGTTTACGATTTAATTTTTCAACACGTTCTTCAATAGCTTTATCTGATCGACGTTTTTTAAGTTTTTTCTTTGGTATTTGTTCATCTTTATGTGCTATTATATCTGGTAATTCTCCACCTTCAGGATCACTATCTGAATCACTAGAACTAAGAAAAAAATAGTTTTGTTTTCAAATCATTGAGTTTTTATATTAAAAACAAACCTTGAAGCATTTTGTTCACTGATAGTTTTATGACATTTTGCTAAAATGTCTAAACAATTTGAAACAGAATTAATCGATATTTGTGATTCATCTGCTTGTTTTTCTAAAAATAAAATTATTTGTACGATTAAAATTAGAATAAAAACTTACCTGAATTAGAATCCGATGATAATTCCAATGGAAGCTTATCTTTACTCAATTTACTAACAATGCTTTTTGTTATATCCATAAATATTGAATCTAATTGTCTATAAGAAATAAATTGATTATTATCAACTTAAAGAAAGTATCAATTTTTACGAGGAATCAGATAGAATATCTAAATAATGTCTTAATGATTGACAAATAGATTGTCCAAATTTTTCATATGCTTGTATATTAAAATGACGTGCATTTTCTCTATGATAATAAAAAAAATTTTTATGAAATTTATTTCAAAAGTTAAAACTTACACAATATTTGATCCAGCAAACGATGCTTCTAATGTGAAACTATTTTTTATTAACATTTCTTTCCACATAACAACACGACCAGTTGATTCTTTACATCGATGTATATGAAATTTACAAAAATCGAATGAAAACATATCTGGTGCCTAAAAATGATAAATAATTTACGTTAATTAGAAACTAGTAAAATCTAATGCAACAGGTGGCTCATAAATAATAGATCACTTTTATGTTCTCTTTCTAAATACTCTATTTTAGGTTTATTCAACGGAGAACTTTTCGCTCTAAAAAAAACAATGAAAATGATATTTCTAATTAACTTTTTTTATGAGAGGCTAGGGGATGCGCAGTTTCAGTAAACCGTGCACTGTCAGTCCTGGAAGTGACGCACCGTAGCACTGACATCGGGTTCATTGATGCTGTCAATTCACCCACACTCGTCGATTTCGATGAATCTACAGCATCAGTGAACCCAATGTCAGTGCACAGTTTACTGAAACTGCACATCCCTAGTCCTATAGAAATTCTTGGCTTTAACAAGTTTGTAGACAATAAATGAAGTCAGTTTAAAAAATTTAGATTCTTACAGTTTTCGACATAATAAATGGTAAAACTCGAGCATCTAAAAAATTTTTCATATCCGGTTCTGCTCCATCACATCCATCACAACCATAAGCAAATACATTTAATTTTCGACTATGACCATGAAGATCACAAAATGCTAGAATCTAAAAAGATTAAACTTTACAAAATATCTAATAAAATATTATTTTCAAAGTTTCTACTTCTCTTTGTTCTTTTTGTAATTTTTGTACAAGTTCTTTCATATGATAAATAATTGGAAATGTTTGTTTACGTGGATGACGAAAATTACGATTTTTATCTTTTCCTGTTAACGAACATCGATAATTTCCAATAATAACACCATCTGGATTAAGCATTGGTATAATTTTAAATACTAATTGCGTTCGTAATTTCTAAAATAAATCATCAAAAAAAAATTTCATACTAATTTAAATCAATTTTTACTTGAGCAATTTTATCATTTGATGTTATATATTCAAGTAAACCACGCATCATAAAACTTGAATTTGTTTCACCTGGATGTATTCGTGCACTTATAAAAACAAACTTCTTTTTATTTATTGGTACAGCTAAAACACAAAAATTCAAGATAAATTCTATTATTTATCTATTTAATTACCTTCATCTGTTACAGTAATTATAAAACATGAATTTCCTGCTTGAGATTCACATAAAATATCACGACGAAATATTTCACTTGGTCTTATTTTTGATAGATATTCTAAATCATCTTTTAAATCCGTATATGTATATGGATAACAATGAGCTATATAACATGTATCACCAGAATGTGTAAATTCCTAAGAAAAAAAATCAAACTTTTGTTTCTCTATAGATATTTTTTTGTTGACATACAAATTGAAAATCAAGTTCATAGTAATTAATATCTCGTTCAAGTAATGGATTGTATGAACGAGGTTTATATTCTGAATAATTAATATGATGACCAACACGATTCCATCCTCGAGATTCTTTTTTTGCATCAACACCAGAGAATAAAAGTATTTGCATACCTATTTAATAAATATCTGATGAATTTAAATTAAGAAACCTTTTTTTTCTCTTTTACATCGATGTCGTTCTATTTCTTTATCTTTATCTCAAAATTTCTTCCGTTTTATAATAAATATACTTTTGAAGTATGTTTATTGTAACGTTTCTTTCGTCTATCATATAAAAAGTCATGACAAAAGAGAAACGTGAGTTGTCATGTTTAACTGATTTGATGGACTTCTTTTTAAATAAAAATATGCATGAAGAACTAATGTAATTATTTTGATGAATTACATGTCAATATTTGCTTTAAAATGCATTTTTTCATACCTACAGTTGATCGCTCTTCCGTTTTGACCTCAGTGAGGACATCTCCTATAATAAAGTTCTTATTTGAAACAAAATGTATATTTTTTATGTAGCTGTTGTTGTCTGATTAACCTCGATTATTGGTCTTACATAGGAATGAAAAAGAACATCGCAAATATTTACCATCATTATATAAACTACTTTTTTTCATTAAATTAATAATACGAAAGCGATAAGTTATGTTTGCAATCATATTTTGTACACGAAAATGATACCATTGTGTATGTCTTCGTGTATTAAGATCTGGTCGAAGAACAAGTTCATATTCAAATTGACCTCTAGAGAAATTACATTTAAAAAAGTAGATCAGTTACTGTCTGATACTTACACACGTTTTACTTGTCGTAAATTTCCACCTTCAAATCGTGATTCAAATATTAATTGAGGACACATATGTTCATTATCAGGTGGTTTTATTTGTTGATTTCTTGCTGTTTTATCCATATCATAGATAATAATAGGATGTTTAATTGTTTCTGTATATTTATAAATAGCTGGCTGATTATCATATGTTTGTTGATTAATTATGTCTAAAATTTATTAAAATATTCTTTATTTTAGAGAATTTTCTTCTTTTGATCAACTATATAAAAAGATCATCAAATTTGAAGGCAAGCATCATCATACTTTAAAAATTCTTTCCCTTTTCTCTTACTTGACGTTGATGATGATAAATTGAACTCATCTTGTAATAATTCACGACTAAGTAATTTTGGCGTAGGATGAAGAATACGATAATTGTCAGGCCAGAACGGTCCATCTTCAGTAATAATAACACCATTTTTATCAACATATATATTTGACTTATCACCCTTTGTAAATTTTTGTTCGAATATATTTAAAACTTCAGCTTTATTAGATTTAATAATACTATTACCAAATACAAACGATAGATTATTATTAATTGGAGGTACAGATGATGCTTTATTCATATATTTATTTAAATACATTGTTGGACTCATACAATTCTGATCATCTGTAGGCTGTGATGATCGTCGCCGAGAACGATAACTATGATAAGAATTGAAATAAAATGATTTATTTGAATTTTTTTCAAATTGATAATAGGTTGAAAGACGTTTTTGTGCTGTGAAGGAATTTTTAGAATTAAGTGGATGAAGCACACGTGCATTACGACGATCAATTTCACTCCATTTATCGACAGTATCTGCTTGTTGTAAAGGAGGACATTGACCAGTACTATTTATTGACGGAGAAGATAAATAAAAATGTAATCCGTTTATACGAAAGACTACGGACATTTGCTTGTTTTCTTTTTTTAATAAATAATATTAAATGAAAGTAAGCATAAAAAAAAGAGTAAAATGATTCTTCTCTTGTTCTTCTTTTGTTTCCGATTGTGACGAGAGAGAGAGAGAGAGAGAAATGCAAATAATTTAAATTTCTTTTTCTTCCTCATCTTATTTTCTCTTTCAAAAATTTCTTCTCTTGAGGGTTTGATGAAATTTCAAATTAAGTCAAAACTTATTCTATGGACTACTGAATCCATCGTAATTAAAAAAAAGAAAAAAACTTCAATTCAATATATAAAATGATTAATCTAATTTTCATTATAAGATAATTACAGTCTCATTTGGTAAAGTAGTGTAGTAAACAGTTTATTCTACGGGTGAATATAGATTACTACTGTGTTTATTTAAGTTGAATATCTAATTCAGTGTTTTTTTACTTCAAAACGTGATATAAAGCTTATATCTTACCGACGATATTGTCTTTGTAATTTAGATAAACGTTCTTGTCGCTCACTTTCTTCAAGAAGTTGTTCTACTTGTCGTTGAAGATCTTCTTCTAATTCTCGATGAATATTTGAACGCCATTGTTCATAGGCATTTGTGTCTATTTTAAAATTAAATTATAAAAAATAAAATAAATTCAAAAAAATATATATTTTTCAAAAAACATATTCCTACCAACTTTAACACTTAAAGATATATCGCTTTTACTTGTAGATGGAACAATCGCAGGTAATTTCAACATCGATACAACCATTACTACTTATAATGTTTTTTGCTCTCAATAGACATTAAACAATTTTCTAAGTATACAAAACTTTTTTTTTTACATGATTCAACTATTTCCACTTGAATTTAGTATTTTTTTAAAAATATACACTCAAGTATGTATGTATCGTTGATAAAAAAAAGTTGTTTTTTATTGTGCGAAATAAAACTTATCGTAGTCGGTGAGATTTTTTTTATTCAAACGAAAAAAAGAGAGAAAATGTTCGAGATGTTTTCTAAAGAAAAAAAGGTGATTAACGTTCTTTTTTTGAAGCTTCTTATATTATGTTAGTTTTGAATTAAAGTATAGAAAAAATATTTAGTTAAGCGTATTTCGATAGATATCAAGTGTTGACAACTTTATTCTTTTTTCTCTTCGTTTACCTCGTAAATGTTCGAAAAAAACTTGTTTCAATTGTTCAGATATATTCATTTCATCGTTGCCATGCTGATTTTGCATTATTTCTATTGTTGACATCATTATCTGCCATATATCTTGACACGTTACCATTTACCTTTTTGCTTTTTCTGTCTAATACAACAATTGTAGTGAATAGCTTAAGGACAGTAGAGAAGAAGAAGAAAAAGAAAAATTGATTAAGCGTACTAAAGAAATGTTTTGATTGTATTCATCGATACTGTGAAAAGAAAAGCAAGTTTAGAAATTAAATGAATAGTTACATCATACTTATTATTGTTATAATTCAACTTGGCTTCTACTTATATTTATTCATTGAATAGTAAAATACTATTGGATAAAGTTCTCTTCCCTTCTCTCTCTCTCTCGTTCTCATATTTTTTTGATTATAGAATAGATAAAATACCTCAAAGTTTAACAGTGATCTTTGATAGATAATTTCTTCACAGTTCCACAAAGTTTATTGATCTTTCATATAAAATCAATATAGGGATACACAAAATTCATTCAAAATTATTATTTTAAAGTTTAAAATCAAAATTGAGATGTTTTTAGCTTGAAAAACCTTTCTCGATAATATTTTTTCTTTTCTTAACTGCACCTATTGATATTTTTTTGCTTCTCGAAAGAAACCAAGAAAGTTATTTTTGTAGTAACAACTTTCAAAATATTTCTACCTGTTTGATTCTGTTAATTGACATATTTTCCCGATATACAACTACGAAATTCAATATATTAATCAAGCTAACTTGTTAAAAAAAAGGAAATTATAAAAATAGAGTTGCACAATACAATCGAACACCTAATTAACTAAAGTTTAGTATAGTTCGAGAAATCAACTATGAACTGTAGTTGCACTTGAATTTTGATATCATGACATTCATGTTAGTCGCAAATAAAAATTTTTTTAGGCCCGGAAATATTATAAACAGCAAATATGAAAGTCCTTATGTTCATATAAAATATTGTCTGACTTTCAGACTAGATGTGCTTAATCATATTTATTTTCTACATAATATATAATGGAAATGTATTTAAAAATCACGAATAGCTAACAAAATCAAACGCGTGTTTAGAATGTAGTTAAAATTATATTAAAAATAAAAATCTTCATTTGCTTTTTTCAAGACGAGCACGAATAAGATCTTCAAGTTTTTGAGCATCAACTGCAAATTTTCTTATACCATCAGCTAATTTATCATTAGCCATTTCATCTTCATTTAACATCCAACGAAATGTTTTTTCATCAAGTTTATCATGTTTTTTATCATGTGCATGTCCTGTTTGTTCTTTATTTAAATAAACTTGAATTTTTTCATTTCCTCCTTCTAATTCATCAAGTAATTTTGGACTTATTGTTAATAAATCACATCCGGCTAAACCAAAAATTTGTTTTGTATTACGAAATGATGCACCCATAACAACTGTTTTTATATTATTTTGTTTATAATAATTATAAATACGTGTTACACTTACCTAAAAACAATATTTTTTGTTAAAATAATATATAAATACAAATATATTTACTTACAACACCAGGATCTTCTTGAATATCATAATCACGTTTACCTTTTTTTTCAATATACCAATCATAAATTCGTCCAACAAAAGGTGATATTAATGTAACTTGTGCATCAGCACATGCAAGAGCTTGAGCAAAAGAAAATATTAATGTCATATTACAATGTATACCATGTTTTTCTTCTAATTCTTTAGCTGCTTGTATACCTTCCCATGTTGATGACAATTTAATTAAAATTCTATCTTTAGATATTCCACGTTGTTCATATAATTCAATTAAATGTCGAGCTTTATCGATTTGTCCTTGGCAATCGAATGAAAGACGAGCATCAACTTCAGTTGATACACGACCAGGTACTATTTTAAGAATTTCTTCACCAAATCGAATAAAAACATTATCCATAATATCATGAATAAGAGCTTGTTCATCGGATTTTGATGCCGATTTTTCTCGACATTTACTTATAACATCATCAATTAAATGATCATATTGTTTCATATTAGCAGCTGATAATATTAACGAAGGATTTGTTGTTGCATCAGTTGGTTTATATTTTTTTAATGATTCAAAATCACCAGTATCAGCAACAATGATTGTTGACTGACGAAGTTGTTCAAGACTATTAGCCATTGAAAAATATATCTTTAAATAAATAAAAAAAAAGAAATATATATATGTGTTTTTCTTTTTATATACTTATAGAATAAGAAGAAATATTATTTATTATGCATAGTCGATTTTCACCTTGTCAACAAATATATCATCATGGTAAGCATGACGTTGCAAAATTAAAGTACAAATACGTCATCACATTAAGAAATATAATGCTCAGTGATTTAATAAGAAATGATTTTTAAAATGCAAAATCACGATATACATAATACCGAGAAAAAAAGAAGAGAGCATTTTTTGTTTTCTTTTAAACTATTCATTGGGTTAACTGTGTCTTCGTTAAGAAGACTTTCACCACTTGGCATAAATACAGGAGATCATCGCCATCTATACCAAAACAATAGTATACGTGTGAGAGTTGGATCTAATATCGTTATTAGGAACTATTTTTACGTCTCCCTAATTGATCATTTTTTCTCTCAATTAATGAAATTAAATCTCAGTAAAATAAATTTAATAGTCTGAACATTATTTCTTAAGTAAAAATACAAACACAAACTGAGTATATTATATACATTTAATTATCAAAAACAAAACTAGAACAAATTATTGAGTTTTTTCAAAGCGAAATATTTTGTTTTTCATGATTAATACAATATGAATATAAATAAGAAAAATATATATGTTAATTTTATGATCATAGTCTGAAATTAAATTGTACTGTGCGGTGCAGCAGATGAATAATATTGAAATAAATCATTTTGATATGCTGATGGTATATGAGTACGTTTCACAAAAACAAGTTTAGTATCTTCAACTTCACAATCAATTTTTATCATTGGTACATGATTTGTTGGAACATGGATAGATTCTAAAATTGATAAAATTTGCATCTTCACAAACAAAAAAACGAATATAACATACTATTTAAATTTGCCATTGATGCTGGTAATATAAGGGACATTTTTGGTCGTTGAGTTTGATTTTGCATTGTTGCTGGGAGAATAAGATGATCCTAAAAATAAATTTTAAATAAAACAATTAAGATAAATAAAGAATATACATACTCGTTTAAATGATACAAAATAAAGCGTATCATTTTTTCTGTCAAGTGTATGAATGAAATCGTCATAATTAGCTTCAAAGCTTTTGTATGGTTGAAGTTGACCTTTACTTTCAGATTGAATTCTAAATGAAATATAGATTAGAATTTATTTTTATTGAATAAAATACAAACTTTGTTTGTCGAGCAACTTTTCTTGATATATGATGTAAAGGTACAACAGATGAATCGGCTGTAGTAGTAATAACAGGATTTGATGAAATAGTCAGAGAGTTTGGATCAGGAATGATCATTGGTTCAGTATCTTGTTGTTTTTCAGATTGATCTTGTACCCATGAACGAAGATCTTGGTTTATTCTAGATTTAAATATAAGAAAAGTAAAAATTTATAAATAAAATATCAAATATTTACCGTTGAGAATGTGTCTTATTAATATAGGCTACACATTGTATATAAGGATAAGTACGCATATTATCATTTCCATTCGGTCCATAATCATAGTCGCTAGTAGTTGTGTATGAATCTTGATTCTTACTAAGACGATCACTAAGAATTGTTCGACTAGGAACAATTGCTCCTTGATTATTATAGAAATCAATTAAATTGGATTGATCATTTGAAACAGGTGCTAATGATCTAAATTATAACAAATTTTTATCAAATAATTCATAAAATATCTAACTTACTTCAATGTAAATACATTAAAAACTACCAATAAAACAATGCCCATTAGTATAAGAGGTTTTCGTTTTTGTAGGAATGGAGCATCATTACCAACTTTATATTTTTTCAAAAGTTCATTCTATGAAGAAAAGAAAATTTTCTTTTTATGTATATATAATAATTTAAAACAAACCTCCATTTCTAATGTATCAATACGTGTTAATAATTTAGATCTTTCTCTTTTTAATTCGTCATTTTCATTTTGTAATTCTTTATTTTGATCACTAAGATGTTCCATTAACTAGAAAAAGAAAATTTGTGGATATTTTTTGTTAAGAAAAAAAACTCAATCTCAATCAACTCACTTCTTTTCGTCGTTTACGTGAAAGTGATGCTGACTCACGATTTTTTATCATTCGAACATGTTTTTTCCATGCTTCATCCTATAATAACAAAAACAAATGAATAAAAAGAAAAATTAATTTTATTTTATTTACACTCATTGTTCCATATTGAAGTTTAAGTTGATCAAATGAAAGTGTTGGTAATTCCGATACTTGTTGTTGATTTGTTGGACTATCCGAACGACGTCGTTTTGCTACTGGTGATGCTATTGTATTCACTTGTTTAGATATAGAATCATTTGTTACTAATGGTATTGTTACTACAGGTACATTAGCAAGTGTAAATGGTTTGGATGTTTTAATAATTGTTATTGTTGGATTTGAATTGTTTGGTTCACATTTAATTAATTTCGTTCCAGTTGATGCTGAATTTGTATATGATTGGATTTTAAAACAATTTGTTATTGGAGTAATATTAATTGATTGAGGAGGAGAAAGAATTGGTAATGAAGGCGATAACTGAAAATTTATAATTTTTTTTAATTTATATAATAATGAAATTTACTATTTGTTGAGGTGGTGGTTCTGGATTTTGTGGCATAGAAATATCAGAGAATAGATTTTCATACGTTGAATTATCAATTGGTATTGATGGACTCTAAAGCAATATACAGGTTAAAATTGCAAAAGATAATCAATTAAAATTTATCTTACTTCTGCATTTAACCAAGCTGAAAAACGTTTAAAATCATCATTTGGATCATCTAATGATGGATTTTCCATATTTAATGGAAACATATCTAAAACAAATATTCATTCATAATAATATTTTTTTATATATTATTATTTTTATTTCCTTACCAAGATTATCCAAATCAATGACTGTACTATCCATTTCAGGGAGCAACGGTGGTGTATATGCAATTCCACTATCGGAATCATTTTCTGATATTAATGTTGTTGGTGATGTCTAAATGCGTAAGAATAAATTTTTTTTAAAAGAAAAAATCATTTTATATTTAATCCTACTGTATGATTAGAAAATGTATCAACACTTTCTAAACCACCAAGAAAAGCGTCATAATCGAAATCTTCAGTATTCATTATTGATATCTTCTTAATTTTTTCGTACAAGTTATATTATACTATAGATATAGAATAAAAGGTATTTCAATATTGAAATGTATTCTTTTTGATTATGTGTTCCTACATGTAAGCGAAAAGGATGCATCATAGCGCTAGAAATAATTTAATAACACATTATCGTTTGTGATAGTTGTGTATGTATGAATCTGAAAATGAAATGTTTTAAATGAGTAATATAGAATGACGGAAAAAATATGATTAAACAGTTTTCATGGGAACAAAATCAAAAGTGTCTAATGCAATACATGAAGGAAAAAGGAAGGAACCAGAATCATCCACGTCATGTTTCACAAGCAATCATTTTATTGGTCGGTAAACGAATGGAAAAAGGAAAAGAACGAGAAATGTATGACTCATATCCAATAAATATCACAAAATTATATGAAAAATAGAGGGCAGTCATGTACATAATTAGAATGTAGAATTGAAAGTCTACGTTTGATATACTGTATTAAATGATTTTAACAAAACTTTATTATTTCGAAATTTCGAACAATCATCAGGCAAATTTTAAATTAACAAATTTTTGTATAACAAACCATATCAGTTCAACTGAATGAAATATCAATGAACAGGGACGGCGGAGCGTCATTAACCTACGTGAGGCTCACAATATTTTTTTCTACAGTGAACTTTTATTAAAACATGGAGCAAAATATAAGTCTACTTTTTATTCGACATCAGTAAAAACTACAACGGTCATCGTGAAAATAAAACAAATCAGAACGTACCAAAAAAATAACTTTCTCTGTTCGTTCTTTGATGCGAAAGTTGAACAGAGACTTTTCTTTGTATATGTGTGTCAAAAAGAAAAATGGGTGAATGTTAGGATGTTTTTCAGCTATTAAATATACTGTAAAGAGAATATGAATGAATCCGATCACTACTGAGCTACTTCTTTATTGCTGTAATAATATGTATGTGTATATGCGCTTGGAAAAAAAATCAAACGTTCTAGAAATAAAACATATAAACGAAATAGGAAAAAACCAAACATATGGGCAAGAAAACATATAAGAAAACGGAGAAAATACCTCAATACCATATACAGAAGGGAAATATCCAAGTAAAAGAAAAGAAAAAAATACATGATATGTATATATATTAGCTGTGTATGATATCTACGCGGTAAAAGAATCCAGAAGAGAGAAGTATATAAAAAAATTAGGTGAACCACATTATGAGATAGATATGTCAAAACACATATCTGAATATGTTGGATGCGAATATAACAAGTCCTAATAATACAAGATAATATTCAATCTGAAAACAAGTGAGGCTACGCCGTTACTGTTAATGAGATGATCGATCTTATCGTTCGAAATGTGAAACATTTATTTTATTTTTTAAACAATTACATCCTATATAGAAAATCGATCTATCGAAAATTTTGAACAATATAAAAAAATAATTTAAAAATTGATTGTAAACTAGAGATGGTTAAGTCCAGTTCTAAAATTTTGAGATACAATGGATTTTACTAGGCTGTTAAAGTTAATTATCAGATCATCACTATGATTTTCTTAGAATTGTGAAGAACGCTCTTGTGCATCAGATTCATTCGTTGAAAACAAAAATACATCATGCATTCTGTTTTTACTAAGGTGATTTTTCTAATATTCTATCTTGCTCTTCAACTGATCAAAAAAATATTTCTCTCATATATCGCTACGTACTCTAGTCGTGGTTATACAATAACGAAAACTCGACTTTACTAACTATTTCTATTCTCAAGTTATGAAATATGTATAAGTCTCACATTTTTAATTAATTTTCATATAAAACTAATTTAATGTAGGAAATTTCCAGGCTTAGATGATAGAAAAGATTTCACAATCAATATAAAAAAGCAAAACCGTACGGTAGAAACTTGTTCTTCCATAAATAAAAAAAACATAAATCAAATAATCAAACCATAATACCAATCAACTTGTATTTTATTACAATTTCTATTATTTAAGTTTGAAAAATACTAATTTCACATTATTTAAGATTGAAAATGATTGGATAAGATAAAAATTTCGTTTTTTTACATTAAAATCAAAGCATAACTGTGCCATTAGTGTTTGGCCTCTGATTCATATGTTTCGTTTCTTTATTGTTTGCATATATTATCTTATCCAACACGTTTCTTCCATTGAGATCTTGTTTACACACACTGCCTATCTCTTTATATAACGAATGACAGTCGTTCCATACAAAAAAGCGACGAAAGAAAGTAAACAGACAGCTGGAAATTAGTATGAATATTATGTGTATTTGATTTATTGTACGATGTATCAAATTGTAGTTTTAGTG